TTGAAGCAGAGAGGTCCCCATAGCATCCCACATACTATTAAAGGTAGAAAACAATGTGTTAGACGTATGGTCTAAGCAAGTCTACAAAGCCAAGTCTTGTAAAAGGAGAGTATGTGAGCTTTGCTTTCCTACTCTGGCCAATGGCTGCACAGATGGGCAGTTAGCACTGGAAGCTCTCTATCCAGACAATGCTGAAAAGAGGATTTTGGTATCATTGTTCAACCCTCTGAACTTACACTTCAGGCTCTGCTGGTTTTTAGTTCTCTTTCACCCTGAAATACAGTCTTTCAGGGCTATTGCATACAAGCTGTTACCCCTGACTTGGATTCAAAGTGCAAACCCTACTAAAACCAAGCCCTGAACTTCCTCCAGATTCATAGTCAGTGTCTGTAAGAGAAAACTGTGTCACTTGCCTTAGTAACCAGCAGAGTTGTGAGGCTGCTTTGGCTCCTGGGATGCCTGAAGAAGGGCCTGCTGGGTTTCCCAATACAAACTGGTTATCCATACAAGCTGGTGTTATCACAGCTGAGTACATAATGTCTTGAGTAGATCCTGGGAGCACTGAAAATGGTTACTTCTGCTGTTTAGGGTCATCATTAACGTCAATGTGATCTGAAGGCTGTGCTAGCTGCATCAAGAAAGGGTGGACTTGTTATAAAAAATGATTCAGCAGAACTCAAGGAAGTCTAATAGGTGTTTATAAGTAACAATGGGTACAATAACTTGGAAATATGTGTACATTAGAGATGACTACAGCAGACAAGGAAAAGTGAGATTTTCACATGCAGGGGAAAGCTGGTTATCAGAAATGACAGGCTTCACAATTAGCCATAAAAATAAGACTCAAAGTTAAACTCAACTCCATCAAGAAAGTGCTGAAAAGCTATTGCACTGAAAAGTCAGTTCAGACTTGGACAAAAACCATCCCCAACATTACTAAGGGGAAAAATGTGTTTCTAAGAACACATTGTCAAATGCATCTGTCCTGTGAAACAAACTGATTTGTTGTGTGTGTTGCCTTCTGTTAAAACAGGCTTCTCTCCTTCAGACAGCATGCCACGCAGAGCCAAAGCTGTGGTCAGAGAGAGGGTTTTGTGATGTTGGGCACTGTTCTGTTGTGCTTTTTCACACCTGGAGTTTGACACAGGGTTTTCCTTTACAAAGTGGCAGGTTCTTTTCTGCTCCAACTAGCAGGACATCCTTCTTCCTGATGCTGATAGCTGGCTCATTGGGAATGTCAGAATATGATTAATGTCCCTCCGTCAAATTGTTCCCTTGCGCTTCCTACATAAGGTTTATGATCTAAAATGTAAAATAACAGGAGCCCATATTTCCAACATATGATCCCCCCAGAGACCCAGCCAGGATATTCTTAATCTCAGCTCAGACAAACTCCAGCAAGAATATTGCCATCATCAGTATTCTTGAGCCAAGTTTCACAAGATGTAGAAGTGAAAATAGTGAAAATCTGTGTTGTAAAGCAACTCTGAGAACCAGTCTCCTGTTCATTGTGTCTTCATGATTTTCTAATAAGTTACTTCTATTTCACAAGTCAGAAGACAAAAGTCTGTTTGTGACTTGCAGGTTTAAACCAAAGTAATGAAGCTAAGCAGGCTTTCTTTTCTTAATTCAACTTCATTTACAAAGGTGTTGAAAGCAGTCCAGACCCTTAGGAACCATTATTACCCTAAAGCCCTGAGGTGCTGAAACGGGAACATAGGAGACAATAGGGTGTCTGATGCGGAGACTCTTGCCCCAGCAGTGCTGGCTCTGCAGAGACAGCAGCAAGGAGGACACCCCATGGTCTCTGCTGGATTCTCACCCCTGTACATGGCTGCAGATTGGGGCAGAAACCTGCCTTTGCTCCTATGCTGCTCTTCCTCCCCATGCCATGGAGCAGCAATCTTAGCCCTCTTCAGCACTGGACTGCAATTCATGAAAGAGGTGATAGTGGATATTTACAGTTTATGCTGTTACTGTCAAGTTAGGGCAGTCATTTTAAGAAAATTTACCTGTTATTTCCTGGCATAATGGAAGTGCAGGTTCATGCCACAACCTTGTCTCTGCCTCTGATCTGCCTGACTGCTAGCCACATAGCATCCAGCATCTCATCGTCTGTAACACATATATCCCCACACCAACTCAGTGGGAACATGAATCAGTAATGGTGGAAGACAAAGACAGGTGCCAAAAGATCCTTTTTACATGAAGACCTATTTTATACAGGCTAAACAGCCAAGGGTATTTTAACTGACTACTTTGGGATGAGCTGAATTGCTCTCCAGGCCCCACAGCTCACATCGAAGCCACCAAAATGCAGATTCCATGGCCTGAATCTGAATCCCACTGTGAGAGACTAAGCTTGGGATTCAGGTACCTTGACATAAGCATCTTGCATCATTTGACAGGATACATAATCTCCTCTAGGGTCACCTACTGCAGATGTGGAAAGATCCTCTTAGGTTCTACATCATATCTGCTAGTCCCCTGTCAGTATCTCTGGCACTGAGATGATGTTGATGGATGATGATACCCAGCCATGCTTCAGCACCAAGTCCTGCTCCAGAAGCTGCCAAAATGCAATCTACAGCAGAGCAGAGCTTGACCAGCATTAGTCAAGCTCTAATGAATTAGACCACATTAAAAGACTGAGCCGTCATGAAACTCTGTTTTCTTTTTAAATATATTTTTAATGATTTGGTTTTAAATTGCCTAGAATGTAAAATCTATGCTCAGCTCACAGCCAGTTCTGTGGTCAAAGCACAGAGCTTGAGCTTTGCTGCTGCAGCATATTTATTGTCTCTCTGGAAAACACACATTTGGTTTAGTCCTGAACAGAGCAGTGTTGCTTTGATTACACATCTCCAAAGGAACATGTAGAACAGAGTTCAGCCTTACGCAGTTTAATTACCCTGTGTTAACAACAAAACATGGAAAAAGGACAGCTCCGGAAAACAGCCTCACAAGGCTGTAGTGAGGAGAACCACTCACAAATGACAAAGGAGGAAAATAATCCATTCCCTGCCATAATTTCCAAGAAGCAGCTAATTCAAAACTGGTTAGAAAACAAATAGCAATATTGTTTATTATCAATAATCATTATTTATAATGATTCAAATTTATAGATAATGTAATTATCTATAATTAACAAATTAATAGTTGTTATTAATATCCATTTTTAATATTAATAACATATTAAATTGTTAAATAATTTAACATCAAAAAATATTTTCCCCAAATGTTCCTGTTATTTAGGTTTGGTTTTTTTGACAGGCAAAAATTTTTAACAGAATAATGGTCTGTTTGCTATAATTGCAATGATTTGCACACTTGATTAAAAAGAAAAAGAACAACCCACAGTGATGCCATGTACCTCATGCATCATTAACACTTTTTAAATACAGAAATAATACATTGTCTGGCTATCTAATGCGATTTTAACAGTATATCCTCTTACCACAGGACCAGCCACAACAAAATCCAACAAAACCACCATCATACTCCTTGGTTTAAACCTCAGACTCAGTGAGAAGACTTTATAGTGATGTAGAGACTCTGTTGCAGAGATAGGAACATTGAGATCCAAAAACCTTCTCTTATTCAAGAGCAGTTGTAATGAGGCCAACAGCGTTGTCTCTGCCCTACCTGCCAGCTCCTGCCTTCATGGTCACCTTGCGAGATGCTCAATAGACAATACATGCCTTATCTTCCATCACACACCATCACCTGCTTAGGCACAGAGGCATTTTGTGTAGGGCAGCTTCTGACCATTCCCAGGGCTGTACTTGTCCATTTACTGGCTACCCACATGGCAGACCTCATTTGGAAAGTAATCTCAGGCCAAAGATGGCAAATACACATGAACAGACTGAGGGAAAACTGCTGCAGTTCTTGAAACCCTGCAAATAAACCCATTCTTACCTTCTATTGCAGGGCACATTCACATAGGGCTTGCTTCTGTAAGCTCTGGCAGCTACAGAAGCCTCCCTTTGATGACTACATCCATAGAAACTGGGAGGCTATAAACACAGGTCTTGATCTGGGTCTGCAGCATGCGTTGCTTACTCCCCTCACCAGCAACAGATAATGCTTGGTAAATGCCATTTGACTGGCTGGAGAGAAACCAGGATTTAAGAAAAAAACACTAAAATGGCACCCACTGAATTAGGGCACAAAGACAGTCTGGGATGTCTCCAGGAACAGGCTGAACTGACAAGTGTAAGCTAGGGAGCATGCTGGAGCAAAGGGGATTAGGCTGCATCCCCTTCTCCATGTGGAGAAGTTGCAGAGCTGTAGTGTGTGCCCTACCCAGGCAGGTTTTACAATTGTTATTAAAGATGCAGGTGTGTCCCTCACATTCTTAACACAGATTCTTGTCAATGGCTCCAACAGACATTCAGATGAATAGGGTTGTCCAAAAAAAAACCCTAGATACCACTGCACCATCTCATCCATTGTGGGTTGGACTAGATGACCTTTAAATGTCCCTTCCAACACAAATTATTCTATCGACTCTATCAAATCTGTTTAACATCATTATGTATCCACCCTTCTCATGGTGCACTGGAATATACTGAAACCTATGACATGCGTGGCACACACAGACATACATGAGGAGAGACAACCTACAGAGGCTGAAGAGTCACTGTCATGACAAGAATTAAATGTCACTTTAACATAACCCAGTCAACACATCTGACTGCCATAAATCCTACTCATTGCCATCACATCTTTTCAAAATGATGTCTCATGCCATGCTGACAGACCTCTCTTCAGAAGCAATCCTTGTTTTACCTCACCACCGGAGGGGTGAAACCTCACTCAGCCTGGACTAGGAAAAAGGGTGCTGTTAAATATGTGACTTGCTTAGTACTGAAATACAGCAAACTGACCTAAGATGCAGTACAGTAACAGATATACCATTGAGAGTTACTTGAAAGCAATAAGCTTTTCACATCATTTTTTCACTTTGATTGGTCTTTCCATAGCAAGAAACACAGTAAAATCAAATCAAAGAGTTTATTTGCACAGGAAATAGCAAAAATAGCACCATTAAGAGCTACACAGTAAAGACTTTGTTTAACCCTCACATGAGAACATGTTATTTCATTTTTCAGTAAAGAAGAGGCAAATTTTATCTGCTACTGGGTGAAAAAAAGACTCCAAGGCTGGCAAAATGTTATATCTGGGCTTTAGCCTCAGGGTCTGACTCTGGGATGGTTACAGACATCTGTGGCTTCTGCTTGGCTTAGCCAGCTTGGAAGCACCATGCCATATGAATGTGCCAGCAGGGCAGGGTGCCTCTCTGCTGTCTCCAAAAGACCTGATGAGATTTCCAGACACATTCAGCACTAAATGCCTGTGTCAGGTTCATCGCTCTCATCTCTCACTACAAACTGCTTTGTACAGAAGAGTTTTGAAGCTGCAGCTGCTTTGTTGGCTGGCCCATAAATCTGGGCTTTTCAGACTCCATCCCCTCTACTTTCTTTGTATTCTCAGGTTGATTTTGGCAATTAGCTGACAGGGGAAAAGGATGTGGGTCTGATGTATTGCTTTTGCCCTCAAACACAGTTTCCTCCAGGTTTCTCAACACCTCTTTGCTCTGACTCTCTCATCAGAGACCAACCTCGTCCTCAAACAGTCTGCAATTCTTTACCTACCCTCTAAAACATCATCTTGCCAAATTATTGTAGTGGATCATTCAAAATGGTGAGTTAGGTCACACTTGGCTTCCTGAGATTAACACCAGGGGTCTTCCTGTGCTGCTCTGGCTGATTTTTGGGTGAAGCAGTGGAAGGGAGCGGTGTGTGCACTGACAATGAACGGGGGATTTGGCATCCCTGAGCTGATAGGGGACATCATGGAAGCTTTTTGCAGATGCATCTCCACAACAGAAGGAATTTAAGCTCCATCTGGTAGGACTAAACCATCTGAGTATTGAAGTTCTTGCACAAGGAGCAGTAAGGAGGTTTACATCATCTATGTGGTCTCTTCAGGTCTTAGTGTGAGATCACACATGGTCCCATTAAAAAGATCTCCAATAGTATACAGATTCATTTATGGGCAGAAGAATATTCCATTTAATAAGGATCTTTTGGGAAACACACACTGGCAACTCATAACTGTCCATTGTGAGGTGAACATACTGGAGACCTCTTTTCCAGCTTTGGCAAGGCTTTACCTACCTCGCCTCCATGTGAGAGGCAAAAAGCACCAACAAGCCTGTGATGAACCTGTGTCTCACAGTTAATGTCATGGGATACAGGATTTGATTGCAGTTTCAAGGGTGAGGGGTAAAGCTTCGGAAAGAGGTAACCAAGATAACAAATTGTTGACATTGGAATGGCTTTGCATAAACAGCTACACAATGCATTGGTATTATATGCTCTTCAAAAGAGGAAAATTCACTTACTTTTAATGTTTTAATATGCCCTGATGCTAGAGGAAACAAAAAACAAATTCACATATCACATCAAAGATAATAATAATTATTATTATTATAATTCATAAAAATAATCTGACCGACCGGCAGCATTTGTTGGCTTTAGAAGGCCTCCTATGAAAGAAACACAGTTGAAGGCATCTGAGAGCTCTTGGCAGGTGGGATGAATTCAAGTTTCAAAGACAAGTCTGGGAATAACCCCTGCATGCTATGGCCCTTTGATGTTGACAGGTCTGGCAGCCAGGCTTGCATAGTAAGCACATTGTGTGGGGTCACACTGTCCATTAGCTCCTGGAGGTCCCTGTGGACCCTTGAGACCAGGCACACCAGCTTCACCTTGAGGGCCTGGTGGTCCTGGCATCCCATCTTTGGCATAGCCAGGCTCCCCTGGGAGACCTAAAACAAAACCAAAATGCCCTTTTGTGAGTGATACTTGCAGGGTGCAGTAATCAGCAACGTAGCATCACAGGAGATAGATTTGAAGCCAAACAGGGATGTGGGCATCACTTTCCACAGGTATGGGTCTGGCTGGCATGTATCTAAAAGGATATGACAAGTGTATCTCATCTGAAAGAAAGATTTCCACCCCCTATAGCATCCTTGGGCTGCACAGCTCCAGTATAGCTGTTCTTCCTGTATCACCATGTTGAAGCTGTGCAGCTACCCAATGACATATAGTCCTCATAGAGAGGTGGTGAGGATGGTAAAGCTTGAGGTAAGAGCCAGCTTTGGGACATAGCTCATTCATACAAAGCATTCTGGGTCCATTGTCATTTTAAGGAAATACAGGGCTAGAATGGCAAATGCAGACCATGGGTTTAGGAAGGCTTCCCATAGTTTCCTCCCCAAATAAAGCAGGGTGAAGGCAAAACTGATCAATGATTCCTAATTTCAAATTACAGACAAAATACATTTGCTGCTTCTTTGTCAGCAAAGGTAAAACACAAGCTGTGTGCCTGAAACACAGGTGTTAGAGATGACCTTTTATACCATCTGAAGCTGCCTGAACCTCTGGGTTCAGCTTGGTCACAACAAGATTCTGGCAAGAGCAGGTAGGACTCTGCACAGTGTATCTAGTAATTAAAGCTTCACTCTGGATTTGTCCCAAAGGCCAGTTAACCTTGCTGTTTCTGAGGTGGATCATTATACCTGTCACTCAATCCAAGGAAATAAAGGTGGCTAAATATGATGCTAGTGATATATTTCTTCACCTTGGGGCACTTTCTACAGAAATGATGTATGCCATGTTTATGTTATCCTGACTGACGGTATCCAGCATACAGATGCTGGAGAGGGGACTTTTCATCAGGGATTTTAGTGATAGGACAAGGAGTGATGGGTTCAAACTTAAACAGGCGAAGTTCAGGTTAGATATAAGGAAGTTCTTTACTGTCAGGGTGGTGGTGAGGCACAGGCACACATTGCCCAGAGAAAGTGGTGAACGCTCCATCCCTGACAGTGATCAAGGCCAGGTTGGACAGAGCCTTGGGCAACATGGTCTAGTGTGAGGTGTCCCTGCCCATGGCAGGGGGGTTGGAACTGAATGATCTTAAGGTCCTTTCCAGCCCAAACCATTCTGTGATTCTGTGATGCTAATATAGCAGAGACCTGTGTCCTTGTAGCAGTTCTGAGTGATGTGTTTTGTGGGATTGTCTGAATAAACACACCTGGAATTCCTGGAGGACCTATTTCCCCTCGCTGGCCAACACCAGTGTCTCCTTTATCACCCTTTGCTCCTCTTTCTCCTATAGAGAGGGAAAGAAAAACAATGAACTGATGAGCAGAATTTAATACTACTACCACTGGTCTTCCATCCACACTGAAACCAATATATTTGCTAAACATAGTTCCTAATTATGGCCAGTCCTCAGAGATGGGACATTAAGTGGGAATGAAGACATGCCCCGCTTCAGTTCTGACCAGAGGTGGAACACACCAGCAACTGCTGGTCGCATTCACCGCCTCTGGTTCAACAGACTGAGACTGCTTCAAAGTCATCCATCTGAGGATCACTTAGATGCTACTAAAAGGAGATGTTGATGCCAAAGTGCAGCAGACATATCCCTTTATCACACTGCTCAAACACACCAAATTTCTCTTACCTTTGGGACCAATAGGTCCAGGTGGCCCTTCAGACCCAGTCTGTCCAGGCCGGCCAGGCTCTCCTGGAGGGCCAGTTCTTCCTGGGAGTCCTTCCTTCCCGGGGGGACCAGGAGGTCCTGGTCTGCCATGGGACACTTTGACATGTGCAGGCTGTATCTGAGCCAGGAGATAGGCTAACTTTGCTGTGAAGAGTGGGAAATGGGTTTGTTAGACTAGAAGATCAGTGCTCTAAGAGATGGAGCGACAGAACCAGTGGCCCCATAAAGTCCAAGTACTGTCACAGGTCAATTTTTCAGGGCCACCCATTTGCTGTCCACATACAATCCTTCCCCATAAGCCCCCATGGTGACTCCATAAGCCTCTCTATATTAATTAAACCTAATTTCTCAATAACTTTAAGCATCTACTAGATTTCATACTTAACCCTAAACAATTCTCTCATCCTCTGCTCCTTGTTCACCAAGGATCTGAAATGTCTCCTCCTTTAGCTGTGCAGCCAGTGGATTTGTGTCAAACTGGAATCACTGCTGCTCTGAAAAGAAAAGCCTATTTCCACTGCTTCTGCTACACAGAAAAAGATACTACATGTCTGCTTTGTAAGGAGAAAGCTTACTTTCCTTTTTCTCGGATGTAACACGTGGGGTTAAAGCTAATGTACCCATCTCTGGCTGTGAAGTCAGAAACTTAACTAAGGCAGCTCCCTGTGTCAGCATATTCTCCAATTTCCAAGCAGGCACACTGCTTGCCACTTCCATATTAAGACCCCGAACAGCCTAGAGAGCTCTTAAGACATACTCAGCATCACAAAAACATCCGACAGAACAGAGAAGGATTTTCTATCTGCCTTTCATTGATCCACAATCTTGAATGCTTTTAGATTGGCATGGAATTTGAAGTGTGAGAGTGTGTAAATAAAACCCTTGAAATAAATCACTCCATTGAACCATGATCTTCAGCATGGGAAAATGCCTGCAGCTATGTGTCAGCTTCTTCAAGAAGCAACGCAGCTCTGTGTTTCACTGTAGATGGGGTCAGTAGCAGCCTGAAATTCATGTGCCTTGAGAGGGGCAGTAGCCCATTGCCATTCTGCCCCCTTTTCTCACATTGATGAGTGCCACATCCAGAAATCAGAACATTTCTCCTCCAGCTGGGACCTCAAAAGCAAGTTTATGCTCTACTACAATTACTTTCCCTTCCAGGTCCCCAGATTAAGCTGTTTGAATTTGTATCTTCTCTTGTGCTACTGCCTCATAATTCCCAGGCATCTGCAGGAATGTGTCTGCAGCAAAGCTGTTTTGGTAGCAAAGACATAAGGTGCTTAGCACAGGCAATGGCCTTGGCCTGAATAAGGGAGAAAACCCCTGTGCTATTGCTTGGAACATCAAGCTTGGGGATTGGTAAAGCTTGCTAAGCACATTCCATTTTACACATTCCTCCCTCCAGTCAGGCTTGTTGCAACATTGCCCTCCATAAGCAGGAGGGGTTCGGGTGCCACCACAGCTATGGAGAGCGTCTTTCACACTCTCAGATACATTTTCAGGATTCCCAGAGCTGATTACTTACCATCAAGCTGCTTGTCTAACTCCTCCTGGATGAGCCTTCTCAAAGTCTCTAGAGATGGGGACTCCCCCTAGGGAGTAATAATGACAGCAATAGCAAGACATAATAATCACAGCCAGGGGATGTGCAAATTAAGCCCTCCATAATGGGTTTAGTGGGTTGCATTTCATTAGCCACAGCATACATAGGACTATAGGGATTGTCTGAAAGATGTATGTAAAGGAACTCAAAACATCCACAATTCCCAATCTGCTGGCAAGCCATGGGATCAGTGGTGCAAGAGGGGAGCCTGGTCAGAGGCATAGTTGGGCACTGGCACCACCTCCTTCCTAGAGAAAATCTCCCTCCTAAAGACTAATAGGAGAAGCAGTAGAAATCAAATCAGGAGATGTCCTCTGCCCTACTAGATCATAATAGAAAGCCTACCTCCTTCTTCAGCACTGCATATTTCCTTGCAGAGAAAAGCATGCATGCCCCCAAGGTACTTAAGGTGGGTATCTAGACTTGCTACAAACACTTGCACTGGATGTTTTATCTCAGGGAACAGCAAACAGTTTATGCACATGATACCTATTCTAAATGAGTACAGAGTACAAGGTTCTGCCTGATTTCAGGCTGTTGAAGGGAAAGGGAGGATGTGGCTGCCTGGCCTTGGTACCCTACCCAGCCTCTTTCAGCCTGACTCTCAACTCTTTTGTTTGATGTTGCTGTAAAAGCTGTCAGAACTCAAAGTAATGTGAACAAGTCTGAATGATGCAATTGAAAAAACACAAGGAAAGCATTTTTGGTAGGTGGAAGCAGAATTTTCCAGGTTGTGGCTTTCTAATGAAATAAAAAAGTAGTTTTAGGGTAACCAGACTTTTTTCTTTGCATAAACTGGAAAGAAAAGATTTAGCTATATGTAAAAAATAAACCATTTTGAACCAGCAAGATCAAATGCTTTCCTCTGTAAACTGTAAAGTGAGATGCTTCACTCGAAATATGTATTTTCTTTTTGGCTTAAATTATTCTTTGAATTTCTTCCAGTTTCAAAAATAGGCTGTATTTTTTTGTGTATGAGTTACTTGCATGAAAGTGTTTTTCCCTCGCACCTATCCTTTTAACATACAAGGGTGCAGTCTGTGTCCTTTATATTTATAAAGAACTAGTGACGTCTTCTGAATCAGAAATTACTCTTCATTAAGAAATGTAGCTTTTATTAAATACAAACATTTCAATTTCAATCAGTAATATACTGCTGAGAAGTATAGAGTTGGTCTATTTGCTGACTTCTTCCCAACACAAATTTTGCATGAGAAAAAGATATGTTTGTTGATGACAAAAGAAACAATTCTGTCATTAAGCACTAACCATTTGCAATGGCTCTTAGTGAATATCCCAGCTATCAAACACGATTGTGGAATGTACTTTGAAGGCGTACAAATTATCTTTTCAAGTTGTAACTTTATTGGTTGCACCAAGTGCCTATAATCATCACCGGATTTCATTAAATCGCTATGTTGTTGAGACACACAAAGAAATGCTTTGTCTAAAATTTACCCAGTTTTTACAGCAGAGATTATTTCACTCTTTATTTCCCTCTGAGACGATCTCAAATTCATTCTCAGGATAGGCATAATGGCTTCACTAATGCTGGTAGTATTTCTCATTCTTCTAGATACATTTCCCTAAGGCAGTCTCAGTAGTGAGACTGTTTCCCGTTAGAGACAAAAAAAAAAAAAGAGAGAGAGAATATTAAAGTAAAATAGGATTTTTTGAATTCTGATGAGCTGGCTCCAGGATTTCCAGGAATAGAGCAGTGACCTTTCCACAGCTCAGCGTTCTGTCTCTCATAACAACCAGCAGCAGGGGAAGGCATAAAGTCTCTGTATGAAACGCTTAATGTTTAAAATCATTATAGAAAGAAGCTTTTTCAGACCCATGACCATAGTAACAAGAATCTGATTTAGGCTTTTAGGGGTATAAGATGCCAAGGAATGGCTGCCCTGGCTATAGGTTGATATTGCTTAGCTCTCCTGAAGTTCAATCCCCATGACGGTTCCCTGAGATGTGTTGTAGTATCAAGAGATGGAAACAGTGCCTCCCCATCCTAACACACACTTGCTCTGGTTCCTATGAGCCTTACTGTAATCTTATGTACTTTTCTGATCACACACCATATATGTGATACACGTACTGTACAAAGCCCTTTTCTGTCAATCTTACCCTTGGTCCTGGAAATCCTGGTTGTCCTGGAGGACCAGGAGGTCCAACCTGCCCAGTGTCTCCCGGGGGTCCGTGGGGACCCATCAGTCCTGGATGGCCTTTGTGACCAGGTATCCCAGGATCACCTGGAGGGCCTTTTTCTCCTTGAGGGCCTTTTTCACCTTTGATTCCTGGCTCTCCCTAAAGTGAAAACCAAACAGCATTACCACCACAAAATAAAAGGCAAACTTCTCACTACCAAGCACAGCAAAATAGGAACAGCTGAGCTTGCAAAGTTACTGAATACAACATCTGGTGCATTACAAATGATCCACAAATTATTACTGACATAGAATGATTAAAGAGAGGACTGGGAAGGTGGGAAGAGTGAAAGATCCCTACAGGACACACTTCTCTCTTGAATGACCCCTTCCCCTAAGTCAAAATAGCTCTCTTTATTTCAACCTAATGAAATAACTAATAACATTCTTCAACCTACCCTCTCTCCTTTGGAGCCAGTTTCCCCTGTTTTCCCTGGTGCACCCTGCAACAAAATCAGGGTGAGATTTAAAGAGCTATACATAATAACAGTAAATAATAAAGCACATGCCATTGCAGTGATTTTTGTGACCTGGGGAAAGCTTATTTCTTTGTCAGTCCCACAGATTCCTGAGAGCTCCCCATTTGCTCTCAAGTATCAACTATTCAAGAAAAAAAATAATTTGTTGCAACCTAGGTCACATTCTTGATGTTTTAGACCCAAAACACCAGCCTTACTTTGAAACAATTGGGAATTTAACTTACCTCTTTTCCAGGAGGACCCTTCTCTCCTGGCTCTCCCTGAGAGAGAGATACAGAGAATGAATTTAGCACCCGTTGCAAGGAGTTGGAACAGAAAAAGCCCTACCTAATAACTACCAGTCTTGCTTTCTGTTTAGAGGTCAAGGTTTCTGCTACAGAGCAGCATGTTTGGGTGATTTATCCTTAACCCACTGCTATAGGTCATTCCTGGAAAGACACATCCTACTATTTAGAAAGATTTTTTTAGTAAAGCTGCACACTGTGTAAATGTAAATAACATGAATTTATATCAAACCAAATGAGTGCAGGACAGATGTTTCCTTGAAAGTGTGCTCCTTCTTTCAATACATTTTGTTCCTCTTTCTTACAGACATTTCACAAAGCTTCACACACTTTACTTGGGCTGGTTTAGCTTAAGCATTGTCAGTGTTTCACCCATAACATGTAAAGGAAATCAATTTTGTAAGTAGAGGTATCATCTTGTATTACGCTAGCTGAGGTAATGCATACTGAGTCCGTGATAAAGCAAGTTTGAGCCTGAAAGCTTGCCTGCATTTCAGAACTGTATTAAAAAACCTCAATTTGAACAATTATTATTAGGATTTTTTCTATACTTTGCATTTATAATGAGATAATTAACCAATACAATTTGAATTTTAGCCTTTCAATGAAATCAATGTCACTGCTTTCCTGAAGTGCACCAATAAAGCAAAACAAACATCAAACCAATTACTGTCAAAATTCTGCCCACTTTCCCATAGCATGAACGGAAAGGCTCATAGAATCAGAGAATCCTTGGTGTTGGAAGGGACATTAAGGCTCATCCAGTTCCAACCCCCTGCCATGGGCAGGGACACCTTCCACTAGAGCAGGTTGCTCCAAGCCCTGTCCTACCTAGCCTTGAGCACTGCCAGGGATGGGGCAGCCACAGTTTCTCTGGGCACCCTGTGCCAGCACCTCAGCACCCTCACAGGGAAGCATTTCTGCCTTATATCTAACCTAAATCTCTCTGTTTATGCTTGAACCTATTACCCCCTGTCCTATCACTACAGTCTCTGAGGAAGAGTCCCTCTCCAGCATTCTTCAGATATTGGAATGTTGCTGCAACTCACACACGTGATCATATCTGTAATGTGCATCAGGAGGTATTTTTCCCCATAAGCTGGTAACACATATAAGATCTTCAGCAGTGCTTACATATATAGATGTATGCATAAGTAATGTAAGCAATCACAGACGTGTGATCACATCAGCTCCAAATCAGGCAGCATCACACTCACTCGAGCATTCCTTTGGGCCATTTCAGTTTTTAATGGCCACCACATTTGCAGATTTAAAATAATTTTCCAGAGAAATATTTCTTTCTCTTCTTTTCACCACAAAACTCCCTTTCCAACCATAAAAAATGAACAAAGAAAAGAGAATCATCCTGTGGAAGATTCCACTCTGCCAGATTCACATGAAAACCTTTTAAATCTCGTAAGTTACAACAGAGCGAGAAATAAAACTATTTACCTAACATTCACCCTTTCCATCCTTCTAGTGCAGTGAAACACATTTTACTTGCCTTGGAAGGGCTAAAGAGATAGGATTTCAAGGCTGTGATCTTTTCAGGTGTGTAATTATTACTGTAGATCAGTTTGGGAGATACAGGAACACTTTAATTGCAATGTACGTCCATTGCTGGTAACAAAAGAGTTTTGCTTGGAATAGCAAATGTCAGAAATAGCTGTATTATCATCCGCACTTAAAATTTCCCCATTTACCTCATTTAGGGTTCAAGTAGAGATATAGTCTGAGAACCTAAATACGCCATACCCATATGAAGTTGACTATTGAAACACTCCAATGAATGCACACATCAGCAGTGCTGACTGACAGGTACCAGGACAGTAAATGAGATTAAGGATGTTTGGCTATATGTAAATGCTGGTTTTGCAGTCCAGTTTCCTTTGGAAGCAAAAAATGTATGGCTTCAGGATCACTGCATCTCCTGCTTATGTGTTTTTACCTCATTAAAGATGATCATGTCCCATCTTCATCAATGTAACATTTAAAAGCAGGTCTAATAGGTCTAATCCATGCTCAGACATACTTACAGGTGGTCCTCGGGGTCCTATGAAGCCAGGTAGTCCTGGGTTGCCACTTTCTCCTTTATTTCCTTTGGGACCCTTAGGACAGAAATGAGACAGACACTAGAGTTTCTCCAACATCTCTTTTCCAGAGCATGCATTTACAGGTATATTGGAACTGGGAAATTTCACTGTAGCAGCAGGATTCCCAAAACTGACAAGGAAAGGAAGAACAAAGTCACTTAGAAAAGCAGACTGCCAACACCATATGCTTGCATTATTAATAAGCTATGTGGGATCCCTGTTGAAAAGATGAAAATGAAGCGACACTTACAGAGTGACAGGAGGTGTGTTCAGCGGCTGTTTTGGCCTGGCATGGTTTATAAATTGATGTTACAGAGTGGAAATGTTGTGATGGGCAATGACAGGGAAACAGTGAGGTGGTCATTCTGCTCAAACATGGGAATACAAGCAACAGACAGCCTTTATTTCCAGATTCAATTTAAAACATGTCTGCCTTATCTCTTGTGATATTCTACCCAAGTATCCCTTCTTCTTACAGATCAAGGCAGTTTAAATAGCAGTTCATGATACAGGACCATTTCACATACACTTCTGATAATGTTTTTTTTTACTTTTATTTTAACCTTTTCTTTCACAGCTTTGCCCCTAGCCTTCTAATTCAGAACATGTCCCCTTTTTTCTTCTTAGAGTAAATCTTGTCTCTATTTTAAGCCTGTCTTGTGTAAAGTGAGCACCAATGGACAGGCATAAAACACAGGGCTTTTGAGACTGCAATTAGCCCAAAGAGATTTCAGGGGCTGGGCAACATTGCTGCTTGCAGTGCTAAGCATGAATGCACTGTGGATTGGGATAGGAACTGTCAAATAGTAGATGCAAAAGGGGAAGGTTCCTGGCAGGTTTTACCTTCTCATTACAAGTCAGCAATGGTGAAAGTGGAAAAGAAACCCTGATTGCCGTGATAACCTTTCCTGCTTCTCTTTTTTTTTTTCCCAAATAACATATTGGCTTGTCACATTGTGAAACAAATTGGTGTGTTTCCAGACATGGCTGCAAATAAATGGATTCATGTACAGCACAAGGAAATACTTCCTATAATAAGCTTTATGAAAGGGAGAGGATTCATTTTAATGACAGAGAAAGATACTGATGGAGATGACTGTCTGTTCTGCTGACCAACACTGCCTCATTGTTTCTCCTTTCTCATCCATCTGACTTCATCCTTTTTCAATCTCCTGTGTTATTTTTGGATTCTAAATCCTCTGGAGCAGAGACTGCTGTAGTTCTGTGTGTGTGCAGTAAGCTCCCTAGGTCACTAACTGGCTGCCTAGGTAATGTGATAACATGATGATGACTAAAACATAGCCCCCGTTTGGCACTCACAGAGCATCCCAAATCCAAAGTGGCCTGGTAAAGACACAGAAAGCTAAAAAGCACTAACAGGAAATGGGAGCAGGGTGAGCATGATGAGAAGAAGAAATGAAGATTGAAAAGGCAACTGCAGGGATCCACAGAGTAAGAAGCAATGGCAGTAGTCCCAAGGAAGGTAAGAAGAAGCTGTGTCAAGGAGAAAAGCTGTAGCACTGATTCTTGACTGAAGAAGGGCTGTGAAACTGCACCCATCCTGCCCCACCTGCACTATGTGAGTTGTCACCACTACATGCAGAATAGTGTTGGTTTCTCTGTCACCACTTAGGAGGAGACATCCCTGCAGCACAGCAATACATGCTCAGGGCACAAGTCTGTGGCAAGGCTGAAGTTGCTTTGTGGCATTTCAAGGGCCACAAAGAAGGCTGAAGTCCTGCTGTGATTTTTCAGGTTTCTCCTGCTATGCCTTTATTCCTGTCTAAATCTAACAGCCGAGCAAGCTGTAATGGCTAAGTAGATGGAGAGAGGGAAGAGCCCTCTGCTGCAGTAGATGCCACTGGACACAGAGGTACATTTGCATGGATTTGCTGAATCCTGAACAATTTCAGAAGCAGAACAGAGGAAAAAAAAAGAAAACAAATCAAAACAAAACCAATTCTTCACTGTCCTCCTTACAGCTCTTCATTATCATACTGTTCTTCCACACAGGATGGCCCTGGGGAGATTTCATTCTGCTTCGTGATCTTGGTTTACTACCCACTGTCTGCTCTTTCCCCAGGTGCCTGGGGAGGATTATTCTGCTGCTGCTATTCCTCAGTGGCAGTCTGCCATCTCCCCGAGGCCCTCTCCTTCCTTGTGCTGGCTGCACACTCTCTGCTTGGCAAAATTAAATGTACTGGTGAAGATGAGGCGTGCCAATCTTTTTTTTTTTTTTCCACATCAGGTAATCAATCTTTTCCTTTTTTTGTGTGTGTGAACACTGAACTTTTGCTGGGAAAAATGATTCCAGGAATGCAGAATCATAGAATCACAGAATGGCTTGGGTTGGAAAGGATCTTGGAAAGCATCTACTTCCAAACCCCTGCCATGGGCAGGGATGTCTCACACTAGACCATGTCACCCAAGGCTCTGTCCAACATAGCCAATCCCCCTCCAGTGTCATGGCCAGTCGGTGATTTTCAGACATGGAAACTTCAGGGATGGTGAGCACCTATGCATAATCCACTCCATCCTTACTTTATCAGTCACCTCTCCTTGACATAACTGCTTGCTGCATGAGTTTCCATTTTTGGTACTTACTGGGTTACCTGCTGGGCCAGGTTCTCCTGCAGATCCGGGTGATCCATTCTTGCCCTACGTGATAAAGAAAAAGGTTATTGAAGTAATGCATACTACAATTAAAAACATCCACCTACTGCTACATCAGAAGGAATTTCTTTACCATTGTCCAACCTCCTCTCTTGGCAGACTGTGGAATGCTTATTTCCAATTGACCCTGCAGCTTCTGCACCCCTGATGGCATGAATGACCCCATCTCAGGGCAAAAATTGAGACATGTGGACCCAAAACCCTAGTTTGAAGATGACCAAATCATCATTCCTCCTCCTGTTCTTCACCCTTAGTGCTATCATATGCAGCATCCTCCTGGGTGGTTGGAACCACCCACTATGGCAGCTATAAGCCACCAGTGGTCAGACAAGCCCCTTTAGTCCATGTTTGAAACACCTGTTGGCTACTCACTGATCAATATTAAAGTCCTCTGCACTGATGACTATCTCCAAGTCACCCAGCACCTTCCTGTATTAGAAAACCTCTTTGCTCCAGTGACTGAGGTAGACCCTGCAAATAACCATCCTCTTCTCAGGGCTACCATTTGAATCAGGGCCCAGAGGCCAGGCACCTATTTTTAATCATCTCAGGCTTCCCCTCTTTTGGGGAATGGAGAAAAACATTTATTCGAAAACTTTGAGGCATCTGATACCAGACAACTCAGAATGAGCTAAATTGTCCTTTAAGAAGACCCGTTTCCCATTCTTCCTTATCAAAGTAGCTGAGCTGACCATCTACGCTAACTAAAATTTGGTGAGATGAAATTCTGCAGCCTGCTCTTCTCTCCTCCCAACTCACCATACAGAGATATTTTTCCCTGCATTGGAGCTGGCATAAAGACCACCCCTTATACTAGCAATATTCAAAATCATGCCTCATCCTTGTTGTTAATCACAGACTGGTTTGTGTTGGAAGGGACATTAAGGCTCATCCAGTTCCAGCCCCCTGTCATGGGCAGGGACACCTACCACTAAAGCAAGTTGCTACAAGCCCTGTCCTACCTGGCCTTGAACACAGCCAGGGATGGGTCTTTAAGAAACAAAGCAGTGGAAAATCAAGAGAAACTGATACTTTGCTCTCCCACATGCAAACCCCCAGGTATCTCTTCTCCAAAGAAGAATGTGCCCTCAAGTTACAATGGTTTAGGTCTCCTCAAATCTTTTTATCCATTGCTAGTGTTGTGCAGGGGCATGACACGTTAGCGAGTGATGCCAGCAGTACAGGAATAATGAGATAAACTACAAAGTAGACACAGGAGCTCTCCATATGTTCCTGCAGTCTTATTTAAACTCCTACCCTAAGCTCAGAGGGATCTGCCGCTCCAGCTCCTGGCATTGCTGGCTGAATCAGCATTTTTGCCCTGATTATGTTGTAGAATCTGTCTCACTAGCAGGTCTTGCTAGGAGGAAAAATAAATTACCAATTGCAACATATTAAGGATGTGCCTGGGTTCAGCATTCAAATTAAATTCAAAATTTATCATTAAAGACCTGCATTCAAATTCGGAACAAGACAACTGAAAAGATAGTGGGATTAACAAAAGTAATTTTTCAGCCATCCCAATTGACACGTTCTGAAATGTCAACTAAAGTGCAGTTTCTCCACTGAAGTTGTAATTAAACTCTACAGGTGTTTAATTAAACAATATTATTCCTAAAATTCTGTTGGGGGTTGAGTTTTTCCCAGAAAAAAATACAGAAAGCATTACAAAAATGAATAGTGTCACAACTGGATCCCACATACCTCAACCTGGGCACTTACAATTAGTGTCTGACTTCAAAAACTGAAGCCATGTGAGAAGCAAATGAGATGCCAGAGCCAGGACTGGAATACAAGAGGTTCCACTTAAACTTGAGAAGAAACTTCTTCTCAGTGAGGGTGACGGAACACTGGAACAGGCTGCCCAGGGAGGTTGTGGAGTCTCCTTCCCTGGAGACATTCAAAACCCGCCTGGACGCATTCCTGTGTAACATTATCTAGGTGTTCCTGCTCCGGCAGGGGAATTGGACTAGATGATCTTTCAAGGTCCCTTCCAATCTCTAACATACTGTGTGTGTGTGTGTGTGTGATAAGCACTTCTGACACTGCAGTCCTGGCAAAATCCATTAAACAGTTCTTCCCACCTAGTCAGCAACCTAGTCAGTCTTCCCACCTAGTCATCACTCCACTGCACTAAGTCTGCATCACTTTCTAGTAATGTCATTCTGCTTTGTCTTTCTCAAAGTAAGTGATGTGTTTTAATCATGGAATCATAGAATGGTTTGAGTTGGAAAGGACCATAAAATCATTCAGTTCCAACCCCCTGGCATGGGCAGGGGTGCTTCACACTAGACCATGTTACCGAAGAATCTTGCTGAAGACTCTTCTTCCAAACCAGAAGTCTGGACTGCAGGACATTCCCACTATACACAGTGTACCTCCAGAAACATCTTGTCAGGAGAGAAAACTCACCGGCTGCCCTCTGGGTCCTCGAGGGCCCTGTGGTCCTATGGGGCCAGTATCACCCTGCAGTGAATAACAGTATTCTAGTGAGTAAGAAAGATCTGACATGCAGGCAATCAAATAAGCATTTGAAAATATTAAATCACACTGCACACAAATTAAGGGAAACAGCATTAAAGGAGTCTCACTACGTTAAATTTTCAACATCTGTTACTGAATACTGTCTGATTACAGGCAGACCCATTATTATCAGGTTATCTTGAAGCTGGATTTCATAAGGACAGAGATTCTCCAGTACTTCTCAAGATTGACCATTATGTTCTCTCTTGAGGGAGGCTTAAGACCTGCTTCTGTCTTCTCTGAAGGGTTTCCTTAGGTCTGTCTTCCATTTGACTTTGTAGGCTACCAACTACAGCACAACAGTTTTCCAGTGGTACAAGGAGGTGCAAGTGAGAAACCACTTTCCCAAGTCCCATGGCAATGGCACATTGCTCAGCAACTGCTGCAGGATCCCACGTCAGCTGCACTCTCCCAGGACTGGGCTACGTGACTGCATCTGACCCCAGTACTGTCAGGATCTGTCTGTACCATTTCTCTTCTATCTGAGCAGCATCATCTTATTCCATGGGTATTTCACATATTTCAATGGAGCTATGCACTCAGTAAGGCTCAGCTTCTATAGAGGAAGCGTGACAGAACCTGGCCCAGTGGGACCTGTAGGATGAAGCACTGCTAAGAGAAGGGTGGCAGAAAGCAGCTCCATGGTTATGTGGCACAGCCTGGGATTCAAACAATTCAGCTTTCTCTGCTTTTCCAAAGACATAGCTGACATTTAAGTGCCAGCAGCTGAGCAGAGACAAAGGCCTTCAAATTCTTCGTTACCCTCACAGTCTTTGCACAAATCATTCCCTGTGCACTGCTGCAATAATTCACCCTTTATTGCAGTTTCTGCAGCTGGGTTAGGTCAGGGTCACTGTGAATTAAAATCTTCATTTGTCAGGCAGAAGGAGATTATTTTCTGTTTGAAATGGTACACTTACATCCTTCCCTGGTGGCCCCTCACGACCAGCAGGGCCTATCACACCTGGCTCCCCCTGTAATTCAGCAGAAAGGAAAGAGATTTCAGCTCAAGGTCAAAGGCGGACCAGTAACACCACTGTAAGAGTCAAGGGGTTTCTGCAATATTGGACTGAGCTCCTGGAAAGCTTTTTTAAAGCCAGCAGGAGCCTTGTTCATCGTATGTGACACACAAGTCATAAACATTACTCAGAAGCATCTTCTGTAAATGATGCACAAGGTAGTACATTGCTTTCCAGAATATCTGCTACTGCTTGTGCAGTCATGAAGATACCAGCCTATTCCTGATATAGAAACTACCACAATGAGGAACTCCAGCATTAGATATTTTAGCTAAGCTCCTGCAAGCAGAGCATGTTATTTCTCTGTAAAAAGCCAGAATTAGGCAGAAGAACATTCAGATTTGTATCCAATTTGTACACCAAGAGCTTTTAGTATTGTTTCACTCAGACCAGAGAGGGGACCAACACTTCATGCAGGAAGTTTTGGGGTTTGAGTTTTGAGTGTTATGATCCACAGGCAACTAAGTAAAAGGACTAGAGACATTTCTATACTCGTTACTATAAGTTTTGTTTCTGAACTTATTTTGCACTTCTTAGGCATTTTTGGAGGAGTGCTTATACTTCTCCAACAAGTGCAGTAGGGTTCCTCACCTTGTATATGCCAGCATCTGTACCAGAGGAATGTGGTATGGGAGCATCATTGAAAATTCCTCACAAAGGACTATCTCAAGGGGAGCACCAGAGGACTCAGCTCTACCATCAGCATCATCTTACCTGAAATTACAACTCCAGCAGAGGAATGAAGCCAGCTGCTGTGATTTTATGCCATGGGCATGTGGCTCATGGTCGAAAACAGCCTTTCTCCAAAACAACATGTATGAGGTACACATTACTTACCCGGGGTCCTGGAGGACCTGTATCTCCTCTTTGTCCTTTGAAACCCTACAAAAGAGAATGAAATCAATAATTATCCATTACTGTGACACATGAAACACTAAGAAAACTTTATCTTGAATGTTCACTTAATATGCTTCCTAATTTTGCCTAAGATTACAGTGGACTGGTCAGCATGGAGCTGCAATGTCCCAGGGAGTGATTAAGAAGGGCTACATCACAGGAGGAGCTTTCTACAGCTCCTTAGGCTGCAAGACCAAGACTATAGTGTGTCTATTCCTGGTGTGAGCAGCTAATAAATCATTTAACCCTAACTTTCATTGTTCCCATCCTTTCAGAGGACACATAACAGAACACAAGGGCTACAGCTGTGGCTATGCTTTCTGTTAGAAGGGGTGTTATGAAGTTATGTGATTTAACTTCTAGATAAGGGACCTACTGTTCTCCAGTTGTGAAGGACATGGAAATGCCTGTGTTGGATTTTTTTTTGTGGTCATTTATTTATTTGTTCAGTCACAATGCCATGACTATTTGCAGCTAGACCAGCTCTTTGGTTATGTGTTTGCATCAGTAAAGGAGCTCATCTGGCCACCAAAAGTTTCCCAAATACAGTATAGAAGAGTGACTAGATTGAGCCCTTCAGATCAGTACTTACTGGTAAGCCTCTGGCACCCTCCTGGCCTGGAAGACCTGGTTCTCCAGGCTTTCCCTATGGGAAACAATCACATTCATGTTAGGAGAATCTCAGGTCCATCTCTCTGTTGTTGGAAACCTCTCACTCTTCTCCCTTAGATTTAACAGCACTGAGGACTGTGATTGCCCAGCGTTTCTCCAGCAGTGCTGGAGTCTGAGCATGAAAGAAAGACAGTAGTGGTAAATTCCCATACATACTTCTACCTGCACTGCCACAAACACAGCCTTTGAGGTTCAAAGGTAGCTTACACCTTTGGATTGGTGCCCCTTTGCAGTGTTTTAATGATGGGTAATTCACAGAACTGCATCAATACCTAGAGCATACAAAATCAGCATCTACATGTAGAAATCAGGTGTTTCAATGCAAACACACAACTGTCTGAAACTGCTGTGACATGCACAGCTCCATGCACCCATTATCCTAATGACTGGGAACTTGGCTCTTCCCAGAACTAATAACTCCTGTTTGACAAGTCACAGAAGGAGGCTGGCAATGCTGGATACTGGAAGCATATTCTTCATATAACAAACACAGTTGCAAGGAATAACTTTCATTGCCCAATTTATTAACAGTTCCTTTTGGCTAACAACTTCATGGCTCATCTGTTTTTCCCCTCAGCAAACACAAGTACAGACTAAGCAAAGTAAAATATAAACCCTCTCATGCTGGACAACAGAAGTGTTGAGAAAAGGCTTCTGTAAGGACACCTCCTCTAAACTTTCTATGCCCCATAATTTTCTACTTAAAAAATGGATCACTAGGTTTAATGGCACCAGACAACCTTCTTCCTCTACAATATTTACCGTAGCTGTAAAAGTGGAATCACTAAGTTTTAGTGTATTTATGGTAGCTGTAAAAGTAAAAGAACCCAGTTTCTTTTCAAGATTGCAAGTGTGTGACTGTTATAAATCGCTCAAGACAATTTAGTCCTGGTGTTAAAAGAAGATGTGCAAACAGGCTCCCTGCCCTCCCTGAGGAATCCATGGATAGCAGCTCCAAAAACAATAACTGGATGCAGGCTCTGATTGCCTGAGCAAAACAGTTTTGCATTACATTACCGGTTCCCCAAGAGATCCTGGCTTGCCATCCTTGCCATCATTCCCAGCAATGCCCTGTGAATGAAATGCAAAACAGGGTATAAGGAAGGAGTTGATAAGGAATATTTACAGTGACAATTCTGCTTCCACATGGCATATTTAAGTTTGCCTACCCCTCCAAAACCTATCCTATTTCTATAGCTCAGCCATATACCTCTTCTCAATACACCACTGAAACAGCACAAACTGTTTACTTTTCTAGTATGGCAAGTGTAAGGGATTTCCTCCTTCTTAGCCAGGTGAGCACTCCAACAGCTTAAAACAGGATTCCATGGAGAGCTGTTCTAAATCATTAGAATGCCATTATCTTCATTCAGCTAGGCTGCTTCACACTAGAAATAGCTCTGGCCCAATCTATATGACAGATTAACACCCCCACACCCCCACACCCCCCCCCATAAATACTGTAATAATACACAGTCTGTGCCCAAGATGCACTTGATCTTGAGTTATTTCAAAGGAATTATTTTGACTGAATTCAGATAAAGATAGTATTCCAATCTCTGATTTTCGTGCCCTTACACTGGAGCTATTAGTTGATTTATGTGCTCTGCATTTAAAGAGTATTTCTTCCAGTTAAGAGGCAGATGAGGAACAGACCTGATTCATGTTGGTAATTAGCACTTAGCTTTGAAGTGATCAAATACAGCTTTTACACTGTCCTGGACCAAGGGCATAGCATCAACTTGACAGATGCCGTTACAAGTATACATAGCTTTCAAAGCACCTCAAAAATGTCACCTCTTTGTTTTACACACCTATGTGTTTTACATGCCTATGTGTTTAAACCTATAAAATACTGATCTAGAAGGAGCTGAATAGAACTCACTGGAAGTCCAGGCAATCCTGGTGGGCCCTGTGGACCTGGAGGGCCATCTTTACCCTGGAAAGAAAACAAGCACTGTGGGTCAAGGCAAGCTGCTCAGATGCTTCCATCTGTTGAAGATTTATCAAATACAGAGTTTGACAATAGACAGCTGTGAGAAGCAGGTCTTGCAGCCCATGTCACATAGTATGAAGTTCCTTGGATTCCTTCTAGTTTACATCGGAGGGCTTTCTTTTCACATGAAACACCCAGTACTAGTTACGAGTTGTTACAGATGGAGAAACCACTGAAATCACTGGTTTTGTTTTTTTCTAATGTATTATTATATTTAATCCTTAACTTCCTGCATGAGGTGTCCAGCCAAGAAGTAAAAGATCTATATTTTATACCTATCAAATCAGTAGTTATAAGAAGTGCTTTGCTGACAGTCCCAAAACATCCCTTTACAGGACTGGACTGTAGCATCAAGGTCTTTCACAGTGTCTCAACTTGATCATGAAGAGAAAGGGTACTTCAGCCAGCTTGTCCATGTAGTCTCTGGCCACATTGTTAAGACTGCTCACTGATTTTATATCAGCCATCAGAAGGACCACCATTGTTCACTTATTATGAAGTTCAGGTTGAAATGGATCTGCAAAAGGCATCTTGCTCATTCTAGACCTGTTCTAAAAATTAATGACAGAATTACAGAGTCTTAAACTGTTCCAGCTCAACAGCATGGGCTATTCAGGGAAGGTTAATTTTTTTTCCTTTCCAAACTGAATTTAACATCAATCAGATTACTTGTCCCTCCTAGGGTTTTCTGATGCATTACCATAAAGTAGGTAAGGTATCCATAAAGTAGGATCCATGGTATCCATAAAGTAGGATCTGAGTATCCATAAAGTAGCATCTGAGAACCCTTCAAATGGAAGAGTGATAGCAAAATTCTTCATAGACTTCTCAAGGGTTTTATCTATACTGGTATTTTCAGTGGTGCCAGGGAATGTTCTCAGGTCCTTGCATCTCAACAGTCTGTGCTGTGACATCCTTTTTTGCTTTTCTTTGCATCCTTAGTTGCTGGTTTCATTTTGACAATCTCCACACGGAGTTCAAGTCTTGGCCTGGGTCATGAAGCATCCTAATACATTTAGTCATCCTTTTCTAGAGATGAAGGGGTGTTAACAGCAAGGAAAGTCAGGTAATAGAAACCTCATTAGAGGTCCCATGAGCTGGATTATGCTCTGGCTAATCTGGAATTTCATTTGATGAGTAAACAAAACTGTAGGACCAGAGTAATCTGTGGTTATCTGTGGAGGTCTTACTTGCAAGCATAGAATTGATTCAGGCTGAATGTTTTGGGGAGCTTGCAAAGGACATTATATGATTTCCAGCTCAGCTTTACTTCTAAAAGCTAAATATAGCTGAAGGTGGTGGTGAAACACACAGTTTAGAGCTTACTGTGTCTCCTGGGTTTCCTGCTGGTCCTATTGGTCCTGGTGCTCCATCTGGGCCCTAAACAAAATAAAACAGAAACAATGTGATTAACACATTTTGTACAGTTTTCAGCACACTCCCTACCACAGCTGGCAATACTGAAGTTCACTCAGTTCAGCATTAATTCCATCATTCATCACAGAAAAGCAGTGCTAACCTCTCATTGAATCAGCCCCCAAAGCCAGAAATAGTCAGATATTTGAGTTTGGTCCTGGCCCTTCCTTCTGAAAATAGGGGACAAATAGGAAAAAGCCAATCTTGTGATGTAAAAATAACTTTGAAGAGCAGTTTGAAGCACGCTTTACGGCAGGCAAACTGCTGGAGCCACAGAGCAATGCAAAGTGAAAAGTCAGCAAAACTTGCAGAAAAGTATCTGAGGAATACCACACTGAGGTCTGCTTTGACAGGCTTGGTTTTACCTTGCACATTTCCTTTGACTAGAGGGACACATGGGACAATTTTAAGTGTTTCAATCTGACTGGAATAACCCTATGGCTGTGGCAGTATGAGGTTAATACAGACACAATAAATGTGTCTGTGTTATTAGCTTGTCTTGAAATAGTGCTCTCAGGAGTGCAAAAAGAGGTCCACAGGTTGTGCCAGTGGCAAAGCATTCAGCATCCTTTAGGCACTGCCGCAGTCTGAAAACAGGATTTTAATCTAATCCTCTTTTCTGGTACTTCCTGTCATTTAGTCAGTGAAGTATAAATTCAGCTTTGAAGAGACTGTGCTGATCCCCAGAACAGATGAAGGCTGCACACCCTCAGCATGGCAGAGCCAAACTGCACAGTAAGCAGCAATATGAGTAGTGATGAGTGTGGGCAAAGGAAAGCAGTTTGGAAAGAAAACTCCTTCACTCAGGAAAAGTCCTGGCTCTTGGAGGGTGTAAGCAGTGATATCAAAACCAGGACAGCCAAGTTATTTCAGCCCTGCTCCTGCACTGTAATCCTTTTTTAAATACGAAGAAGCACAGTTGTTTTAGTGAAAAGAGTAGAGCGAAGAACAAGGATGACTGTGGTGGAGAGGAACACATGTAAAACCTATTAATTCAAAAGTAAACTGCAGGATATGAAAAATGGAGAAAATCCAGTCTCATACCACTGTGTAAAATTGAGAACTATAATACTCTTAAGATCTCCTAGTTCTAGCCTGCCAATTTATTCCACATATAAAAAAACACCTATACACATACTAAGTAGTCCCTGTGGAAGAGATTTCATCATCATTGTCTTGTATAGCGTGAGTGAAGATTAACATTAATTTACAGAGAATGTTGAAGCAATCAGTGAAAAGTGGTTGATGTATTAAATAACAGTTATCATGAGTGGGGAACTATGACACTCAGGGGATCATTAGGAACCCACTGGAAAATGCAAATGCAATGCACAGACAGATGGGAATGGTCCTTTCTTCCACATGGAGCTTGCAACCACCTTTACAAAGGAAGGTACAGAACCACAGAATTACAGAATGGTTTGGGTTGGAAAGAACCTTAAGATCATCGAGTTCCAACCCCCTGCTATAGGCAGGGATGCCTCACACTATACCAGGTTGCCCAATCTTTGTCCCAGAGCAACTTACAGGTGGACCAGGGTTTCCAGGAGCCCCTGAGAAGCCAGGCATTCCAGGGTGACCCTGCAGAGCAAAAGGAGAGGCTTTCTTTATGCATTATTCACATCTCTAGTTGTCTAAAAGCTAACTGGTGCTTGAACATTGTGAGGTAACATCAATCAATACACAGAAAGCTCATTATAAGGAAATAAAGAACAATGGTTGTTTAAAACAAAACCTTGGTTTTCAAGGCATGAACATCAGAAATAGTTATATTTAAGGTGTACTTTTTCTAATAAGTACTTCAATCTGTGCTAATGGAAGATGAGAACAGATACTGTGGAATTGTACAAGGCAGGAAATCAGACAGGAAACCAAACCTGCTTAAAATATTCTACAAATCTCATTCAAGAGTTGCTGGTTTGCACCTTAAACTGTTGACATAACCATTGTTAAAATTAGCTATAAAAGTTTGCTTTAATTTAGACCATTCTCTTTCCTGTGGCATCTCAGTCCCTCCTAAAAGGTCATCCCTACATTCACACAATTATAGAATAATCATCTTCTAAGACAAATAGAAACTGGCTTTTTCAACCCAACGGCACCTGATGTCCAGGATCTCATTTAGGCATTATCTGGGGAAATGACTAAGGGTTAGGTAATGTAGAGAATTGAATGCATCCAATGTAAAGGTGATGAAACACATCACACAAGGCTTTTATTGGAGATAGGGGTGGAAGTTTGTGGAGGACTGCTAAAGTTTCACTCACAGCACACTTGAGATTTATCAGCGATGAAGAGCTCCCATCTTCCTTCCCTGCCTCCGACAAGGATGCTCCTCTACAGACATCATAAGAGTTATTCATGAAGGGACAATCACAGTAAATGCACTTGGAAAGAAAATTCTCTTTTTACCTGTTCACCTTTTTCTCCCGTATCCCCAGTCATTCCACGGTCTCCTTTAGCACCCTGATAATGAAAAAAAAAGCCATTGAAAGTCACTTAGATTCAGTATTTTATCAGCTTTCTGAACTATTTCATAAAGCACTTGAATATTTTTGAGCATAAAACTCATAAATTAGGGCTGAGTTTACTTGCCCTCCTTCTAAATTTTTCCCTAGACTTTTACTACCAATGCTGGAGCCAGGAATATATGTGAAGAATGGCCTTTGAGCAGACCCAGTACAACCCATTTTTTTTATGTTGTAGTCTCATGGACATGAAAAAGACTTACACATCCTTAGAAATTAGACAGGTTGTTAGGAACTTCACTAAATCAGATCTGACCCAACAGTATGAGCTAGTCATCAACTCTCCCTTCAGAAACAGCCACAATAAAAATGGCGTTTCTAAGGTGCAGTCAGAAAATTCATGCCCAGAAAGTGCTCCCCTCTTTCTCAATCTCTCTCTTCCCTAGTGCTAACACAACAGAGGCAGCTAACTCAAATGTACATCTTGTACAGGCTCAAATGTATTACCTATGCTTAAAGTAAGGCAAGATGAGTCTCACATGGAGCACTAATGAGTTGCCAGCCATGGAAGTAATACTCTGGTTTGCTGCGTGAGAGCTAGGAGATAAGTAGGGGACAGAGGGGCTGCTATTTATTAATTAAAAGAGGCCTAATTCATGTTGCCAGAAGGAATGAGGCTGCTCAGGACCAAATATCTGCAGGTTACCGTTCTATTTCAAAATGGGACCCCATACTAGTTTGGATGGTGTTGGTAAGGACAATATACGACGTCTTCGAAGGTACAGTCATTCACTGCAAGGATCTGCCTAATGTATTTAGAAAGAAGTCATAAAGACTGTGTTTGCACTTTTGCAGGGGTCTTAAAATATTTTCTTTTAACATTTACAAACTCTGTGAATCTGCCTTTTCACTGAATAGGAGTTAGGCTATCAATTAATTTATTTTATGAACATGTACAGTTTAAAAACGGTTCTGGTTACTTCATCTAAACATCCAATCTGCCCAAATTTCTGCTTTCTTACAGCATATAAGAAAGCAGCAGACATGGGATGTTTCAGGCTGCTTGGCTTTTCTGCCAGCTATTGTCATTATGGGTTACTAAGTCTTCTGCAAATTTTATCCCAGAACATACTTCCATTTTGATCAACCCTATATTTACTTTTGAGACTCTATTGCTCTCCCCAACACAATTTTAATTACAAGATATAAAATGAATTCATGAATCTCTATTAGCTTGTCCTACACTCTAATAAGTGCAAATACAATGATGTTAAACCAGCAGAAGCTATTTTAGACAGTACAACAGTAATGCAGGGAAGACTGAAACTGTGGCCCGTCATGAAATCACCTTAACTCTCCCCTCATTGATTTGTTTTGATTTATTTCACATTAAGTAGTTGTAAAGGTTTTGCTTGTGACCAGGCTCTGGCATTGTGAGCAGACTGATGACAGACCTCTGCATGGAACAGGCTTGAAAAGCGTCATTACTGGAATGCTTCAGACATCAGAAGTTTTATGTTGGCCTGTGCCTTAGACCATTAGTCTGAAGCTGAAACAAGGAATTCTTCCTATAGCGTGTTAAGGTAGCAGAATCCATGGATAAAATCGCCATGACAGATAGTGTGTAGGGAGCCCAGCAACCCATTGAACCAGCCTTAATTTAAATGGTTCAAGCATATAGGACTCAAAGAGGAGTGGAACAGGCAGGGGAGCTACTGCCAAGCCTTTAATTTCCTCTTCACCTGATTTAGGTGAGGTGATTTACTTCTAAGTACTTATATGTCAACAGCACACTGATATAATGAAAATTAACATCAAGAATGAGGCCCTTCACGTGTGTCTGTGTGACCAAAGGGATAATAGAAGCCACTATTTAAGGGAAACAGTGTTCATGTGAGGAGCTGTACAGTTCAGCATTCATGTGGCATTCCAGTGAGTTGCCAGTACAGGGTCCACCCAACAGGCCAGACCTACCCCTTTACAGAGACGGATGTTACCAAGATCCTACAGTGTAATAATTAGTCACAAATAAGTGTTCATTAGACAGCTGAAGAAAACCGGCTAACCTTTGGGCCATCAAGCCCAGGTGGGCCTGCAGGACCTCTGGGACCAGCGTTCCCCTGCAATGCAGAAGAGGTAAACACTAGTTCAGTCCGTTGACTCTACAAACATTTAAAAAATATTTAATAGGTTGTTGACAAAAAAATCCCAAACATCTAAAGATATTATAAGAAAACAAGGTTACAACATGTCCAAGACATGGTCACTTCCCCAGCTCTCTTACCACTTTCCCATCCTGGCCGTCTCTCCCTGGTGGTCCTCGGAGACCTTTATCACCTTTGAAACCTGGGATGCCTGGCAATCCTGGTGGGCCAGGAGGGCATTCAGCACACACATCCTAGCAGAGAACACAGGGAAAGAAATTAGTAATACACTGTGGAGCAGAGTGGGGGTTAGCAGCTGAACTCACACATGCTCACATGGGTTGTTTCCTATCAGTTCCAGTTGGACAGGTCCTAACTGATCATCCAGGATTAAGAAACCAAGGAAAAGGTCTTCCTAGGGGGACTTCAGAGAACTGCAAAGCAAGACTATCAAGAACAACTTTGTTTCAAAGCTACATGACTACTAGAAAACTGTGTCTACATGAGTCTGAAAGCTACGCTACTGCTCAGAGGGTGGGTTGTTAGGTGCAGTACAATGTCAGAAGGGTGTTTTGCAAAAGAAACTGTATTCAGCAGCTAGCATGGCCAAGGAGAACTCCTCTGATGGAGTTTGTGAAGACCAAGAAAATGCCACAGTGTCCTGGCCAAATTCTGTCATGGAGATTTACTCCCTCCCTCCCTCTTGTACTTTCTGAAGCATCATCTCAGTAGTCTTTACATTTCTACTGTCCTCAAGAAGTGAATTACTTTGAGTATGACATTTTCATTTCAGACTCCCTTCAGCAAAAGGGAAGTAAATCCTGTCTATAAAAGACAGTACATCAGAAGACACTGATCATCAGGTGGAGAGTTGGGAGAACTTGTTCCAACACCCAATTCTGTCAATGATCCATTGCAAAATTGTGGGGTAAACTGTCTTTCTAAGTGTTAGTTCCTACATGAATATTTATCTACTTACTGTATAAGTACCTGAGAAACACCTAAACCAAGAGCCCTAGTTTCATCTGGGATTTCAAGGTGTTGCTTTATATAGACCTGTACCAAGTGTAGAATGAAAAAATACCAAGCAGAAAGAATATGCAAGCCATACAAGTGTTTTTAACTGTAACATAATCAAAGCACAAAACCAAAGGAACATCAAAATGGCATTCTATACTCAAGAATCATTCTCTTAGTCTTGTCCTGATCAGAAATCCCAAACAATACCATACAGTGAAACCTCCCGAAAAATCACTTGGCTGCCTAAGACCGACAGCTCTTCACTGAAGCCATTTTACAGTGGCAAAATTAAAAGGCACATTTTGTAAATGGGGTTGGCTAAACCAGGTGATTTTTTAGTTTTAGTTTCTTCTAATCAATAAGAAAGGATTTCTTGCCATGTCCCAAGATTGCTTAAGAATGTCCCAGCTCAGCCCATTTAAATCTGTAAAGATATTGCAATAACAGCTATCAGATACTGACTTATTTCCCAGACAACAACTCCCTTCATGGAGAGGAAAAGCAGACAGAGAGATCATCACTTTTGAAACATGGGTGCATTTGGGGTTGATCACCTGCATCCTTTCAAATGCACTATGCAAATTGACTGCACCCACACTTCAAAACTGCTCCGGTCACTGTTGAATGTATACATGAAAAATCAGGCATTTCATTAAAACGGGTTCCAGTTTTTGGCTTAGGCAATACAACTGGACAATGTTTGTTGCTCCTTGGGAATGCATGCCTCAAAGAGGAAAAAAGGCTGAGAGCTTTGTAATGTACACCATGTTCTAAATATCTTTCTAGGTCATTTCACTGCTGGGGACGGTAAAAGGATTTTGATCTCCAGCATGTGCTCCAGTGTCCCAGTACCAGTGCAAGTAGGAGGCCTGCAAGTTTCAAGCTTTGACAGAGTATTTAAAGGCACCTTTTGCACTTGTAGCTCTGACACTTTCCCACCACAGGTGGGATTTCATCTGAATCAAACATACAGTCAAACTCCCACCATCATCAAAGGCTGATTACCTTTACTAAGAGATTTATGTCCTCTGGAGAGAGCAGGGGTGGGGAGCCCTGTGAAATGAGAAATTCATTATCTCAGGCAATTTTAAACAGCATCAACATATAAGAATTTTTCCTGAACATGCTTATGGACTCTTACTGGTTTCCCTTGCCCTTCCTGAGCCAAACACATACTTCCTGCCCTACTTTTCTACTGCACTTCATCACACCTGGGATGAGCTCTTGCTGAGGGTATTTACATGCAGGATATCCTGTTATTTCCATACTGTTCTAAAGCCATTACAGATACTTTTACCAGAACCCCTTAGAGGTTCTTAGTGCTTTTTCAAGCTGCTCAGCTGGAAAGAGCAGCAGTGGAAATGCACTGAAGTGCACTTCTGAGGTGAGGTGTAGAGGTGGAAACTGAGTTAAAAAGAAGATGTAATGTAGAAGTGAAGTTACATACTGGTTTTCCAGGAGGTCCTCTTTCCCCTGGATTTCCAGGTAGACCCTACAGATCAAGAGAAAGAGAAATTGTCATACAATGTTATGAGATGCTCCCCTAATCCACTGACCGCTCTGTACTAGCACATTTTACTTTCTGCCACTGAGCATCACTGCTTTTTGCATGTGACAAACAGTAAATCCTTGAGATATCCACAACTTCAAACATCCTCTGAACCCCTCCTAAATCTCATTTATCTATTCTGTGACCTTGTTAAATGCCAGTCACATAAAGTCTGAAATTGTTTTAGTTTGTCTTCTTATCACAAGAAGCACTATGCACTGCAATAATGTGAAGGATGAAGCTTTTGATTCCTGGAGATACCTGTAACATGCAAAATCAAGATCTTGCTTTGCACAAGCCTTGCAGACAGGTCCCTTCCACATGAAATAGCAATGGGCCTTTTTGTTGGTGGGTTGTATTAGTGTTGTGGTTTAACAATTGGTATCAGTTTTCTTGTGATGAAGGCATAGAAATGACCAGCATCCTTAGAATTTAAGGTTCGGGAAGTTATGGCTTGGAAAGGGGACATCATCCCTTAATAGTTTGCTTCTCATCAGCAAACCATTGCTTTGTTAAAAAATAAAATAAATATGAATAAATAAGAAAAAATCAACAGACAAAGTGAAACAAAAGATTATTTTTGACTCTTTGGATAAAATATTGCTTACATGAGAAACCAAATTTTTTTATCAACGTCCAGATGATGACACAAATCTGCATTGCAAGGATCCTTGCACTGGTGTTTTAAGTTGGAATGGGTGATATTTCTCCAAATCATTCTCTGTTAAATTCCTGGATTCACCTGGCCCATCACCCTGTGTCATCACTCAAGCATATGCAAGTTTTATCCATATTGAGAGCCTTAAAAAATATACATACAAAATACCTGCTAGCTACCTTAACCACATAGAAAAGGCCATCTTACGTGACCATTTTTGGACCTGCAGGAACAGTTTCTACAGGAAAACCACTTAAAAGCACCTTATCTGTGTTCAGTTTTGCTGATTCTGCAGCAGGTGCCATCTGGAGAGGTCTCTGGGACAATGTCAGATTCTTCACACAGGATGTTAATTAATACTCTGAAGATATCAGTAGTAGATTCCAATCAGTTTAGTCTTCGCAGGGGCTACCTAAGGGACTCTCTGAGACTATCCCATATTTCCACCTGTAAAGCTCCTTCAGAACTTGGCCAGATGCTTTGCTGGGAAGGGCACTAGGCATTCTGTCAAATCACCTTGTCTCAGGCTGATCCGTTGCCTCCAATCAGTTCATTGTATTATTTATGCAGAATACTAGATGGAAAGTTACTTGGGTGCCTGGGCATAAATAGCTTAAGCACATTCAGATACCCTGCTACACCATAATGATAGCTATAAGGCAAACTTGAATTTCATCCTTGTATCTCACTTATAACTTAAATCCTGTACCTCTTGCTAGAGGAGAGAGAAAATGGGAAAATATTTGATTGCTCCATTTCTATGTCCACAATAAACACTTCTGGGTGAACAACAACTCTTCAGTTACCTTGACTTTCTGACATGAATATTAAGCATGAACTGAAGTGGAGCTGAAGTGGAAGTGAAGTAGTACTGAAGTCCACAGATGAAAGCTTGTTTCCCGAGGAACCAAACCTTCTGCAGGTGAGAGCCAAGAGAAGATAAAGTGTGAAGAAGATTCTTAGCTCATAATTACCCACAAATGTCCTACTGCAGAACTGAGTAAATATAAGGAGACATTAGAACCATTTATAGTTTGCTTCTTATACAGAGCAGCAATGCGAATGTAGAAGATTATGGGATGTTCCCAAAGTCCCTTCTCTTCCACAGATGCTAATTGCCAGGTCATGCTTTTGGCATCCTCTCCACTATGGTTCTCAGCCACTTCTGCAAGCAGGAAGAGGGTTGCATAAATAACAGTTACACAGATCTTATATTCCCAGGCCTATTTTGTTCAGGAAGATTCACACAGCATTTGCTTTAAGGAGTGCAATAAAAGGCACAGATTTATAGGATCATAGAATAGTTAGGGTTGGAAAGGACCATAAGATCATCTAGTTCCAACCCCCCTGCCATGGGCAGGGACACCTCACACTAAACCATATCACCCAAGCCTCATCCAACCTGGTCTTGAACACTGCCAGGGATGGAGCATTCACAACCTCCCTGGGCAACCCATTCCAGTGCCTCAACACCCTCACAGGAAAGTATTTCCTTCCTATATCCAATCTGAACTTCCCCTGTTTAAGTTTTAACCCATTACCCCTTGTCCTGTCACTACAGTCCCTAATGAAGAGTCCATCCCCAGCATCCCTATAGCCCCCTTTCAGACACTGGAAGGCTGCTAGGAGGTCTCCACACAGCCTTCTCTTCTCCAGGCTGAACAGCCCCAACTTTCTCAGCCTGTCTTCATACGGGAGGTGCTCCAGTCCCCTGATCACCCTTGTGGCCTCCTCTGCACTTTCCAACAGTTCCATGTCCTTTTTATGTTGAGGACACCAGAACTGCACACAATACTCCAGGTGAGGTCTCACAAGAGCAGAGTAGAGGGGCAGGATCACCTCCTTCGACCTGCTGGTCACGCTCCTCTTGATGCAGCCCAGGATATGGTTGGCTTTCTGGGCTGCTAGCGCACACTGAAGCCGGCTCATGTTCATTTTCTCATCAACCAGCACCCCCAAGTCCTTCTTCGCAGGGCTGCTCTGAATCTCTTCTCTGTCCAACCTGTAGCTGTGCCTGGGATTGCTCCCACCCAGGTGCAGGACCTTGCACTTGGCATGGTTAAACTTCATGAGATTGGCATCAGCCCACCTCACAAGTGTGTCGAGGTCCCTCTGGATGGCATTCCTTCCCTCCAGGGTATCAACCGAACCACACAGCTTGGTGCCATCGGCAAACTTGCTGAGGGCGCACTCAATCCCACTGTCCATGTCAGTGACAAAGATGCTAAACAAGACCGGTTCCAACACCGATCCCTGAGGGACACCACTCGTTACTGGTCTCCAGCCGGACACTGAGCCATTGACCACAACTCTTTGTGTGCGGCCATCCAGCCAGTTCTTTATTCACCGAGTGGTCCATCCATCAAATTGCTGTCTCTCCAATTTGGAGACAAGGATGTCGTGTGGGACAGTGTCGAACTCTTTGCACAAGTCCAGGTTGATGACATCAACTGCTCTACCCCTGTCCATCAGTTCTGGAGCCCCATCATAGAAGGCCACCAAATTGGTCAGGCAGGATTTCCCCTTAGTGAAGCTGTGCTGGCTGTCACCAAGCACCTTGTTGATTTTCATGTGCCTTAGCATGCCTTCCAGGAGAATCTGCTCCAAGATTTTGCCAGGCCCAGAGCTGAGACTGACTGGTCAGTAGTTCCCTGGGCCATCCATTTTCCCTTTCTTGAAAATGGGGGTTATATTTCCCTTTTTCCAGTCATCGGGAACTTCACCTGACTGCCAGGATTTCTCAAATATGATGGCCAGTGGCTTCGCAACTTCATTCACCAGCTCCTTCAGGACCTATGGATGGATCTCATCAGGACCCATGGACTTGTGCATGTTCAGATTTTTAAGATGGTCTCGATCCAGATCCTCTCCTACAGTGCGCCCAAAGTCTTCATTCTCACAGTCCCTGCGTCCGCCTTCCAAGACTTGGGTGGTTTGGTCAGAGCCTTTGCCAGTGAAGACAGAGGCAAAGAAGTCATTCAGAACCTCAGCCTTCTCCAAATCCTGTGCAGCCAGTTCTCCCGAGAGCTTCCTTAGGGGGCCTACGTTCTCCCTAGTGTGTTTTTTATTCGTTATGTACCTGTAGAATCCCTTCCTGTTATCTTTAATACCTCTAGCCAAGTTTAATTCTAAGTGGGACTTAGCTTTCCTAACCTGGTCCCTAGCTTCCGGGACAACATCCCTGTACTCTTCCCATGCCACCTGTCCTTGCTTCCACTTTTTATAAGCCTCATTTTCCATTTGAATTTTCCTCAGGAGCTCCTTATCCATCCAAGGAGGTCTCCTGGCCCTCCTGCTGCACTTCCTTCTGGTTGGGATGCAACACTCCTGAGCTTGCAGCGGGTGATCCTTGAATATCAACCAACAGTCTTGGGCCCCTCTGCCCTCTAGGGCTATATCCCATGGAACCTTCCAAAGCAGGTTCCTGAAGAGGCCAAAGTCTGCTCTTTTGAAGTCCAGGGCAGTGAGCTTGCTGCACGCTCTTCTCCCTGTCCTGAGATCTCAAATTCAAGCATCTCGTGACCGCTGCATCCAAGGCTGCCCTGGAGTGTCACATTTCCAACGAGCCCTTCCCTGTTGGTGAGCACGAAGTCAAGCACGGCACCTCTCCTTGTCAGCTCCTCTATTACTTGCAGAAGGAAGTTGTCTTCCACACAATCGAGGAACCTCCTGGATTGCTTGTGCCAGGCCATACCATCCTTCCAACAGATGTCAGGGTGGTTGAAGTCACCTATGAGAACAAGGGCCTGCGAGTGTGAGGCTTTTCCTATCTGTCTGTGGAGTGCTTCATCCGCAGGTTCTCCTTGATCAGGCGGTCTGTAACAGATCCCCACAGTAATGTCTCCCATAGCTATATCCCCTTTAACCCTGACCCACAAACTCTCTGTGGACTGCTCACCTGTCCCCAGACAGTTCCATACTCTCCAGCCTATCCCTAACATAAAGGGCAACTCCCCCTCCCCGCCTGCCAGGCCTGTCTTTTCTAAAGAGCCTGTAACCTTCCATTCCAACACTCCAGTCATAGGAGCCATCCCACCATGTTTCTGTGATGCCTGTTATACCATACCCCTGTAGACGTGCACACATCTCTAATTCCTCTTGTTTGTTCCCCATGCTACGGGCATTTGTATAGAGGCATCTGAGCCAAGCTCCAACTGAAGCCGGCTCATTGGCTGGAGTGGCTGGGATATCTCTACATCATCCTGGATCAGAAAGCAACACAGAACATACAATTCAAAAATGTCTTTCACGCTGACTATTCATGTAGCTACAAATAAACTGTTTCTACATTAGGGCTTCTGACAGCCTTCTGCTCAGGGATCTGAAACATGACATGGTGCTACCAGTGGAATTTGAGCATTTAAAGAAGATCTATTTGAAGATGAATATAGAAAAGACTTCTTAGTTATGAGAAAACAAGGGAGTGACTAAAACTCAAATCCTGGGAAAGATTTAAGCACAGCTGTGATATCCACATAGTATCAGATTGCCTTGAGACAAAAAAGGATGGACCTATATTCTTGAACACTGTATGTTGTCGATCTGGAGATGTATTTATCAGGTTACAAATGAGACAGGACATTGAATTGAACAAACCAGGTGTAGGATGATGGCACTTCAGAATGTTGCATTATCAGAGAACAGCCAACTGGAAACAGAGTCCAATGTAGAGGAAAGATTTCTGGAGTTAGAAAAGAATGACAACAGGGGGCAATCTGCAAACATTGCTCAGAGCAGAATGAAAGTGCTGGAAGAAAGGCACAGAGGGTATAATTGCACCTGACAAGCTGACTAACAGCAGAGGAAACTAGAAAAGAGAAAGCCAGAAAAAAAATCCATAAAAGAACTTCAGAGAGCCTACCCAAAAAATAATGCATGATAATGAAAAGAAATGCTGCTGATGTGATGAGGTAACATGCACGGATCCAAATAACCAGTGTTGGAAGGCACATAAAGTTTGAACACTTTCAGTAGCTTGCAGCCAACAGTGGCTGGCATTATGCAGAATATCCAGTGAGTGGTACAGCAAAGCAGTGGAGGAAAAAGACGTTAGGAGTGAGGAGGTATAATGTACAGTTCTGCAAAATGTGACATAGAGGAATGGTCTCTAACTGGGGATTGATGGAAGCTGTGCAGATGACATGCTGAAAATTGAGGCTTAGGTAAGTGATGTATGGGAAAATCAAAGAAAGCGTATAAGGAAACCAGTCCTACAGGCTTATGGTGGGGTGGTTCTGTTACAAGACTGAAAATAAAGCTTGAAATGCAATAGCTAAAATAGGTTGCAAGTCCCAGGAATAAAAAGCCAATAGGGGATTTAAAAAATGTGCTCTAGTTTGAGGTGTATGTACCCTAAAACAAACACAAAGGCTTCTTGGAACTATCCTTCTCACTATATGGCAAAATCAATGTCAGAATAGAAATCTCTGCTTTGCAGCTCTCATGGAGGTAATTATGCATCCACAAAGTTTTTTGTAATTATGAAAATTAATGTAGGGGAAGATTAACTTCTTGGTAACACTGGAACCTAGCTATAAATAATTAACATAATTAAAAAATTATTAATTCAAAGTTTATGTTAATTAAAATGATCATAATCAAAATGCAGAAAGAGCCTATTAAATTTGTGCACTCACTGCTAATAGTAGGACAGGAGAATGTCTCATTCAGATTGTTTTCTAATCTATGGGAATTAAATAGGTAGGTTGAACAGAACCATTTTATCTCCTAGCAGACAGAAAGGGGAGAATGGATGCTTCCCCAAAAATGTGCAGTGTAAGCTTAAGGCCAGGGAGTGTCTGCTCCTTTAGAGGTACCTTTTTCAATGCAACAAGGGAAAACGAGGAGGAAGCCATAAATAAGAACATACAGGGACAGAAACCTGACCAACACATAAGGGAGGCAGTGATGGGAACCAAAGCTGGACAGTCACAATAATTGATGAAGACATCTGAGAGTGTAAGGAGGTTTAATCCAGCAAGGTTATCTGATCCGGGATGTTGTCACTTTGGAAACGAAGGCAAAAGGAAGAAATCAGAAACAAAATAAACCAAGATAGAGACCTAACAAGAAACAAACCTTGCAACTCACACTGATTGGATGAGCTATCAAGAAACCACAGTCTGCACTTCCATGAAGATCAAGCTGGACCTAGCACGTGGTAAGATTGTAAACCAGGGGGCTCCTGAACTAGGAGGGGGTGCAGGAATTGATAGAGATGTAGAAATTCATGAGGGAACATGCATAGGAAAAGGAAGCAGTGAGGAACAAGCAGGGGAGTAGACAGACAAGGGTATAAAAGGAGCTGTGTAAATATGTTATAGAATCACAGAATCATAGAACCAACTAGGCTGGAAAAAACCTTTACATCATCATGCCCAGCCACTACCCCAGGACTGTCAAGACCACCACTAAACCATGTCACTGAGGGCCTCATCTACATGGGTTTTGAAAACATCTAGGGACAGTGATTCCATCACTGCCCTGGGAAGCCTGTTCCAAGATCTCATTACCCTGTCTGTCTGTAAAAGGGGCTGGTCAGTGCAATTGTCTGGCTGAGCCGTCCACCTGATCTCTATGATCCTTTCATATCTTCTTATTAATCCTTTCTTAACTATCTTTTAAATCACATTTACATACATTAGGTTATTCTTTGCTCTATTTTTTCCAGATACTCTTAGAAGTGTCTGCTATCCAGGCCCACGAAAAAATTAAATGGAATATAGTTGCAAAGGCTACAGCAAAAAATAAGACACCAAGGCAAGTAATTGAAGCTATTACCACTGAATGGCTTGGGAGTTGCATGGTAAATTCATATTAGCAATTCAAATTGAAGCTTTCCTGATGACATACTGTTTAAATACAACAGAGTACAAAAATGGGCATGCTTCAAAGAATACAGGAACACTACATTGATACACAAGAGTGCAAAAGCAGAACAAAAAATCCTTTGTACTAGTCATAAATGAAAGTGGAGATCAGGAAACTGTAAATGCACGATCTTGTCAAAGTAGGTATCCCTGCTGTTACATCAAGGAATGTTGGAATGTGCCCTGTAGCTGCATTTACACTTCCTGAAATGCAGGCAGAATTGCTTAACAGGCTATCAGTCAGGATACAGAGAGCTCCTAAAGGCCATATTGAGTGCAATTAAAACAGATGGCATAATAAAGGATGCATTTTATCAGTACCATAAGGAATGGTTCTGTTTGGGTAATTTCTGCAGGGAAAGGAAGAGATGTAAAGACTGTAATACTGCTTCTCCAAGAGCTGACCAGCTAATGCTGATCTGAGTAGACCCAGAAAGGGACTCACAAAAGCTGGTTCTGTCACTCTTCTCACACAATACAGTTGTACTAAACCCATCTATTGCAGCTCCTGTTTAAAATGGCTTTATTGAAAATATCAGACATCTGAGACAAAGTAAAGATCTAGAGGCAGTCAGCAGGACACAATCAATCCTGAACCTGTGGCTGCTCAGGGACACAGGGTGATGAAAGCAAAGAACCATTTCTGCTATCATAGGAAGATATTATGGCCAGGGATACTCTGGCCGTAATAATTTGTATTGTGATAAAGTAAGTGGGAAGAAAACTAGGCCTTCTTCTCCAGACATTCAGGGCGAAAGGCTATCCATCCCATGGGAATGTACACCCTTCAAGGCAGCTGATGTACATCATTAAAGCAACACTAGGGCTCAAAAGCACTTTGCATGGACTTTGTGAAAACTGATACCATTTCAGATATAGAATCATAGAATGCCTTGGGTTGGAAAGGACCTGAAGATCGTCCAGTTCCAATCCCTTGTCATGAGCAGGAATGCCTTACACTAGACCATGTAGCCCAAGGCTCTGTCCAATCTGGCTTTGAACACTGCCAGGGATGGAGCATTTACCACTTCTTTGGGCAACCTGTGCCAGTGCCTCACCACCCTCACAGTAAAGAACATCTTTACTGTAAAACCTGAACTTTTCCTCCTTTTGTTTGTGCCCATTACTCCTTGTAATGATGTGTTATGATGCATGACAGCATCACAAAGAAGCTCTGAGAAAAACTACAAAAGCCTACTGCCTCCTTCCTACAGCAATCCCTCAACAGGCACAAATCCAAAGAGCAAGCCTTTCAAACTCTTCAGAGCCTCCTAGTTGGTTTTAATCCAGGACTGGTTTCCACATCACAGAGCTGGCTGACCAGCAGAGTTTAAAACACTCCTCTTTTTGATTCCACACTGCGACAAAACCAAGCAGCGAGACGGGTCAACTTTCCAGCTGGGTGCCTGCCACGTTTCTCTATATCCCTCAGCTCCATGACTCACCCACTGAGATGGCACAAGTGAGAACAATGCACCAAGAGGTTAAAATGTCAGTTCTCGTGCACAGTTGCAGCAGCAAAATGAACTCACACAGAGTTTTTTAACAGCTGTGGCCCAGTTTTCATAGAAATATTATAGGTTACTTAGCAGCTTCCAAGAAGTTCCTAGACAGCTTAAATTTTAACCTTTCCCAGTGTGGGATTGTTCCCCAGTGTATGCTGCCAAGTCCCATCTCTAGTGTCATTTAAAAGTGGTTCACTGGTAAAGATCACCACTTTCCTTGAGACAACCCTCCTTAGCCTAACTGCGTTTCTCCCTGACATTCTAACCTGTAAGAGCTTATGTGAATCATCTCCCTTCTACCATCCTAGTAATACTTAATGGCTGCAGTTGAGTAGGAGCTCAATTTTTAGGGAAATCAGATTTTCTAATTAGAAATTAGATTTGAGCACTGTCAGATTTCTTGAGCACTTACACTTTTAGTTTACTTACATCCTGGCCAGGCGGGCCCTGTGGTCCAGGGATACCAGGTACACCACGGGGACCCTTGTAGGGAGAGAACAGTAAGGACAGCAGTAGTTATTAAGAGTTAAACTCATTCTTTCTTTTTGCAGGACTATTAAAGGCAAGGAAAAGTTGTCACCATGCCAAGAGTCCCAGTCAGCTCTTTCTCACAACTCAATATAGCAGACAAGTAGTTGCTAATGTACAAGAGAAGTCCTTTTAAGGGTCACGCAAACTGTGAGCCTACCATCCTTGGGCAAGGAGAAACTAACCATGCCTTCATCAAATAACAGGCAGAAATGCAATTAGTGGGGTTGTCCCTTCCCCACAAAATCTGGGTGTAGTTAGAAAGACATACTGTACCAATGACCCTTTGTCTCCTGGAGGTCCCACTGGGCCCTGCAAACAGAAAAGACACAGATATCAAAACACTGAAAATGCTGATGAGGCTGGGTCCTGAAGCACCAACATAAAATTGGAGTAGTGAGGAAAAAGAGAAAGTCTGACAGGCTGCTCACATAGACATTGTTGGGGTGTAGAATACTCACAACAGGATGTTTAAAGGAATGTCAAAGGCAGAGTGAGAAAGAAAGAGAGAAAAAGGGACCAGAGGGGTCAGCTGTATGCTAACATGGTACTTGTCTGCCTGAGCCCTGTACTAAATCACCGCAGACATAGAATACCTGAGGTTGGAAGGGACCCACAAGGATCATTGTGTCCAACTCCCTGCTTCTTGCAGGACTGCCTAAATCTAAACCATATGACTAAGAGCATCATTCAGATGGTCCTTGAACTCTGACAGGCTTGGTGCTGTGACCACTTCCCTAGGGTGACTGGCTGCCCTTTCAGTGAAGAACCTTTTCCCAGTGTCCAATTTGAACTTCCCTTGGTGCAGCTTCATTTGATTTTTTCACAGCCTATGGCTGATCACCAGAGAGAGGAGAACAGCACCTCCTCCTACACTACCCTCCTTGAGCCCTGGGGAACCCCACCAGTGACTGGCCACCAGCCTGATGTAACCCCATTTACTGTATTCACATTAAATCCTGTTTGTAACATGCTTGGGCATGGGTGAGATCAGGAATCCGAGTCTGGGTCGTTGAATATTAGTGGGCCTGAAACCACATGAACTGGCAAGGACGAGAGGTCTGGGTGTCAGCAGCTGGAGGACATTAGGATGCAGAGGCCTGAGTACTGGGAAAGTAGGTGTCCAGGACCAGCTGCTGGAAAGATCCACATTTCATTTTTATATATCCCAACAGTGGCTTTCAAATCTCATCAGCCAGGTAGAGGAGAAGAGGGATTGAGACATTCTTGATCATGTTTCTGAGAGTGCTGTTTAGGTTTATGTGAGTGTTCAAAAAGCATTGTCCTCTGCTTTGGTCTGCGTAGCTGCACACTTATGTGTGTGCATTGCATGTACATATGCCCATTGACACTACGTGCTTAGCAGCACTACTGGCTGGACCTGAGGATGTAGAAACACAGCACCTTCACATCTGTTGGGCTGGGACAGGCCAGTTCCCCCAGGTCCTGAAGACCACTGTAATCTGTGACCTCTAACAAAAGGAAAAGCATCCCACAGGACCTTTGTGCCCTTAAATAAGGTCAAAGTAGGGAGTGCAGTGGACCTGCATATGCTGTTTGTTGGGGATGTGATTTAAAAAGGTGTAGCCAAGTAGAGTGGGCCACTAGAAGGTATCCACTTCTATAGGGACAACACAGAAGTGATGGAATATCCATATCCAGCATGGATGAGTCAAATACACCCAAAAAAAAGGCTTGACTTCACATCTCTGGCTTTGTGTTTGAATAAATTGTCTCACACCAAGACTTTTCAACCTTTGGTTTCTATTTCAGGCACATTAATTCACTAATCCTCATACAGTCCTCCATGCAAGACACCTTAATGCTCTGCTTAAGCAAAGACTAAATACATAATTCTGAACCCATAGTAATATGAACAGGGCAAGGCAGAACAAGAGCAAAACCCTTTTACTTACGCAGCACACACCTCCATTAGGCAGCTTCAGCATAAGCATATGAATTCACCCTATTTCTCTTCTTCTGGTTCAGAGGGAAGAACACACTCTGCTAATACTCAGTTTATGGCTCAGTGTTATGCAACTGAATACTTTAGCAGACAAAGTAAGAAAATCATCATCTGTATGTACCTTCTGTGCAGGAGCAAAGCCCAAGAGGAGTTAAAGGGCACAGGAGGAAACAGGGCGAGAACTCTAATTAAAAAGAGTTGCTGCCTCTCAGCTCTGCAGCTGAAAGTATTATACACACAATGTTTCCACATTGCTAAAAAGGGTACAGGCTGACACCTTTAATTCAGTATGTGATATGCACTGAAGCAGCTCTACTGACTTTACTCCTTTTCTTCTATGGGACTCAGTCTTCGTTAAAGCCTGATATATTCAAGGTTATACAATGGTTTCCAGATTCCAGACTCTTTGCAGTGGAGTTGAGGTTATGTTGAATCTACAGTGGAGAAAACCACCGTAATAGTTGTTGAAAAATGTATTTAGGGAAGCAGATTACATAAATAAAGACAAATCGATCAGGAAAGTGTGATGTGGAGGTGGCTACTTATCCTAAAAGTGGTCAAACAATGATGACTCACAAAAAAGGTGACCTTCTGGTGTGAGACAAGCAATATTTATATTTGGTATCAAATTCTTAGTCATTCATGTTCATAAATGAGCAGATGCTTAGGCCCTAATGAAGAATAACTTTGTCATCTAGTGTACATCAGGATGCAGAAGTGAACTCATCTACCCCTGCACTGAATGTGAGAACCAGTAATTAAAAGCAGCTCACAAGCTAGTGACTTTCAAACAAGCCAAATACTCATTTGCTAATCTCTTTTTAATATTAATGACTGAACATTCAGAAATGCAAGAACATCACTGCTCCTTAGATAAATCATAACAAATAGCACTCAGCAAATCTTCAGTCATTGGTAACTGTGAGGACCATGAAGGCCATGATAGAGTCATAATGCAAAACATGACTGACCCGGTCTGCTTTACTTGATATAGTATTTAGCTTGGTAAAAGCAAATATGAAGTGGAAACCTAGCTCAGAAAACTAGATTTGTCAACCAGGATTACACAGCAATATGACATCATTTTAAAGGTAATTTCCTGTACTAATTGGGAAACTTGTATCTAGATAACCAGAGCATGAAAACATTGACTGTGATTGGTACGTATCATGGTGTGTACAACGGGTTGCGAAAGAATGCAAGGTCTCAGATACTACCTAACAGTTACAGCTACGAATAAAGTTTGATTCCTCCTAAACATCTCACTTGCAAATTCAGAGCACATCTGGAGGTCTCTGAGCAGGGCTCAGTCAGAGCACTCCCAAACCCCCCTCATCTCAAAAGGAGTTGTACATGATAAGAACTGAAGCGATCAAAGCCCAGCAATATGAAAATCCAAACTTTCCATAGCAGAATCCCAGAGAGAGGGACCAGAGATGAGGCCAGATCTGGATGTTTTGGGGGAAATTATGGGGACCCTTGTCCTCTTGGAATGCAGCAGTTTAAGCAACCAGATCTTGTATTCCCCATCAGTGCTGACTATGTCACTGATGTGGGCATGTGTGTCACACTCATCATTTCAAATAAGGTGACAGCAAGGTTCTGTCTGCCCAGTAGACCAGACCTGCTGGCTCAGCACAGATCTCAACTCGCATCCACAGCCAATGTGTCAAGATGACACAGAAAAGTCAGGAGTAACAGCCAGAGTGATATCAATTGCTCCTATAGCACTTTTCTGCCTTTCAACCAAATATGAACGCATCAAGAGCTCTCACAGCAGACGTGTAGACATCTGAGCCACAAATGGCAGCTTCTCGACTAGTTTGCCATTTGCATCTTCAAAGGGTGAAACGTCCAACATGCTCTTGGCACAGCTGAGCACAGGCAACGTGTTCCCGAGGTGATGATAGATAAGTTCTTGCCTTGATACAGATTGCAGCAGGACCTGGTACTTACAGGGGGTCCAGCCAGCCCAACTCCTGGAGCACCTCTGTCTCCTGGCTGTCCAGGGAGGCCGGGAGGTCCCCTCTCACCCTGAAACAAAGAAAGGAGTTAAGAGCTTTGTGCACTGTTGGGAACACATAGAACCACAGAATAGTTTGGTGGACCTTCAAAGTTCATCTAGTCCAACCCCCTGCAATGAGCATGGACATCTTCATGTAGATCAGGTTGCCCAGAGTCACATCCAGCCTGGCCTTGAATGTCTTCAGGGATGGCACATCCACTTCCTCTTTGGGCAACCTGTGCAAGTGTTTTACCACCCCATTGTAAAGAATGTTTTTTTCATTACATATAGCTTGAATCTCCACTCTTTTAGTTTCAAACCATCACCCCTCATCTAAAACCACCACCCCTCATCCCATCACAACAGACCCCGCTAAAAGGTCTCTCCCCATCTTTCTTATAGGCCTATTTTAAGTACTGAAATGCAGTCAAGTTCCTCAACAAACATAACACTGATACATCCTGACCTGATCCTGCCCACAGAGGAACCATATCAGGTTGTGGCAGCATGGCGATATGGTGACAGATAACGTGTGACAGTTACTGTCATATCATGCCAAGAAAATTGCCCCCTCCCTTTACAGACCTCCAGACCACCTCTGTGAGCACTCAGACAATGTCAGTGTGTGCCACATCACATAACAGAGTGGGAACACAACCTCTACAAGTATTTTATTTTAGTGCATAACATCCAATTTCCTACAATTCCCTCTGCCTGCAGACTATTAGGTACCTTCCTCAGCCTGGGGAAATCCTAAGTACCGTACTGTGCTTTTCTTTCTTTCAGTGGTAGATGGCTAACCTGCAAACACTGTTTAATATTTAGAATCATAAAATCAACTAGGTTGAAAAAGACCTTTAAGATCATTAAGTCCAACCTTTACCCCAGGACTGCCAAGTACACCAGTAACTCATGTCACTGAGGGCCACATCTACACGCCTATCTAGGGACAGTGATTCCACCACTGGCCTGGGCAGCCTGTTATAATCATCCTTTTGGGGAAGAAATTGTTCATAATCTCTGGTCTAAATGTCCCCTGATGCAACTTGAGGTTATTTCCTTGTGTCCTATCACTTGTTACTGACCCCACCTCACTACAATCTCCTCTCAGGCAGTTGTAGGGAGTAATAAGGTCCCCCCTGAGCCTTCTCTTCTCCACACTACCCCCCCCCCCCCCCAGGTCCCTCAGCCATTCCCCATCACACCTGTGCTCCAGGCCCTGCACCAGCTCTGTTCCCCTTCTCTGGACCAGCTCCAGCACCTCAATGTCTCTCTTGTATTCTAGGTGTGGCCTCACCAGTGCCAAAAATTTATCCATGGAAGAAAGAATTAGGAATGTTTGGTTACATCTTAATGGTCTCCTTTCTTTTACCAACATAGGCCTGCCCACAGAAGTGTATGATCAGTTCTGGGGGTAAAAAAAATAATCATCAGTTCTACCATTGTCTCCAGAGGACTATGCTGCAAAAGGAGAGAACTCCTTTCTAGAAAGAAGGATTTTCAATAGTAAAACCTGCAGAGCACAGAAAACTACTTGGCACTGGCACTGTTTAAAGGACATCGTAGTTGGAGGGCTAAGAAAGAATTCAGTTGCAATACTTAAATTTGAAGTCTGTTCTCTTGTAATCAAGTAAGATTTTTGTGGACTGTATTGCAGTTGTGAGATTTGGTCTCATGTTGGCAGTAGATTTATAACAATGAATCTTATTCATGTTATTTATTGTTATGCTATTTCCAATTATATAGAAGCATGATAGAAAAATCATTACCCATGGATTCTGTCCACCCAAAGTTCAATCTGTAATACTTCCTATTTTTTTCCTTTTCTTTATTTCTTCTTAAACTAATCTTATATTACAAAGAAACAATGATTCAAGGAGGGTGAAAGAAAACATATCCTGATTACTTCAAACACTCCAGCAGATTCTTTTGCTCTATTTTATTGAAGAACATAATTTCAATACAAAAAGTTCAATAACATTTGCCCATGCACAATTAAGATTTCTTCCATCTTGTGTTGATATTGAATAAGGTATTTCATGAGGTTGTTTTAAGTGGTTTTTTTCTGACTTTAATGTTAATTCTCAGCCTATTATTGTGTGTGTGTGTTCTGAACTCTCAAAAGATATATACAACTGACAATAATGCTTTTATACAGAATGAAGCAAAATGAAAGCATTTCATAGCAGTCTGGTTATTTCAAATATACAGGACCACAATGGACCTAATCTCCTACTGCAATATTCCTATTAATATCATTTATAGAATCAGTTTCTATATCCCATTCTTCTTCCAATCCAGATGAGGACACAGTCATTTCAAAGAGGAGAATTTCTAACTTGTCTGATTGAAGGTTCAAGCAGAAACCAGATACTCCCAGCAGCAAAGGTTTTTGCTGTTCTATTCCTTTCTCTATTTGCTGTGTACTTATAAGGGAATAAAGATCACTTTCAGCTGGAAAAATTAGTGTCATTAACATCATCAACTATGTAGTCTTTGCCTTAACTACAAAACATGAGGGCAATCCAGGACTATCTGGTCCCATTGGAAAACAATTCACATCTCCCTTGGAGACAGATGAGTGCTATGGAGGAGTGCCCTTTATGGAGCTGACAAGCAGTCTCAAGAGTAGATCATCCTTTAGCTACGCAATGTCTCTCTAGCTGTGGGGATTAGAGGTCTCCAGTCACAGATTCCCTTAAAAAGGGTGCATTGAGCCCTTAGTCTGTGTTGAACCCATATAATGCTGGAAGGATTTTTAAATGTGGATAGTGAACATAGCTAATTCATATCTTAATGATCTTACATCTACATTAATAAAGAAATCTTTAATAAAGAAAGGAACTTCCTAAAAGGCTGGAAGTGCACTTTTGAGCGGCAGCTTCGCAAATTCTTATTTTCCTGTGAAAACAGGACATGTTTTCATCATAATTTTTTCTTCAGTTCCAGCAATTGAGAGAGCCAGTCCACAATAAAGTCCATGCTCACCTTGTGTCCAAAGGGTCCTGGCAAGCCTGGAGGGCCTCTTTGCCCCTAAAGTGACAGAATCAAAACCAGAAAACAGTTACCATGCAGCCAAACAGGAGCCTGGACTTTGACACAGTCAAGGCAAAAAGCATCCCCACCAACACCCTCCTTATATCATACTGTCCTGCTGACATTTTACTGATAACATGTAAGCAAATTAAATAATCTGCTAACTCGGCTAGAATTAAATGATTTTAGGGAACTGCCTATCAAGCTAATCTTTACTGGTCCCAAAGACAACGGCTACTCCTTGTGGAGGTCTCCATTTTCAATGGCCACCATCGCACACTAAAGGAGATTTAACGTTCAGAAATACAGCTTCAATTCTTTCTGCCTTTTTGGATGTAGGTTTGTGATCTGCAGCATTTTTGCACAGCCAGGTCCTTTGTATCTTCAGGTAGACAGCCTGTGATGACTTGTGACAATGCAAGCAAACACTATCACAAATTCAGTGTTCTGCAGAAGTCATGCTTACCTATCGCATACTACTCAAGCACAAAGCTTGCCAGCAGTACTTACCTGCTCTCCATCTTTACCCTTACCAGGTAAACCCGGCTCCCCAGCACGCCCTGGCTCACCAGCCGGACCAGGTAAACCCATTTTTCCTTCTTTTCCAGGATCACCCTAAAGAAGACAATTCAGCAAAACAGTAGCATACATAAATCATTCAGGTCTTTCATTGGGACTGAAATATACACATTTTTCAAGCCTTCTCATCTGAATTTTTCTTGGCATCATAGGAAGCCTGTTTTACAGGAAGTCTTTTCCTACAGTAATCTCAAGGCATGAGTAGTTTTCCTTAAGGAAAGTAAAATGAAACTTCAAAATGCTTGAGGAATGAGCTATATGTGACAGTGTGCTTCCCCCCCCACTGCAAAGCAGGGTTTATATCCTATAACCCTGCTTAAATGATAACCGCCAATGGCAATTGTAAGGGATGCATCCAGCTGAAAGTGGAGAGAGATAACAATACAATAGCCAAGGGTTAATTTGAACAACGCACCCACCTAACCAAGTGCTTGTCAATGTCTGACTCCAGCTAAATTTGGAAGAAACTAACATCTGAAACTGATATGCAAATATGGCAATCATTTTACTCTATAGATAGTGGGCAGCACAGAATTCATTCCTGCACAGCACCGGGCTGCATGCCAAGATCTCCCCCTGAGTAGGAACACCTCTCAAGTTTGCTCCTCTGAGGAGTTAAGGATGCAAGAGGATCCTTTCTGAACCTCATAACTCAGTGGCAAGGTCTCCCTGACAGTTTTGTTTGACACTGCTCTCTATGCAGTAAATAAACTTGTCATCAAATCTTGTTAAACCACCATCACATTTATCACTGAACTTTGTTAGCTTGCTGTCTTATATCAATAAAATATATTGTTATTTCTTGTGAGCAAAGCACATGACTCCATCTACCACAGTATATGAGAGAGCCCTTGGTCCACACATGACTCTGTGGTAGATCTCAGTAATCTGGAAGATGATTTGACTTAATAGGCTGGGATTCATCCCCTTTTAAACTCCTTAAGTATGCATTACGAGGCTGTATTTCTGATTAACCATTCCTATACCAGCAAACAAGGGTCAGGACACCAGCATGCTGGGCTCTGCAATGTATAAGTAAATGACAAACCCCTGACCTCAGAAAGCTCATTGTCTAGCTATGAGGTGTGACATAACAGTTAGGCTAGGCAGGCAAAAAGTAAGAAAGAATGCATTAGAAAGTTAAACTAATGATTCAGTTACAACAGCTTATCAGGAAAGCAGAAATCTCAGTTTCCTAACCATAAAAACAAGTTTTTCTTCCAGCTTTGGGTTACAGTGATGAACAGGAGGTATTTAAATCACCAAACCCCTGCTCCTATCAGGTGATGAAAACAGCAGATCACCATTACAAAATGTGCAGCAGTGGCTTCACTAAATCCAGTTGCATCTCAGTGGTTTTATTAAGTAAATTATAAAGCTGCAGCAGGGTGAAAACTCTATAGCATGTGTAATAGAGGAGGTCAGACAAAATGATCTAATGAGCCCATGTGGCTTAACCATCCACTAACATAATTTCCCAGTCCAGACTGCTTCTCTCGCAGGCTACTTAAAATCACAGAATCAGAGGATAATGCCCAAGAAGCAAACAAAGTAATTAATGAAAGAACAAACTCACCTTTTCCCCTTTTTCTCCTTCTTTTCCTGGTAGCCCTGGGTGTCCAGGCACACCCTGGAGAGAAAAGAACTTTAAAGCTTAAAACTTTCTTTTTAGGCAGTGTTTGATGCTAAAGCAACTGGATTGACCTGTGGGGTTAGTACACCCAATAGGATTAATATCAGTTTTACATTTTCCAGTACAGGCAACCTGTAATCCAGAGAATACCACAAAAAGCTGTGTACCAAGTCCTTAAAGGGTTGTTTTTTTTTATTTTCAGTATAAAAAGGAACTGAAAAGCAAAAGCAGAAATTGAGCTAATCCCAGATTTGTGCATTCTCCTTCTACCTATAACCACATTTTTTCAGTCCACGAAATCCTCAGCAGCTCCTAATCCATTACCAACAAACTCCCAATCAAAACCTCTGTATCAGACATGCCCAAAGTCTCACAATAGTGTTTTTCTTATGGTTACTGCTTTCCAAAACTATACACTGTAAAACAGCTATTTCATTTTACCTCTATTTCAGTTTTTAATCCTTTTCACAGCCTGGCAAATCTCAAAGGATTCCTTGTCAAAATATAGATGATGTAGATCTCTAAGTTAAATCCTGTAACTTCTTAACTCACCAAAACACAGTATGGAGTGGTACTCCATTTTAAGATGTGAAATGATGTCCTGGCACCAGTGCAATTGGATTGACCTCCTGTAACGCATGGGACCCCAGCTGAGAGTTGATTCCCACTCATGACTCAGAGACATAACAAAGTATAGGTTTTGTCACAGTGTATTCAGCAGAGTATATATGTCTGTGTTCCTTGTGACAACAGTGAGATCATGAGACACTGCATGGCCCCGTGAGTAAACACCTATAGAGATGGCATAAAGGCAATTGTTTTTCTACAGGTATAAAAGCAGGACCCCCTTGTAGCTGATTCCAAGGCCTCACCTATGGGTGGATGCACCACATAGGAACTTTCCCAGTCACCCGAGACTCCTGGCATTGGCTGCAATGGGGCTTCCTAGCTGGAACTGTGGGCCTGGATGATGATTCAGTGGTGATTGGCGATGCATTTCTTCTTAACCTCGGTTCTTTTTACACAGTAATGATTTGAAGCATTGCTAATTTCCCTCTGTACTTTACTGATACATATATATCTGATTTGCTTTATTGTACTTATTTACTGTATGTAGACATATACCCAATTTGCCTTAGAGTGCTTGTTTGCTTTAGTATGTTAGTATGCTTGGTTCAATAAACTACCCATGTTATACAGCTAGTGTATGGCTGCTTTTTTGCATACCCTGCCTGTCAGCAAAACACCTCTTCAGGATGGATGCAATAATTATTTTCCTTTCTGTACCAGTAAAGATTATTTCCAGCTATATTAGCTTTTACAGATAATATATTGGGATCACTGGTATAGAAGTTTGCTTAAATGAATATGAAATTGAAAATGGTCTTCACTTTCAATATCATCTTTCAGTTTGAAATTTAATCACTGTATGAATACAATCAAATTTATCTTAATTAGCAGAAAGGCAATTTAAGATTTCTTGTATTGCCCAGGCAATAAACTCTGCCTTAAGGAGCCCTTTGTGCTAAACCACTGTGCCTGAATACATTAGAAGATGGGGTCTAACTGCTGTTTTTCACTTACTTGCATGTAAACAAAGAAAACCCCCAGGTACTAGAAAGAAAATTACACTGGTGAACAGTGAGTAGATTAGTCCAAAGATTTTTTTGCAGAGATGAAAAGCTCTATCAACTTAGCAATGATGACGATCACTTACTGAGGTAAGGACACCGTATCAATTTCAAGGTTTTGATTGCAGGACCAAATACTTACATGCTTTCATAATAAAAATGGATGTTTACCATGCAATTTTTATATCAAGAAGTCACATTTTCAAAAGGACAGGAAAAATGAAAATAAGGCAAAGGAAACAAACCCAAGACAATAAATATTGCAACTTTTCTCTTGAAGACCTGCCAGCAAAAATCACTTTTAACCATTTGGTGAGGAATGAAGCAGCTCCATGCCTCCCTCTTGTTACACAGAATCACAGAATCAGCTAGGATGGAAAAGACCTTTAAGATCATCAAGTCCAACCATTACCCCAAGACTGCCAAGACCACCACTAAGGCCTATCACTGGGGGCCTCATCTACACAAATGAGTATGAGAATATGATTCATGGATACACCATTCCCAGGTGTCTCATTTCAATTCAACCATAAAAACAGTGTAATGAAACACAGCCTTTTGAACCTGATAATAAACCCTGTGGAAGGGAAAACTAAATATACTTGATAAAGAAATAAGGGCACAAATGGGAAATCAAATACACTGATACATACGTACCACATTTCCTGGTAAGCCTCTTGGACCTGGGGGTCCTGCTGGTCCAGTCACACCCTGTGTTAAGAAAATGAATTGTATGTGTAATTCACAACTTGTACCATCAGAGAATCATAGAAACACAGAATGCTTTGGGTTGGAAAGGACCTTAAGATCATCCAGTTCCAACCCCCTGACATGGGTAGGGACACATGAACAAGATGTTCCACGTGAGACTGGAGTTTATGTCAGACAAGGTGTTGCACAAGCACAAAGCAAAACACAGCATTTTTGTGAAATACCTTGGGCTGTAAAGCAGCATAAAACAATGCAAAATGGATGAAGACTCTCTTTGGGAGCTTAAAATTACCTTCCATCAAAATAAATCCTAAATCTAGCCGAAAGGAAGAGAAGTCTGGTCCTGAAACATCAGAAGAATGGAGGAAAGTATGTTGATTTAGCATTAAAACATAAATCTAGGTCAACAAAATATGCTTTGTTGACAATTCTACCTTTTCCTCCTCTAAGGAACAGTACCTGAAAACACTCATTTACACTAAATAGATGAACAGCACAAACCATATGTATTTCAAAATTGCAGGGCTTTTCTGTCTGCAAGTGATGGAGAAAGCCCATGTATGTCTCCAGAATGCAAGGGGGACATGAGAGGACTTATATTTGAGGATTTATGTCCCCATAGAGATGCATGTTTGGGGTTACCAGGTTATATTTAGACATTTTCCTATATACTTGACCATATAAGTTGAAGTTGCTACCTCTGCAGTTGTTTGTCACCCTGCAGTGACTAGGGTTCACCTCTCATCACAGCTTTGCAAGGAAAAGAGTTTCTACTAGGACACCTAATCCATTTAGGGCTAAACCAGACAATCTAAAACCATTTGCACCAGCAGACTGAAACAATCTATCTGACTTGGAGTACACAGAAATACTTTTACTGGAAGGGCTGGGCAGCAGTATACTGTAGGATAATACGAACAGTTGGGAGATGATGAAAATCTTCCACAGCACAGCTGTTCATATAGTGAACATATATCTTTGCTTTTGGGTCACTAAAAGACAAATAAAGGTTTCCTTATTTCTTTGTTATTTACAGTCACATTCTTATGAGCAGTAAAAACATTTGGAGCAGGAGCAGTCTGTGAAAGGATGTGCCTGCATGTACCTGCATTTCCATATCATCAGCATCCTCCGAGCCATCAGCTTACACAAAGAAATGGTCAATTTTGGTGGAAGGGGGACTAGGAAATCCTTCAGCCAAGAGTGAAAGGGAGCTGGAAGTGGGCAATGCAGAGCTTAGAGTCAGAGCACTGCTAAAGGCAATGTCTTAAAAAGCCAAAGAAAGAAAGCCATGAACAAAAAGGTAGAAGATTTTCGTGTTTCCTATTCCTATTCTCCCAGAATCATCCTCTCTCTCCATCATTATTTAAAATACTTCAGTCTCTTTCTCTGCTTGCAAAGAAAGTACGTGGCCTTTTATTCAGCTGCAAAGGGCTTAGACGCTGTTACAACAGTAAAACAGGACTTTGCTGTTCTTTAGCACACAGTCAGACGATAGCAGCAGTCCCTACAACACATGCCTCAAAAAACACTATGTGATGATTCCTCTGGTGATGGGCCTGTATTAAAGAAAGCAGAATTGACTCAGAAGCCTAAACCCATCCATAGTCAAAACCTAACTCAGGCTGCTGCTGAGAGCTCCCTGCACCAGCTGGCTGCCTGGGCTTGTCTAATACCCCAGTGCTCTGCAGGCACCTCACCCTGCGCATCTCGTAAGAGAGAAAAAGACTTGGCCAACAGAAGATTCACAGTTTAGAGCTTGGCTGACTGGGGCATCGATCTGTTTGGTGCAGCTGCGCCTGTTTGCCCACAAGCAGTGACTCTTCCAGCTGCAGCTTAGGATGTGCAGCTGGGGACTGCAGATCTGCAATATATTGACTTCAATGTCCCTTCAGGTGTGTTATGTCAGGGAAAGATGCAGTTACTTACAGTCTCTCCAGGGGCTCCGGTTTCTCCTCGGGCTCCTTTCTGCCCCTTTGTGCCCTACGTGGAAACAAGGGAGATAGGAGCTGATTAGAGATGGGACAGAACTGCCTGCCAGATGAAAACAATGTGCAGTAGGCAATGGTTTTCATTAATCAGTTCACAGAGTTTAACAGCTGAAGAAATGGCTCCCAGTCCTGTGTGCAGAGAGAAAATGAAATACAAAAATAAACCCCTTAGACATAAGAAGAATTGCTAATGACTGATCAGCTGGGAGGCTGTTTCACAGCACAGGATGCTGACACTTGCAGGCATTCATCTGGGTGAGACTCTTTCCTATCCTCAGGCCTACCAGTGATTTCATTTCCAGCTCAACTCTGATGGTCTCCCTTCACAAAGACAGTTGTTTTGCCTGCAGTTCTCAAATATAAACAACAGTTATTTGGAAACGGTCAAAATAGATCCCAGTACAGAGTGTTTGTTCTAGTCCTATGGACCATGTAGCTCTTTCTTCAGGATTTTGGCAGGACAGATGAATAGCAGATGTTAGTTAAAACTTGCATAGTATTACTGTTTTTACCATAATGCTAAGACTTCTGCTAACATGTTTAAGCTGTTGATGCCAAAGTAATGGTTAATTATATGGCTTGGGCTGTCATATATGCACATGTGGTGGCAGAGTGAACACCTACCCATGGTGACATGAAAATGCACTTCAGTGATAACTGGCAATATGTGCAAGGCAAGAGGTTCTCAGAAGATGACTGAGACTATAAAACCATTTCACATGAGCCATAATGCATTCAAGTGCGTTCAAGGTCAAATGGGCTGCTGTTGAATCTGGATGCTCTGCAATGTTTTGGTAATGTGCTGCAGTAACTTATCTGAGACCTGTGGTTTGGTGGAATCAATACAAAGATCCACTCTTGAAGAGTACCAAAGTTGGAAGAAGTCTCTCAGACAATACTGATCCTGCTACAGAGATGTTATGTGTCTGCTTTGATTTTCCTCATGTTGTCCTGATGTCCAGCATAAGTAAATACAGAAGTTCTTGAACTTACAACAATGAGGAAGGAGAAATGGGCTGTTGGTGTATGGGGGAAGAACTACTTACAGTGATACAGACCTTGAAGGGACCCCTCTCTGATCATGTCAAAGGTTTTCTTCAAGGCTGGGCCCTCTTACCTCTGCTCCTGCAGGTCCTGGGGCACCTTTTTCACCTGGAATCCCAGGTAATCCCTGAAAAAAAACAGAGGGAGGAAGGTGAAGGAACTGAAGGAAACTGCTCCTTTCTTCTCCTGAGCTGAAGGAGATGTCTCTCCTTCCTCCCACTGAGAGAAGGAAGGGTGGCTGTCAAAAGGCTGTGACTGCACGGGATTGCTTCTCCTGGAGACTCAATTCAGAACAAGAGAATACAGAATACAACTAAAGTAGCCAAAGGCTGGGCTACATCACTTCAAAACTCCTTAATAAATCCCGTACATCCTTACCGACAGCCAGGCTCTGCCTATCAAGCCCCCGAGTCCTCTTTTCTAAGCTACTAAGGTCCGGAGCTATAAATGAGGTGCTTACATTCATGTACTCATGTAGCTTTCTCTACAAAACCCCTAAATAAATCCTGTACATCCTTACTGACACCCAGGCTCTGCCTATCAAGCCCCAGAGTCCTCTTTCCTAAGCTACTAAGGTCTGGAGCTATAAATGAGGTGCTTACATTCATGTACTCATGTAGCTTTCTCTACAGTGAGCATAAAGCCAAACGCGACTGTGGCCTGATGAGAGAAGCATCCCAGCTATGGAAGGAGCATGTCCCACCCTCTCCCTCCAAAACAGGGAACTTTCATGTCCTCTCCTTGCTAAAGTTCAAAGCCAACTGAGGAAACACTTGGCTGTGCTTACAGGTTCTCCGCTTGTTCCTCGATCTCCTTTCTCCCCTTTTGGTCCAGGTTCACCCTGATATAAAACAATAAAAGAGAAATAAAAGGCTATTTCCATGACTAGAAGTCACACTAGTCACGTTTGGTAAGAGGGCTATTTCAATCAGTTTTTCATTTCTGACTTAGAGAAGCTTATTCAAAGGACTTTGAGGCCAAAGAATCAAAACTGGTATCACACACTAAGACGTGGAGATGATTGCCTAGACTTTTTGGGTTGTTATGCAGTAATTTGAAAAGAGAACACTTTTCCCTCATGGAGAACAGTAGTTAAAGAATTTACCATTCCAAATTCAATCAATTCAGTTCCAATGTATTACAAGGCCAGAGAAGATGTCCAATAGCAAAAGCATCAGCGTCACTGCACCACTTCTGTGTAGGACCACAGACCTAATGGTATCTTGCAACTGGAGAAATAATCCGCATACAGACAGTTCCCTATTCCACCTTTAAGAGAGAGGTGTTCAGGGTCTCATTTTAAGCACTTCCAGAGAGGTGCGCTATGTAGGTTTTCATGATCTCTAGTTCTGTCAACATCTCCATACATCCATGCCACTTCTGCTCCCTCTTTCAATGTCAATACATTATTTCATGGGCAACCATCTCTGACTAATAGGATTAATTTATTCCTGTTCTTCCTCCTTACAGTAAATCAAAGATGCTTCCAGACAGTTCATCAGCTTTGTTCTGAGCTCTAGAAAAAATAATCAATAATTCTATATTTCTGCTTTTATATAAATTGAAAAGGAACAGCACACACCTGTGGAACCAGCTGGAATGAACCAGGCATTACATGAACACTCACATTTGTATATTTATATGAACATATGTATTCAGGCACCAGCAATCATTACTTATTCATTATTTATCATACAAAGTGCTTCAATTATGCAATCAAGGAAGAGTAAGAACATCAGTGGTTTAATCTACACATACAAACAAGGAATAGTGATCATTCAAAATGCAGAAGCCAAGACAAATCAACTTGAATTTTATTCACGTCAGCTATTTGCCAATCATTTCTGTAACACCTGGGAATTCAAAGTCCAATTGCAAATTAATCTCTGACAGACAAAACAAATGTAACTGCATAAATATTACTTATGTCTGAATTTATTATGCATGATGAATATTATTATCTATGAGGAAGAATTTTATGCTGAAAGTTTCACCCCGTTAGACCATCTTCAATCAGGCAGTCCCTGATGCCATCTAGTGGCCTTCAGAAAGGTAATGGGATCACCAAAAGAAGTTGAAGCAATGGGCCCTGTGTAACCGGTGTAGTTGTGCCTGGAGGTCGACATTTCAAGCTCTGAAAGCCTTTTGAGAGTGCAAAGCAACAAATGACAGACATAGCGCAATACATTTGCAGGCAGGGATGGTGTTACTGAGTGGAAATAAGGGCATATATTACTAAGGAAAATAAGACTGCAAAGGGAAGAAGTAACTCAACAAGTAAAGGGAGGAAGCTTCCTTAATTTTCTCCTTTCTCCCACTTTTTCCTTGATAGTTGACTTTCACTGTAATGAAAAATCAGCAAAATTCCAGTTTAATGTCCTAGCACAGCCACAAACATGGGTAGAGCAGCATTTCTTAGCACAACCTCCCAACAAATCTGCCTGAGACTCCTTCCAAATTTGCCCAGCCCTCAATGATGTATTATCTGTTATCAGTGTCCACTAGTGCTGCACATTGTGAAGACCTTTACCCTTGGCAGCTGGACTTAATCCACTGCCATCCACTCCTTTCCTATGGCTCAATGAACAGGATGATGCAGTGACAGCTAACAGATGCTACCAACCTGGTCCAGATCAGTGCCTGCAGCTTCCTTGACCTGCCCAGGAGAGCAAACCTGCTCTCCTGTCATCTCAATTAACATGTTAGTCATTCCTGTGCCACTTAAAGGAGAGGAAATGCAGTGGGGGCTCAGCTGTGGCCAGCTGAAGTGGAAGATAGAACTGCTGCCTTCTATCCAGGTTTCCTGGTACTATACACCACATAGTTGATGGAAAGCAATAGCAAGTATTGTGTTTTGGCAAGTGCTTGACAGCCTTCGGCACCCTGCTGGTCCTGCAGCCTCTATAATATAACCCATGACACTTTCCTAAGGCTTATCACCACCTTCTGACACCTTAATTTGTAGAGCTGTAAATCAAAGGTAACTATCCGTACCTTTGATTTACAGCTCCCAAAGCTTGCAACACTATGTACAAGACCTGTGCTACCGTATCATCACATTCGTCTTACACATAGAGGAATCCCAGCAACCTGACCTGCTAACACACTTCAAACCTTTTATTCTTTACTGTCTTGCAGCTCATTTACAAGACAAATGCACTCAAAGCAGAAGAGAGAACTCCTCCTGTGACTGCACCGCTACAAAGACCACATAAGATGTCATTGTTCTGCACCTTTCCTTAGTAAAGGTATTATCAAACTGCAAGTCAAGGGGAAAAGCAAATCAACAAAATCTTAACTCTATTTGCAGTACTACCTGACATCCCTACTTCCTTCCTCAGCCTCTGAAGCACCTGGCATATGCACTTTCTTGTCTAATGGCACTCTTTCAGCCTACTTCTGCCATTTGTACATGTCATTTATACATGCCTCCTGATCCTAAACAAGCTTATTCACATACCAATGGTCTGATCCTGTGTAATGACAGATATTACCCACAATGTACTGCAAGTTGGAAATGAGACTTTGTTCTAAACTTAAGAGACAGGGACAGCATATAGCTATGTCAACTGTGACCACAGGCTGTTGCTGTTACCAGGGCAGCTGTGGACATATCATGATTGGTTACAATGGTGAAGTTGCCCAGAACCAGACTCAAACCGGTTTCTTTTACTGAAAGCATATAAATAACATGGAAAATACTAAGGAGCTGTGTGTCTATCACATACAAGAGGCAATAAGGCAGAAGTCATGTTTATTAGAATTGTTACTTACAGGAATCCTGGGGTGTGGGGTGAAGAAGGCTGTCTGGAAGAGAAATCAGTGTTAAAAGAAGCATTGCCTGTTTTCCTTGTGATGTAATAAATTACATGCATTTTGCCTTGTCATTACAGATTACACACTCCATATATCCATCAGGTTTATAAATGAGCAACTCATTGTAACATCTGGCTGCTTGGAAAAAAGCCCACAAATGTCTGACATTTCCTGGAGTATTTGAAATATGAACATAAACACAAATACATCCTGTATGCCCCACTGCTTTGAAAAAACAGTATTTAACCTTGTTAGCAAGTTTACTCCAAGCAATCTCCAGCACACTTTTCCACTTGCAGCCATCTTCAGTATTGCTAGATTTCCTGATGCCATGGCTGACCTTGATGGTTGTCTCTTTGCTTTGAACCATATACATATCTCAACAGGGTTGTCTTTGGGATTACATAGCCATCTTACACAAAGGTATGACTCACCCTTTGGCACAGACTGAAGAAGCCCAACTGATCGGCCACAAAAATTATCATAGGGATGGAGCACTACTCCTATGAGGAAAGGCCGAGAGAGCTGGGGTTGTTCAGCCTGGGGAAGACGCTGGAAGACCTTAGTGCAGCCTTTCAGTTCTTAGAAATAAGAATAGCTAATAAAGATGGGGAGAGGTTTTTTAGCAAGGCCTGTTGTGAAAGGATAAGGGGTGATGGTTTTAAACTAAAAGAGGGAAGATTCAGGCTGGATGTGAGGAAGAAATTCCTTACAAATGAGGGTGGTAAAACACTGGCACAGGCTGCACAGAGAGGTGGTGGATGCCCTATAGCTGGAAACAGTCAAGGCCAGGCTAGATGTGGTTCTGAGCAACTTGACTTAGTTGCAGATGTCGCTGCCCATTGCAGGTGGGTTGGAACTAGATGACCTTTGAAGATCCCTTCACAACCCAAACTACTTAATGATTCTGTAATGGCAGGCAATAAATTATAACACTTGTTCCGTTGCTGCGTGAAAGTCTTTAGGCGCTTGATTTTCACCAGCATACCTTGATTCAAATTCTCCTCATAACCTGTCAATGTGGCAGGTGTATCCAGCTGTGGTGAGCAAAGCTGACAAGTGGATATCTATCATGTTTGTAGGATCTGTGACCGGAATCAGCCCTCCTGTTACAATGACAGGTCTGTTCCTAGTCCTCCCTCCAAGCTGCTTACTCAGCTTTTATTGGAGGGAACACCAGGAAAAGAGTTTTATATATTTACTATTATAAATTTTATTTTTAATTTAAATCTTATGTATAAATGTATAATATATTATACATAAAGAGGTTTATGCATTGACTCTCTGTAGATGCTGGTTTAAGCACCAGTGAACTTCATGATCCCAAAAGTAATTTTGCAGGCTTATTTTAAAAATATGAATTCATGGTTTCTTGGTCTTTAATTTTTTATCAGCAGAAGGGCATGTTGAATCAATCATGACTGGTTTGTGTGGTGGATCCGGTGCTGAATCCAGAATGACCTCTGGGATGAGAGGGTCTTTCTGGGACTACAGCATAGCATGGTACTGTACGCAATGGAGGCGCTGGGAGGCTGCAGCATCACTGAAGCTGAGTGCTCCACCCCATACGTTCATGTCAGTGAGAAGCGAAACCCTTTGCTTTTCCTGGAAAATGGTGAATTGTTCACCAAGAAGACAAGCTGTTGTTCACTGGTATCTGTGAGAGTGAGCCAGCCTTCTCCTGAGATCCCAGTGGGAAAATCTAGCTCACCCTGAAAAATGAATATGAATGTATTCCATGTTCTCAGCCACCACCTTCTTTAGATAGCTCCCACAGCTGCTAAACAAATCACGAATTCAATGTAAGTGCTACCATACGGCAAAAGCACATAAAAATGCTGTTTGCAAAGAGACAGAGGAGGGCACAACCTTCCCTCAAAATACGAAGTCCAAATGCACCTCAACATCACTTCTCTGAAGCGAAGGGAGATAATCTGAGAGTAAATTGCTCCTAAAGTTTCTGTAAAGAAGAAACTTAAACACTTTATGAGGAATTTGTGTGGAGGAAGTGTGATGATGCACTGAATGTTGTTGATGCATTGAATGTTGTTACAGCACAGAACACAATCTTACTTACTGTTCCAGGTAAGCCTGGGGGCCCAGGGGAACCTGTGTCACCCTAGAAAGAGAAGAAATATATATCTAAGGATATAAAAAGACTCCCAAATAAAACTCAAGGTATTATCAGGTAGAAGGTGCAACATCATCACATGAGATTTAACCAGTCACAACCTGCCAGCTCAGTGACACTGCAAATCTCATAGCACTCCTCTGATGGATAGAACAGGATAAGGACGTTCGAATGTAACAGGGGAGATTCAGGTTAGACATAAGGAAGAAATTCTTTACTTTGAGAGTGGTGAGGCACTGGAACTGTTTGCCCAGAGAAGTGGTAAATGCTCCATCCTTGGCAGTGTTCAAGGCCAGGTTGGATGAGGCTTGGAGGAACCCATTCCAGTGAAAGGTGTCCCTACCCATGGCAGGGGGTTGGAACCAGATGATCTTAAGGTCCTTTCCAACCCAAATGATTCTATGATTCTATGAATTTACTTCATTGCTCTCGCCAGAATTTCTGCTGGTTTGTTGCATGCAGGGTTGTCACCTTGTTGTCTTTATAAGATTATGACTTCCACTTCAGAGATCATTGACTTTTTAATGTTACCCATTCAGTGTAGGACTGATACGGAGTTTAATTTACATTTTAAGTTAATCTAAATTTTTGATTGAAAAACATTTTTCAGCTGAACTTTTTTGGTGGATAAAAAAGAAAAAAGAATCCTCTGTGTTTCATCACAAATATAAGTTTCTAAATTCAGTTTTCACACTAATTTTTTTTAGTTAAAACTATATTGTTGAGGAAGTACCTCATGAGAATTATAGAGTGGGTGTCTTACCTGCCATTGATATTCCTGTGGGCTATGCTCCACAAACATCAGTCCCCCTGACACTTCAAAGCCAAGAACTGCATACAAACTTCCCAGACATAGGATATTCAGGTGCTTCACTGGAGATGTCATTTGGCCACCCATGAAAGCATTCCCACCTCCATAGCTGTGAAAGTCACTAGTGTATGCTAAGAAGAACAAAATGGTACCCCCTTCCTGATGGCTATCACTTGGAGACCTCACTTGGAGTACTGTGTGCAGTTCTGGTGTCCTCAAAATAAAAAGGACATGGAACTGTTGGAACAAGTCCAGAGGAGGGCCATGAGAATGATCAGGGGACTGGAGCACCTCCCGTATGAAGACAGGCTGAGAAAGTTGGGGCTGTTCAGCCTGGAGAAGAGAAGGCTGTGTGGAGACCTCATAGCAGCCTTCCAGTATCTGAAGGGGGCCTATAAGGACGCTGGGGAAGGACTCTTCATTCAGGACTGTAGTGATAGTACAGCAGGTAACAGGTTAAAACTTAAACAGGGGAAGTTTAGATTGGATATAAGGAAGAAGTTCTTTCCTGTTAGGGTGGTAAGGCACTGGAATGGGTTGCCCAGGGAGGTTGTGAATGCTCCACCCCTGGCAGTATTCAAGGCCAGGCTGGACAGAGCCTTGGGTGACATGGTTCAGTGTGAGGCGTCCCTGCCCATGGCAGGGGGGTTGGAACTGGATGATCTTAAAGTCCTTTCCAACCCTAACTATTCTATTCTATGATCACCACTATAATGAAGGTATTTTTTTCGCTATACAACCACAGGCATCTGCAAGGTCAATGTTTCTTCTTCACCTTCATTTTCACAAAGCTTGAGTGCAAATTTTGGTAGATATCACACTTATCTAGTTCTCTCATTTTCATTAAAATTAATGGTGTTGTGGAGGCAGAAGCCCAGGCCATTCTTTAAATTACTGTTTTAGTACATCACAGGCAGGCATAGAAAACTTCTTTAGAATTTAATTGCAGGCTCACTTGTATCAGCCAATTCTAAAACAATGAAAATTTCCCTTGAATTAAAAAAGTTTTCCTTAAATTTCATCAGCTCCTTACTCTTTATTGCATTATTTGACAAATTGTTGTCTCCATCCCACACACAGCTTTTTTTGCTGCTTCTCTGTAAAGCTCAGCTAAAAGACTCTGAATGTTTTTACTCTTCCTCAGATATCCTCCTCTATGACTTATCTCTGCCCACTTGTCTCTTCCCCTCTTGTCTAAGGAGGATCATGCTCATTTCATGACTTACCTTTACTCCTCTTTCACCCTTCAAACCTGGGAAGCCATCTTTTCCTTTTTCTCCCTAAAAGAAGGCAAAGGAAAGCAAGAAATACTCATGTTTTGATTAGATTGCATCCATCCCACTAGAATATTTTACACTTTCAGTTGATCTTACCTGTCGTCCATGACGTAGTGCAAGCAATTAAAAATGTAATATTTTGGAGATGGCTACATAAAATCCACACTATTTTCAAAAGCCAGTGAATAACAGTGAAGTTAATGGAAAAGAACTCGCCAATCCCAAAATAACTTTCATGTAGAAGATTCTACTGCCTGATGCAGTTATAAAAGCCTAATTTTTCCTAGTAGGACAAGAAAGGCACCAGAACAGGAATTGAGACTCAAAGGAGGAGACATTCATACTACCGGTTTTGTACATAGAAGATTTCTGAATCATCCTTCACTGGCGCCTACCTCTCTATTTTGCCCAGGTAACCTGGCCATCTGAATGAGAGATGCTTAACAAGGATGATGCGAGTGCTCAAAGTGCATATACAAAATGTATCTATCTTGCCATCCAAATAGGAGAAATCTGACCTACATTACTACCATCTTACATATACAGAGAATATATTCTATAGTTTATGCTTTACTATACATATGGTAAACTGATCTGTAAGACCCCAGTTGATTTTAGATCCTTCTGGATCACATCCAATTATGTAGTATTTATATACTTCTGCGTAAATAAATAGGAGTACTTGATCAGACCTCATTTACATGGCTAAATTTACTGTCAGGCCCCTGATTCAACTATTTCCTGGTATGTAGATGCCTCTGGAAATCTGGAGCTAGCCGGGGGATGCAGTAGACACTAGGACATAAGTCGAAGTTAGGCTATCAGAAAAAGATCCAGCCATCCGAAGCCTTCTCCAGAGCTCAGTGACAAGTGGGATTTGCGATTTTGTGGTTATTAATCTTATTTTAATGTTTTTAAAACAAGCAGATATATCTGACAGTGAGACCTAAAGAACCTTCTACTTCTACTGCCTCACAAGCAGTATGGTCATAACCTTCTGCATTTAGGATAGAAGCTTTTCATTAGCACCTCGACTGCATTTATGAACAGTCATTAGGCAGTAAAGTACCTTTTTGGAAGGGGTACTTGTTGACTTTGCTGGACACCAATCAGCTGCTCACCACCACAGCAATCACAAGAGAGAACATCATCTAGGAACATTGGAGATAAGGCCTTCTTATGCTTAATGGCCAAAAGAAAGAATCAAGCCATGGCTCAATGTCACTCACCTGGTTTCCTTTTTCTCCTTTCAGCCCAGGTAAACCCTGAGGACCAGGAAAACCTGCTTCACCCTGAAAGTAAGACGAAAGTGTGTGAAATACAGGAACAGACATCAATCATGGGTTCTATTAATAAATATAACTAAGAATGAAGAGGCAGAATGGTGGACCAAGCTCTTTTCTCTCTTATGTCAGCTAAAATGCGTCAAGTCTAGTCCTCACAATAGGCTAATCTAGCCACAATGACTCTAGGCTGGAGAGGATGAAACCTTTAGGTGTCTATCTCTTTCTCTGACATTAAACTCTGAAATCTTCACAAGTCATAATGACTGCAGGTGTTTTCTTCTGGATACCCAGTCACACCTTGATACACAGTCTACGCTGTAAGGCCAGAGCATGCCCCAGCTTTTTAACAGGATTGAGTATAGATACAGTTTGCTGAGAGAGAAAATAGGATTAGTTTGATTATCAAATAATTTCTTATTCATGGAAAATCATTACTTAAAACAGCAGCTAAGACTTCGTTTTTTTTTGCTGTTACACTGTTAACCAAATACATGTAACTTCGGACATGTTTTCTTCATGCTGCTCTGGTAGCAGGAGCAAAAAAGCAAATAAAAACAGCAAAAGAAATTAAATCTTTTATTTTCATATGGCCTGGAAATGCAAAACCTGCTCTGTATTAATCTGAATGGTACAGATGTTACCTGACAAAGAGATCTAGAATTTTCTGGATGCATTATTGCACATTTGGTTTTCTTCCTGTTTGAATTTTACCTTTGACTTTCTGCTTTATAATACTTGCTATTGAAGTAATTATGACCTCTGTGTCATGTGGTTTGTTCTAAATATATCAAGTATTCTCAAACTTAGCTCCCAGTTGGCCCAGTTTGTCATCTAAAAATAACCATGTGGTTTCCTATTTATAACTATTCTGCTATCTGCAGTTGTGTGCAATATCATAAAGAATGTCAGACATGGACAGGACCCAAATCCACTAAGTGCTGTACAAATATTGAACTAAGAAAAGGTCGTTCCTGCTCTAAAGAGATTAGCTCTGAAGTATGGGAAAACTCAAAACATTATTGTGATATAGGTACAATGAGTCTGCAGAAGAAATCAGATGAGGAACAAGAAGCTGGGGGAACATCAGGGTGATGTTTGGAGAAGGCTAATGAGAGTGACATTTTGTGGTGGAGAAAATGGTGCTTTATGAGAGCCACTGCAGGATGCTGGTGTAACTTTGGTCTCTGGAAAGATACTGAAGCAAAACTTCAATGAGTTTGTATGCTCTCAAGGACAGAAATATAATGCAAAACAGCCAAGGTGAATTTTAAAAAATAATCATATCAACCCCATCCAGTTCCCTCCCTTGATACAAGAATGAAGGAGAGAAGGAAGCATTTGTGTGATGTATCTTCAGTAACATGTCTGACACAGGGCAACATGATGTTCTCATTAGCAAACTACAAAATGCAGCATAGAAGAAGGATCTCTGAAGGATGGCTTACAACTGACAGAAGAAACTACACTCACACACCTGTTATTAGCTGGTTTCTGTCAAATTCAGAGGATATATTAAGTGAAGCCCTCTTAGGGGCTGCATTTTTCAATAATTTATGACTGAGGTGACAGTAAAGAGAATAGTTATGAAAAGTGTGGAGAGCACCACACTGGAGAGAGAAACAAGTGTTTTGGAAGGTGGTATTAGAAGCAAGAACTGCCCTGTGTGGGGAGATGACCCTGACCAAGTGGCAGTGCTTTGGCCGGGGGCCTGACCCTTTGTGGCAGTGGGCTTGAGCCATCAAATGCAAATGACACGCACAGATCTTGTTATTGGCCAATGCCTTTGTCATTGCATGCGGTCACTTGATATCTTTTTGCTAAGATCATTTTTCCTGCTCACCTGCTCTCCAGGTTGGCCATGGCTCCCTGGTTCACCCTGGAAAAACAAAATCAAAACATTAACATTGCAAGGACTCTTTTGCAAGAACTGTTTCTCATTAGTAAATGCACCTTCTACTGTCCTGGCCCATTGTGCTCTACCTACTTGCCATAAGACACTGAAATTGCATTCTTAATGGCTTAAGAACCCAGACTGCAAGAAGCCAACACAAAGGCCAGGTCAGATCTCCCTATACATGTAGGTTTGAGAGGAGCACCAAATGGGGATTGGTATTTTAGAACACCATGAATTCTGAAAGGCAATGAGCTCTCTATGCTCATCCATTTACACCTTCAATTTTAGAGGAATATTACTGTCCTTACTTCAGTATAAGACCTTTCAAAATCATACCTTGATTGACTCAATGGCTACAGTCAACTTGAAATACAATTCCTTACCTTAGAGCCAGGTTTTCCAGGAAAGCCTTCCTCACCCTTTTCCCCTTGTTCTCCCTGCAGGGAACATAAGAAGTTAATATACAAACTCCTTTGGTAGCACAGCATGTTTGCAGGCAACAGCGATGAATATTTTGAGTCAGATCTTCAGTATTAGCCTGAGGATGTAAATGGAGCCAAGTGAGAATACGATTCCTGAAATTTTCCATTCTAGTTTATGTAATCACATCTCAAGCACCAATCACCCTACCAGAATATTTCTGGAATAACACAAAGTCAACCACTGTTACATTAAAGATGTCCATAGTGAATGACCTCAGAAACAAAACCCATATTCAGTTTCTTCAAATTACATATGGTTAGAAAGTCTACATTATTTCTGTTAAGAAAAATAACTAATTGTGGGATTGGGACCATGGCCACTGGGCTTTTTAGATAAATGAAACAGAACTTTCAATGCTGGTGGTGTCAGGATGGAGAGCACAGGCTGGAATGCACTGCATAGCTGAGGAGTGCAGTAGGTACTACACAGGGCTGGGAGTAAATCCAGAGTTTATTTGTTTATTTAGCCTCAGAAATGTATTAATTCTTACCTTTATTCATCAGTAAATGGGAGCTGGGGACTCTGGCTCAAGCATTGAGTGCACTCAATTGAGAGAGGTGAGTATAAATGTAGTGTGCTCCTGGAACAAGTAGGGGTCATAATGCTCAAGTACCAGAGGCATGAAGACCACTGCCAATGCAGTCCAAGGCAGTAGATGGCTAAGAGCTATTCTCCTTATTCCAATATAGCATCATCATCCCCAAATCCTAGCTTGGCCTTCATAGTCAAAATACGGCACATTTCTTTGACACTTATTATGTAGTGATGGCAAGACAATCAGAGTACCTGCTATCTCTAAATCTCTTATCTCCCTTCTCCCACTGCAGAGACAGCAGTCATTCCCGATCTGTCATTTGCAGAAGCTTTTGAATAAGGGATAAGAAGTAGGAAATAATGAAGAACTGTCTTTCTGCCACACAGACCTACAGAAGCCATAGGGCGATGACAGCTCTTCTCTCCTGTCCTTCATGGAGGAAAGAAAGGAACATCTTTGGAGACTGACACACCTCTTTGCTCTTCTTTGTGCTTTGAACACATTCCTTGCCTTGCCAGTGTCACTGGCTTTCCTGAATGACAGTAGAAGCATCTCTGTTTGCAATGCTCAGCCTGTATTTGCCAAATAGGATGCAGTAGTTGAAGACTGGAAGAGGCTCTCTCATCCTTGCTCTATTTACAACCAGCTCCATCTTCATAACGACTCAGTACATACACCAGGAGCTTCACCAGTGGCTCAGTGATCGTGGGATTAGTGAGGGGGTGCTTGGCTCTAGAGATGTGCCTCTTTTCCCACTTACTAGCTCACTCAGATAATCTTTCCAAATAAGTAGCTTAATACCAGTGTAGATGGTGTCACTTGCCTTTTGACCTGGAAGCCCAGGAAGCCCATTGAATCCATCTTTGCCAGGCAACCCCTAAATAAGAGAAAACCATAAGCTGCTCTTTACACCAGTAACAACAAGATCAGCATAAGCACGTTCAACCCATCCCTCTTGTCATGCACCTAAGTTTAAGAAGAACCATCTCATGCAGTTTGCTTTGACTTTTTTCCCTCCTCTGCCTCAAAACACAAAAGTTCTCACAATGCCCAGTATCTACTTGGCCTGTTTTCCGGCATCCCAGTTTTGATGAATGACCACTGGATGTCAGTGTTGTTACAGAGAAGCAACACTATAGAGCTTTTTTGGGCACTATGGAGTCTTAAATAACTTTTACAATTACATTTTTACTTATAATTCTCTATAAGTCTCTTATCTGTAGCTATAACAATTTTTAAAAGTTTATTTCTCCTTTTAAATAGTGGTAATTTCTTATACAATACATAAACTCCTTAAATTGAATTATACAACACAGTAACAGAATCATTCAGCGAGATAAGAATTACAATTCTTTCCTGCAATGCATTTAAAATGGTGAGAAAACCTTCTGTCCCCTTTCCAAGTGTCAGTCAATCCCAAATACCACAGAGGTTGCTGTGGCACTTCTTAATACCAACTATTGAATAATTCACCTTTGTTGACTTAACAGCCAACAGACATTTCTATGCCAAATCAGAGATTCTGTGAGTTCTTCAGCCTGATTCAGAGAACTCCAGGTTCAGAAGAGCAATATCTTGCCAAATGCAAAATGACTTTTGAAAGGTGTCTTATAAAGTAAATACAATGGTCTTCAGAGTGTAGGAATAGCAGACAATAGCGGACCTGCATCTGGTAATATCCTTATTCACAAAAGGCAGCAGAAGCCAATGCCTGCATTAAAGGTGACAGTGTTCAAGCCCTCATTAAAACCTTGCCTTCAGACAAGCTGCAGGAAATGAAATAAAGACTTGAGAACTGCAGTATCTGAAGTCAAGGAGAGCAACAGGGGCAAGGGAAGCAGTTCCTTAACACTTACAGGTGGTCCCGGTGCTCCAGTTTTACCAGAAACTCCAATCTCTCCTGGAAGCCCCTGGAAAAACGAATTGGGAGAAAAAAAAGTATAAAAATCCTAATTTCTGTACTTTACAGCAACCTAGATTTTAATTTAAATGCAATTTTCCCTTCCACGGTAGCTGGATCTCTGCTGTGGGGGGTCCTGTAGACACTGACCAGGGAGCACCAACATGGCTCCAATGCTTGGCACAGAGAAGCTGTCCTCTAGGACCAGCTGTAGCTTCTCAGTGAGAAAACATAAAAGACACATTGCCAGAGGTCCTGACTAAGTTCCCGCTGGAAACCATGACCTAAAGTTCTCCCTGTTCTTTATTCTCTTTAATATAAACCAAAATCCACACTTGTTTTCTTACTGGTGCTCCGGGTGCTCCAGGAGGTCCAGCAACGCCTGGGGGCCCTGGAGGTCCCTGCAAGAGATGAAGCAAAACCATTTTATCTCTGTGATAGTGGCTGAAAGCCTCAGGTCCTTTTCTGTGCAGTCAGAGCCCTGTTCAAAGTGGGCAAAAGCACTGAGCTTTATTTCATTAATTTCTAACAAATAAGAGTGTAAGATGCCAAACTGAGCTCTCCAAGGGAATCAGGCTTATGAGCAGAACAGTATCTCTGGATTGAGCCACTAAGTACTGCTGTTGTGAGCTCCATCCTTGAATCCAGTATAAGAGATGAAGGAGTTCAAGGCCATCAATGGTAATGTAGAGCACAAAGCTTGTCCAGTGGAATCTCATGTAGTATCCAGCCTAATTTAATCTTGATTAATGTCACTTCAAAGTGAGCAATTTACCTCTGCAAAAAGATCTCTGAAGTAACTAATGGATGGAACAGATTTGTACTGGGGCAGGGAGCAATATGCATCCATGAGTATGGAGAAACAATGCACTGATTCAAGTGCTTCAAAGCAAATACACCACCATTTTAGTGCTCTACATTAACTTTGTTGACAGTAAAATGCCCTCACAAACTCATACTTCAATGCGCACATTCAGTTGGAAATATCTTGAAGGTATTTATTACTCATTTCCCTGCAACAGCTGTTTTTCTCAGGGAAACCATTCTCTCAATAGCCATTTGATTTTCAGAGGAGTTTATTTTTGTGTATTGAGCAAATTGTTAAATTTGGCTTCCCAGATGAGAAATTTGTTTCCATACTAAACAAATCTTAACAGAGATGCAGAGGTGTTTGTTACTTCCAGCTTCTCCTGTAGACCAGATAAGAATCCTCCTGTGCTCAGAATGGAGCATGTGTTCATGTGGTTTTTGGATCAGGACCTAAGCAAACAATATGAGAATGGATGTGAGAAGTGGATATATATGACTGAGTTGGAGTTTTACCCTGGCTGTCTCTTCTGTCTTTCTAACAGGACTTCATTCGTTTTCAGTTTTCAGCATAGGGACAGTTCTGGTGTGCTTGTATTGAAAAAACAAACCACATTCCCCCACTCTCCTCCCAACCCTATGTAAAGAATTGAAGCTGAGCAACTGATACAAGATAGAAAATGGCCAGTTGGAATTTCATCATTCAATATCACAAAGCACAGCTTTTGTGATTAAGGTATTATGAGTCATGGCTCAATATTAGCATTTCACATTTTAGGAAAAAATGAAAAGAAGAAAAGTGTAAAAAAGTGATGACAAGAAGTTATTTGTGGCATGGTTTGACAGAGAAGGTATCAGATAAGCGCTCTTTTTAGAATACACTTGTAAAACTCAGCCAGAAAAGAAGACGGCTTCTCACCAGTAGATGGGGCAAAGCGATCAAAAAAGTACCTGCAGATGCACTTGTCTCCCATGAACCGTTTTCATTGAGGCTTAGAACAGACACGGATTCATCCACCTACTTTAGCATTTGCACAGCGCCTCAAATGTGAGAACAAATAAAACATCCCCTTGGGATGCACTGATGCACTCTGGTGAAGCCCTGAAATAACTTCTGGGGACATGGGTCCAGCTGCTATTGCAGGAGGCTCCCATAGTTAAAGAGCTCTCTAGTCCCATCAGCAGACATCTGGTCGAAACCAGCCGTCACCTCAAGAAGGTTTTGCCAAAGAAAAGCACCAACAGTCCAAATTAACCCAGCACAAGAGAAAACACCATAGTGTAGACACAGCCAGGTGACCTCAGACACCAGGGACACAGAGGCTCTGCTTGGCTCTCTACATGGTACTGCTGAGAAGCCCTGCAGAAAGCTTCTACCAAGAGGTGGAAAAACCCAACCAGGACCCAGCCTCAGGATGCTGCCTCAGCTCAAGCATCCCCAGGTATAATACAAGCTCGCACACACAGTAAAGACAAGGGTCAATCTGACCTAAAAGCAAAGTTTTTCAGCAACCAGCATAGTCCCTAAAATGTGAGGTGCTACATCGTCATCATCCTGTTTCTCCTAGTAACTCTTGATAGTCTCACTATCAAATTTCTAATTCTTCTCTTCAGTTTTCTACATTCTGGCCCACATTAACCTTATGCAACCATAAATCTTGACATGCAAGCACACTGATCCTTACCCTGAACTGCCAAAAATTATTCTGTTTTATTGCTCTCCATGAAGCAATAGCCCAGGACGTCATGCCCAAGACTACTTTATTCAGGTGGCTCCTCCACATATGTTGCATCAACAAATGTTACGATCACTAAAGGAAAGTTCTTCTGATAAAAGCCTCTCCGAGACGGGCACAGAACAGTTTTATGTAATGGCCACCAGTATCCCTGGGAGATGCACAGGCACAGAGCAGTAAGACAGCAAAATCACATGAAAGTTGCAGAAATACATCATACATGTCCTTTATAGAGACCTCCTTTTACTACCGGCCAGAGCGAATCAGTTTTACTTGTGAGATTGGTCTCTCATGCTTATATATATATTTCTGTTATTGTAGCCCTTCTCCCGACTTCTGAGTATACTTCGGAGCAAGGACTACTCTTGCTAAGTATTTGCAAAGGGCTAAACTGATAGCACTTACCTGTTATTAAAATAAACCAAACCCCAACCAAACATAGAATAGCAGGAGCAGGACAGCTTCTAACGCTTAACCCCAAAATCTCATGCCATCTGTGTTCTTTGCTTCCTTTTTTAGACTGAATCCAGATTAAAGTACCTGCTGTAAACAGTCACCTTTTCCAGAGATCATTTGATGAATTACACAAATCCTTGTCCCAGATACAGTCCCAATGTTGTCCTTTAAAACTGTGATTTGGCTAGTAAGAAACTGATGCGTTGTTCGTAGAATCATAGAATGGTTCCTACACGCAAAAGCAAAAACTGATATATGAAAACTTTAGAATAAATCAAGGCTATAGAAACACTTCAGAAGACAAATGGAAAATAATGTATCTTTTACAAAAATGTTTAAATCAAAGTTTTTTCAAACTGTTGCTTTGAAAACAAATTTTTTTAAATAATTATTATAATTCAAATGGTGTTTAGAAGTGTGTGTGTGTTATGGTTGGGACATCTTGCCCAGAGAGATGGTGGAGGAGCCATCCCTGGAGACATTCAATGTCTGGCTGGATGTGGGTCGACAACCTGGTCTAGTTGAGGATGTCCCTGCTCATTGCAGGGGGTTGGACTAAATGAGTTTAAAGGTCCCTTCCACCACAAACTATTCAATGATTCTATGATCTTTAAGATCATTGAGGGAATTTGTGTGGATTTTTCTCAGGTTTGTGTTTCATCCAGCTCCATTCCTTAGACAACGTAATGCAGGGACAGTTCTCAGAAAAGAAATTGGACACTCCATATATGAGGAACAGCTGTGCTTGTCCTCCAGAATCCACTAAAGGATGCTCTGCTCTTTCAGTATTGTATCTTGCTGAAAGACAGGATGGGAAAGGAAGAGCTATTAAGACTTAGGTTCTGCACTCCCTAAGGAAGCTCTGAAAAGGAACAAAACCCTTTTTCTGTGACTACATCAGTAGGTTGCTTGGCCTAAATCTCTTTTCCATGGAAGAAGGGCTGGTTATGTTTTAGAGAGTAGTGAACAAATGCTATTCCGTAATAGAACCTGAAGTCTGATGTTTTTTCCAGATATATGTCTCTGGAGGCAAAGCTCACATAGACATATTTTCTGTATTATTATTCCATGCCAAGGACAGGATACTCTTACGCTATGAGAAAGGCATAGGTAAGCCCTTAAACCATGTCAAAGCAGGCTGTGGTCTGGGCTTCTTAGGCATTGTGCCAGCTTTATGAACAAGAGCCTCTGGGACACACAGGAGCATGTCGTCTGCTGCCAGTGATAGCAAAATGCATAACCATGGCCCTGACAACCATTTCTCGCTTTTCTCCACTTCAAAACCAGTTACTCCCTGCAATTTCACATCTCAGAATGTCCTCACAGACCCTTCCTATTGGCTTTGAGCTGTCTCCCCTTTATTTCCACTTTTTTTCCCATCAGACACAAGGCTGTTGCCATGAGTTTTGGGGAGCAGTCTATGAGTCTCCCTATGTCCCTTACTATTCCAGCAAACCATTTCTCCTCCACTGCATGTGAGTGGATTCTGGGATCAGCTCCTCAAATCTGCCCTTCATTTCTCATCCCAGATACTACAGTATCCATCAGCACAACTACTGTGAACGCTGCTTTAGAGCATCATCTTGCTCTCTTTGCTTAAATCCTACCTTACAAACCAAGACAAATATAAGAGAATATAGAAGAAGGCTGTTGCTGGTGACACTGAAAATCAAAAGCCTAAAGAGCCAACAGACCCAAGCATTTACCTGTGAAGCATGTTGTATAGTCACCTTCAGTGGTAGTGCCACAATTCACAAGCAGAGGAGGTCTCCAGTTATTTCCAGGTGGCATCGTAATTGGAACAACAATATTATTGTGAAAAAGAGATTTTCAACAAAAATTCTCTAAACTTTCCAGATCTGTAAAAGTACTGAATAAAGTCAGATTTGTGCATAGTAATCTTTCCAGGAGGATTTGTTGCTCCCAGTGAAAAGGCAGCACTTGCTTAACTTCAGCACTTACTGTAAGATACGGACACAATCTCTTTTGTCTACAGAGGAAGATTTCTTTCCCTTGTATGTTAACTTTCTGTTGGTTTACTGAGTCAGTGCAGCATATGAGAAAAACAAAACCCCCTCCCTTATGGTCTTCTGTTCCAGTGCTATTAGTGATCTGCACAGGTGAAGGCTTTATTTTTGTTAAAGGCATAGATCTTATTAAAAATAGCTCTGAGCAATACCTTCCAATTTCAAGCAACACCAGCATAATTTGAATTCAATCTAAGCTTTACAGCTGGGGCCTCTATCCTTGTCTCACATTTTGCAGTATTAACTTGCATCACAAAAAGGATGTTAAGGACAGGATGCATTTCAGAGGGTATCATTTATTTCCTGAATTACATAAGAAAAGCTGGGCTCGAGCTCTCACCCTACGGACAAGTCTATACTAATTAAATCACTGCCAGCCACAACTATAAAAGGTACAGATTGTACTGGTCTTCCTTGCAGGTCTTAGTTATACAACCAGGTTATCTAACTTAAGGCAGACATCAGGAACAGCCCACAGATATTGAAAGTGTAAGCTATGGCATTTTTGTTTAAATCTCAGAGTTTTGACTTATTTTGCTGTCTCACAGGTACCTATCTCACAGCATGCACTTGCTCAGCATGGGGAATCTAGAGCATGGCTCATTGGACCATTTGTAGCAACCTGCTTTAGAAGAGCTTCAGGCTCCACTGATGGTATTAACTAGATCTTTATCAACAAGAGCTCAGACACCTGCATCCCATCCCCATCCTTAACCCAACAGGTGCTTGTTTTTAGAGCTGAATCCCAGCCCTGGTCATTCAGTGATACAGCTCAGAGTGCCTGAGCCCTCAGTTAACACTGGGGCATCAGTTTCCCACTGCAGAGCCTGTGAACACAGCCACCATGGCTCACTCAGCATATGCTGAGGGGTCTCTTTCCCCTCATGCCTAGAAAAGCACTTTCAAATGTATGTCATCAACTGCCTTTAGCCCTTTCTCTCAACTTTTCCTACCAGGAGATGATGGGATAGACAAACTATACAGAGATCTTAGGCAACCATGAAGAAATGCACAGCATCATTGTTTTCTGTGCTTGGTACCCATCCATTACAACTGAAAGAGCTCAACAGAAATGCTCATTTTTCAGTCTGCATTTGAACAGCCTGCAATAGGAGTTTGGCCCATGATTAAGGCTCCTAGAAACTGAAATAGTACAAATAAATAATAACAACATAAACACATTATGAGTTCAGATGTCTGTGTCCTTGCTGCAGGAGAATCTTTCATATCCAGAGGGAAAATAAGACCCGGAGCGTCTACTCCATGGCTTAATGATGTTGCAAGATGCACCATTTCTAAAGGTCACAGGAAAATTAAAGTGCTCATTTTTGGGGGTGCTGACTACACAAAATGTAGAAAATAAGTACATGGACTGGCTCACCAACAGAGCTAATTTAGAAGGGAAATAAAACATTTTAAAGTCTTCTTGGATTAAAATTTTGTTTGAGTTAGTGTGTGCAAACAGAGAGGCAAAACTACGGCTACGCTATTGACACAAAGCATTCCCAGGCTCGCTGGGGGAACTGAGAAGTTACCTCCTACCTGGTACTTTGTGATTTGACACTTACATTAACTCTCAAATGTGACCAAACCCAGTCAATAACCCTTTAGAGTTGGACTGAGATCATCTTAACCATGGTCCATCAATGGATTTGCTGACTCTGCTCCAGTGTAGTCCTTAGAAGGGCTCTCTTGCTCACCTCACTGATCCTTCTGTGGCTTCTCAGGTGCACCAAGCATGACAGCAACTATTTTTCTTTATAAAGCCTAACAATAACTTCTGATGGTCTTTTCTATGTTTTTCAGCAGCAATGTGACTTCTGCAGCAGCTATATCCGCTCCTTTTTGCCCATCCAACTATCAGTGTGGGGAATCAAGTCAGAAAACAGAAGTATACTTAAATTTAAAATAGGAAAGGAAAGGGAGGCTACTTTTTTAGTGTCCTAATCTAGTTTATGTATGACCAACTCAAACTGGTTGGTCCCCAAAACCATGGAGATAGCGCAAGAACACAGACTTCCCTACATGACTTGGATGAATATCCATGTAACTACAACATAAGAAAACTACTTGTCTTCTTGAGTATTTTTGGGACATAGAATCATAGAATAGTTAGGGTTGGAAAGGACCTTAAGATCATCCAGTTCCAACCCCCCTGATTAAGAAAAATAAAGTGCTAATGAAGTGCCCAAAAAATTTAATGTCACAAAAAGTGCTGTTCGACTGAAAAGTAGTGTTGTTACAAACCAATTGTAAGCACTTTCTCCACACAGAAATATGGAGATCTGCAATAATACGTCTAGAACCAAGAGCTGCTGCAGGAATAAGAACAATATTTTCCCATTCCTACAGTTAGCTTGGAGGAACAGCCAATTTAAGTATCCCTCAATGGCACTGCATTGTATGCAGTTTTAATTAACATAAAATTTGCTAACTTTATTTAGCCTGTGTGGAAAGGAAAGTTACTTAACGCTGTGTCAGCAGTTTTCTTAGATACATTTATAAAATCACTAGCACATGCATATATATTAAGTTGCAGGGAACCTGAGCTGAGCAGAAGTGATGCTGTTTGGATGGACAGTGTCAGAGATCTTAGAAATAATGCAGAGAAAAAAATCTCCCCCCCAAAGCAAGAAAAATCTTGTTCCAGTGGTTCAGAAGACTTGGGGGGAAGGGGGGGGAGGAGGAGGAGGGGGAAGGGAAGGGAATGGACCTTTTAATGTTATCCAATGGGAAATAAAATAATCATAGATTCATAGAATGGTTTGGATTGGAAAGGACCTTAAGATCATCCAGTTCCAACCCCCTGCCATGGACAGGGACACCTCACACTAGACCATGTCACCCAAGGCTCTGTCCAACCCGGCCTTGAACACTGCCAGGGGTGGAGCATTCACCACTTCTTTGGGCAGCCTGTTCCAGTGCCTCACTACCCTCACAGTAAAGAACTTCTTCATTGTATCTAACCTGAACTTCCCCTGTTTAAGTTTAAACTCATTACTGCTTGTCTTATCACTAGAGTCCCTGATGAAGAGTCCCTCTCTGGCATCCTTGTAGCCCCCTTGAGGTACTGGAAGGCTGCTGATATTTTTAAGCCATTGGAAATACTGTCTTTCTTCATTCCACTTGAAGGCATCTGATGAAATACTTGTAAAGCAGAGACTGTACCAAAGGAAAAAGACTTAAAAAAACATGTAAACCAGTATCGAGTGGTGTTTTGCAGGGTGAGGTTCCCAGCTGGACACAAGAGCCGTCAACCTGCACAGGGTCTCAAGCCTTTGGAGTGTCTCTCTGACATCCTACTCAGACATGTGAACAGCTCATTAGGAAACATCTGCCACAGAACCATTTCTAGATCATGTTTCCTGTAACAAGGACAAAGCTTGCCAGAGGAAATACATGAAAACACAGCATCTGCTGCCTAGCAGTGCGCTGTCTGATGCCACGTATCACCAACAGCTGTAGAAATGGGGGCTCTTCATTCGTGCCCCAAATTTAACTGCTGAAACAAAATCCCAGAGCCAAAGACCCAGTTTGTGAATTTATTATTGAAAGAATGAATGAAATGCTCAGATTTATCCTGAACAGTCATCTTAAAAAGTGACATTGCAACTTTCCTGCTAGAGGATCATCCCTGCAGATACTTTTTGTATTGCAGGTGATGACCCTACGAAGTGCCTCGGGTCAGCTACAAAGTTAGCAAGAAAACAAGCCAGAGACAAGTGTCAGTGTTCTTATAATATGAGGCAGAATATGTTTATCCAAGGTGGAGCCAAATCCTTAATACACACAACATTGCTTTGCCCTTATGATGTTACAGATGGTGCAATTTGGAGCACTAACTTGGCAAAGGCTTTTAAAAAATAGCAGCTATGGGCTCATTAACTTCAGACATCCTTCCTCAAGGGGAGGATAAACATTTAGCTTTAAGCCCCTGTCTCTACCTTCCTCAATAAGCCAATATCTATCCCTCTATAATAAGCAGCAATGTGAGTAACAAAGCCACAAAACCAGTCTTGTGCTCAAACAAGTGTGCTTTCTGAATAGTAAATACCTTTTAAACTGCTTCTTCCCTCAAGACTGCAGCACAGGAGGTATCACCGCAATTACCAGTTCACACAGCCAACAATTAGCTGAGACATTGCCCTAAATATTGCAAAACACAAAGCATTGTTTCCCCTCCAGAATGATCCTGCTTTATGCACAAGCAATGGGGAAATCACACACAAAACACGTCCTTATGTTCCTGCTCAAAGATGCTGGAAAACTGCGGAAGGTAAAAGTAATTGCTGACGGACAAGCAGATTTCTCTCAATCAGAACAGGATATTAGTTTGGCTCTTAAAGAAATACCAACTTCAGAGACAGTGCAGATGAGAAGAGAAAGACGTCATAGCCTGTTGCATTGTGGTTCCCAAGTCACCTTGCCACAAAATATATTTTTCCACATAATATAAGAAAATGATGAAATCATCACTTACCTGAGGGCCTATCAGACCGTTGATTCCTGGGAATCCTGGTTCTCCCTTTTTACCCTGCATGTTCAACAGAGGAAAAACATTAGAAGCTATAGCAAAGACTGCTATTGACTTTCCAAAGTCTTTCACCCCCAAACTGGTAAAACGTCACAATACGGATATACAAAACACAAGAGCTAGAAGAGAAGGCAGCAGACACCATTTGGATGTGAAACTCCAGTTATCTTTGATGGGTCTGTATCTCCGAGACTGTGGCAATAGCTCTGTTTTATGCGTTATAAAAGAAAATAATGAAGAACTCTGGTGCATGGATGAATATAAAAGGTTCACAATCTCTAAGCCAGGAAACAGGAATCCATGAAGCATTTCTAAGTAGGGCTGGCACTGTCACCATTACTCCTCTGCAAGCAAAAGAAGATTTCTCCAGAGGAGCCTGAGAGCTTCATTGGTGCCAAGGATATGCCAGAACCTGGACTAAACCCTTGAAGCAAGTTCACCTACATGGATACTGAGGGACCTGTGATCCCCATGAGCTTGATCTCAAATAGGTCACAGGGAAAAAGTCCTACACAAGTAAAATGAAGAAGAAATGATGGAGTAAGGAAGCATGAAGTGCTGGAGTTAAGGCAGAGGTTGGATTTGTTTACAGCTGACTTGCTGTGCTACTTTGGGTAAGTCAGATGTGTAATAGACACTCAACCATTAATACGTCTGAGATTGTTAATAGGATACAAGGAGGGTACAAGAGGACTCAGGTAAACATCCAAGAGAGAGAAAAGCGATTTTTTTTTTCCTCCCTTATTTCTACTTCTCATCCAAACTGGTTTTCTTTTTAGAAGGATATTACAATTAAGCACGTTTCATGTCACTGATGATGTGATTGGTCATACAGATAAGTGAGAGCCATATATATATCTAATTTTTCCTTTATTTTTCTTTCTTGAAATATGTCCAGAAAGAAAGCCTATAAATGACAGCTTCCTGCTGACTTGAATGAAAACATCACAAACAGAACATCGTATTTTCCCCAGTTTTGACTGAGATTCATTAGCTGGTGTGTCAGAATCTGAACTGTTCATTATTCATAACAAAAAAAAGTCAGCTGTCATATACAGAACTTAAGAAGAAAATTAAGAGCAATTATGAGGTGCATGGAGTTTGTAGTAATTTCCAGGACACTAATACCAATCAGAATGTGCACTATATACTCAAGTAAATGCACTATTCATGAGTGCTGCTCCTACTCTCAACATCCATCACTTCTTTGCTTGTCAAAGTCAAAAAGAGCCCACTTTTAACCTGAAGGACTCATACCACCACATGATTCAACACGTTTTCTGGTTGTAGATGCTGATTTTGCCAACTGCAAGGTGACCATGCAAAGGACATGGTTAAAATACTCATTTAAATAAATAAGCTTATGAATAGAGCAGGATGTGGTATGTGTGGCCAGACCTGGGAGATGAGTACAGATTCCTACCAACCTGGGAATTACACATTAAAGGTGGCTGGTTCCACAGCTACAACACTGACACCAACATGCAACACAGAGTAACTGATGCCTTCACATCCCACTAACCTCACTTGTCACTGGGCATACTTAGCACCCACCTTGTACCTCCCTTTGCAATGTTTATGCATCTCCTTATACTCTAATTCAGAGACTGCATTAGAGGCAGGAACTCAATTTAAACACTTTTGATAACCCTTTGAAAGAGAGAAATGGAATTAGCTTTACACTAGTGTTCATGCCAACAAAATGGGAATGAGCCTTGTAAGTGAAGAGATTCAAGCAATACATGCGGACCTTATTTTGGAGGTTCACAAGGTCCAAACAAGGGGGTGGCTTTAGCAGCTTTACAGGTTAAGGGCATTATCTGGTTGCAGTTTACTGAACTACTGCTTTTGGGAAACTTGGTCCTACCTGTAAAATATTACTTAGGGAACCTGAGGCAGGTTGTAGCAACACCACCTTCTCTCCAAACTCATCTCAAGAGCTGAGGAGGCAGCGAAAGGGCATACTTTGCCTTCTGTGACAAGTGTACACCAATTGTGCTGTTTCCATATTGATGGCTGAGCACACTAATATGCAGCAGCAATAAGCGATGTGAGAGGAGCCCATCCTATCCTAAGGTATAATTCTGAGAAACTTTGGTGCTTTATAAAACACTGAGAAATCCCCTAAAGCAACATGCAATTGTATTGACAGAGAAGCTGAGAGTGTAATTTCTCATTGTGAAAGGGGCACTTTGGCCAGTCACAGATTAGCCAAAATCAGACTACAACAGGTTTGCTCCATAACGTTATAGACTGCCTATAAAGTGCAGAAATCCTTGCTGGGAGAAATTATACCAATGAGAGCAAAGCCCAGCAAAATGTCACAACGCCTAATAATGACAGAGAAAACCAGCAATTATGCTGTTAACTTACAGTAAGAATGTGCTAAATGTGTATTCTTTGACTATATGAAATGTAGGTTATTTGCCTTCATCATCAATTTGAACAATAGCACCGTTAAAAGTGTGTGTTTTATAGGAAATGGATGTATTTACTTCACCAATTACAGTTTCACTCTGGATATAACCTGCACTATCAATCCCTGGAGCATCTCTCTTACGAGGAGAGATTGTGGGGGCTGCGCCTGTTGAGTTTAGAGAAGAGCAGACTGAAAGGGGATCTCATCAATGCAGATCAGTATCTCAAAGGCAGGTGCCAGGAGGATGGTGCCAGACTCTTTTCAGTGGCGCCCAGCAACAGGATGAGGAGCAATGGCCATGAACTAAAACACAACAAGTTTCACCTCAACATGAGGAAGCACTTCGTTACACTGAGGGTTGCAGAGCACTGGAACAGGCTGCCCAGGGGTGCTGTGGAGTCTCGCTCTCTGGAGACATTCAAACCCCACCATGGGCATGTTCCTGTGAAACCTGCTCTGGGTGGCCCTGCTTTGACAGGGGGTTGGTGATGATCTCCAGAGGGCCCTTCCAAGCCTAATGATTGTGTCATTTCTGTCCCAGCATCACACAAAGAAGAGCTCAGAAGCCCTCCAGAAATGTAAATTTATCTCCCCTGTGACACCTTACAGACATAAACCTTTAATGCATAGGCAAGTGCTCTTTAACATCTCTCCAGGGTGGAGAGTATGCCCCAAACCTAGTCTGCCCCAGTTTTAACAGGATCCTTTAGGCTCTATTGTGAAACAAATAGGCAGCACTTACTGAGCCTCATAGCCTTGTAATCCAGTTGTAAAGTCATGAAAGGTCTGTTAAGCTTTTTGTGTTACTCTGACTATGGGAATAACCATTCAGAGGATGTGGACAGATGAACATGAAAACCTGCTACAACATGACAGCTGAATTAAAGATGCAGAAGACACCTCTTTGGAACTCATTCCTGGAGCTGTGCTCCTTCCTCTTGCCTTCAACCTGACAGACCTTGACACTGTATTTTACAACTAGCTCACAAAAAAGGGTCTTGTAGTAAAATTGTTCTAAGTTATCTCTGTTTCTACACCCAACTCTCATGCTGTGCTTTGCATAAATTATTTTGTGCATGAAGTGACTTGAATAGGGGGAATTACTTGAATTACTTATCTGGCTGACTCATGTACACTGGTGTCTTACTCATGGAGAATATTCATTAAAGGTTACTACTTTTAAAAGATGATTTCCCTTATTTTTTCCCCATAAGACTCGCTAGGCCATGAGATCCTGTATTTTGGGTTTTTACTTGTTTTGCACTGATTGTTCTTTGAGCATGGGAAAATGCTGACAATGCGAATTTAGCAAACTAGGCTGCAATACAGCAGCACATCCAACTCAAACTGGCCTGGGTAGCTGCTACCTGATGCCTATGCGGGAAGTGCTGATATAGAAGAAATATTCTCTGTTTCCTTCTGAAAATTCCCTCACTCAAATGAACTTGTATCATTTCAGTAAGAGACAAATTCTTGAAATCCAAGTTATTGAGCTCACTTCAGAAGAACCCTATGTTTAGGCTGGATTACCCAAAGATCTGAAAGCTTTCCATGTCATACTTCTACACCTTTTGTGTCTATCAAGCAAGTTGGGGGTATTTCCAACTAATATTTCAGTAGATCAGGTGTCAAAAACTGAAAAGCGGAATCATAGTACTTCAATTCTCTTCAATTTCACAGAAGAAAAAGGACAGGAAGAGAAGAAAAAATAAACTGAGCCAGTACTGGCACTTAGTCTTAAGCATTCTTAAAGAAACTGCAACATGGTCTTAAGCAATCTGTGCTGCCAAGGCCAGAAGAAACCTTAGGCCATCAGAAGCCCCGATGACAGATCTTCTTGATACCACTTGGTTATTGGTTATTCAGCCACACTTGTACCACACATCAGCAGAAGACTCTGCAACTACTCCAAGAAATGTGCTGTCTAAGCGAGGGTGATGGAACAAAAGTTTATTCAAGTACAACAAATGTATTTAAATGCAAGATGAAGCTTTCATGAAATTAACCTGTCACTTTCTTTACTGTAATATAAATGGTAACCCTCTAAATATAATGCCTCGCTTATTCATGACTGTACTATCCCATGTATTCTTTTATTTCTTCAGCAATAACAGGAACACCAACTTCAGGCCAAAAGAACATCGTACTTCCTCTTTTCCTAGATCTTTCCAAGCTGTGTGACCCTTCTCCTGTCAGCCAAACTGTCACTGAGGTATTTGGCACAATATCTCATCTTCAATGAAATCTACACACTGGTGTAGGTGGTTCCTGCATTATATTTCTAGCACCACCCAATTGTCCTTGCAGAGGTCAGGCTCCTTCATTTCCAGTAGTCTGTGTTATGAGACATGAATTCTCATATGAAATGGTTCCAAACACGTGTTTAGTCCATCAGTAGTTTGTGCCAGCTACATTACAGTGGACTAAAGCATTGCAGGCTTTTAAGAACTCCCAACAAAGGGTCATAATCTGCATCCCTGTGTAGGACAGGAACCTTGTGCATGTGCAGACTTCATTTATAGCTTGGACCATAATGCAAAACTGAGGTTGAATCATACTGTAAGCCAGTAACAGCATGCTACTTGAAATGGTCCTGAAGTCAATTTTGCACTGTAACCTGTCCTTTACGCTACAAGATATTAGTCAGGATATTTATAAAGTACCTCAAGAACCAAATCTTCACAAGATATAAATTGCAGCTTCATATCTTGAAAACCTGCCTGTACAAAACAGCAGGGTGACCAGGCAAGCAGATGGTTAGTGATTTTCATCAGTTCTACACAGCTAAAGAAGGGTCCCGAATCTATCTATAGCTGTGTTAGATTTTTCTGTCCTTACCATAGTGAGATACCACCTATATTAAATACAGTGGGCCAGGGCTCCATGCGCAAGAGCACAGGAGCTTGTGCTCATGCAGCTAAACTTCTCACAAACAAGGATGGTCTTTGTCATCCAGACACAATCAACTTGTAATGAGGAACATTTGTGGGATACTGCTATTTGGGATGACCCAAATGTATGCTGGGGAACATGCTCGATGTTAAACAAACCCATGCTCACACTGCTCCTCTGGCTGTTTGGTTTGCCTACATACTTCTACAGTCTTACACTTCTACCCCTACTGACAAAGGGTGCAGAGGTGAAGCGATGGGAGAGTCTTAGAATAGAATCATACAATGGTTTAGAATTATTTAGGTTGGAAAGGACCCTTAAGATGATCAAGTCCAACTGTTAACACTAACACTACCAAATTCACTACTATACCATGTCCCTAAGCACGACATCCATCTGTCTTTTAAATACCTCCAGGGATGGCAGCTCAACCACTTCCCTGGGCAGCCTGTTCCAGTCCTTGACAACACTTTTGGGAAGGCCTTTTTCCTAATGTCCAGTCAACGAGCCAAGTCTTGCAACAAGCTAGGACTGAAGACACAACTCAAAATGAGGCATTGTGACTCTGTCTATGTCTTCAACATCAGGCTATGCTGCTAGAGAGCCTTCTTGCTTGAGTGTGTGCAAGAGAATTCTCTACAGCTCTCAGCTGAGCCTTCAGAGTCTGCTCTTACCTCACATCCAGTCATTTAAAACTAGACCCAAAGAGAGAAGATTCCTGATCTTGGTGTTTTAACTTCTAAGCCTGTGTAGAGACTGCTTTTTTGGCTCTGTCTTCAGCCAAATTTATGTAAGATGGTAATCAACACCTGGATTTATATTTGTGTTTTGTCAAGAACAGCACTAATGGTGAATCAGTAGTATCTACTAATCTCTCTGTCACATACAGATTATTCATGCAGATCCACCAAGTCCAAGACTTTTATTCATCTTACTCATTCACTCAATGAATAATGGCCTTTAGTTAAAAAAATGTATCTATCCACCTAAGATGCCTAGTGACTAATAGAGACCCTTAGGAGAAGAAGTCTAACTAGCTAGACACAACAGAGTCTAGGGAAACATTCAAAGACAGTATGGATCAAATGACATCTCTAATCAAATGATCATTAGCAGGAGCACTTTGTGTCCTCTTGCAGATCCTGATGGATCACTGTCCTTTACCCAGCTAATATGGTCTATTAATCTTATTCAAGAAACTATGTTTCACAGCAGACTTTAAAACCAGGGCAACTCAGAACTTATCAACTCAAAAGGAAAGCACAGCACACTTATTTGGTAAGGTGATATTTTCTAAAGACTGGAAAAGCACAAGAAAGCAAGTAAATGCCTTTATCTACTGTGGCATTAACATGAGACTTCATGCCCCATTTTCCCAAGGAGAAGATTCCTAAAAGCCAAGCTTACAGCTCCATTTAATACTGTGCAATCTGAAAGACTGTAGATAACCACCTACCAATGCATATATTTCTTCCTTATACTATTCTTTGCCCATAGCCTTCCCATGCTCACAAGTAGCCCTCTCATACCCAGTCTTTTAGCAGGACTGGTGCTGACTAACATGCAAAACAGTACAGGTAACCTCCATGATCTCCTCTATGGATCAAAGCTATGATCACGTCTCTGTGACTAATTAAAAAGTAACCCATCAAACAGCAGTACTGAGGCTGAAGTGACTGCTTCCACAAAGGTTAAACAAGTATCTCTCTTCTATTCTTATCCTTTATCCAGTGAGATGTTCTTCATACAAATGGGCTGAAGTAAGGAAAGGCAGGTTCAGAGCATGCATGTAATGGTATCAGGCCCGCTATGAAATTCACTTTTTATCAGTACTTGAATATTTTAAGACATCACTCTGAGTCAGAGAAAAGCCAATATTTTTTAACAAGAGGAATCTGCCTAAGGTCCTGGTGGAGAATGCCACCCCATATGTGGATTCTGTTTGAGTACAGGCCAAACAGGACAAGTTTCTTTGCATTTATCCAACTTCCAGGACAACAGTAGCTCTCTGAACTTTCTACCTGTTCAGATTACAAGTGGCTCTACATACTCAGAGTCATACTGAAAATCCTCTTGGCAGAAAGGAGCAGATATATAGACAGGAGAGCAAATGACAAGGAATAAACTTCCATAGGGTCCCACAGAGCACTGTAAACAATATGTGGACTCCAAGAGGTACTAATAGTTGCTGATCCATAAAAAAAGAAACACAAGAAAGGATCTGGGCCTGCAGGATATTTAAATGAATAGAAAAGTGTATGTAAAGTGGGTGAAGTTACCAAAACTCATTGAACAAAGCTATTCCCTCCCTTCTGAGACTTATAATAAATAAAAAGAGCAACTCACCCTTGGACCTGGTACACCAGGGATTCCAGGCTTGCCTTCCAGACCAGGCTCTCCCTTTGAAAGTGAAAAGTTTTAGGAAGTTAACTGAGTTAAGAAAAACTAATGAACTAGATAACCATTTCCCAGCTGGTTTGTGCTACTGTTACTGCATGGCTACCTAGACAACTCTTACCTGATAATTATGGTGTCCTGTGAGCAGAAGAGAATAAGAAAATAGGATAGAGAAAAGTGACAATGCCCTGATTAAACACAGAGCACACAACTGTATTTAAATTACACAATTAAAACCAGGTAAATTACAGAATTAAACCTAGTTTTGCCTAAGTAATACCTCTTCACAATGCCATCAATTTTACAAACTCAATCAATAGCAAAACGCAGCAAACCTTTCATAGATGAGGAAATACGGAGTATTTGCAAATGGAGCAGCAGTGGCTGTCTGAACTGATATATCCTCCAGAGCTGGGTTATAGAGTATAACTAGAATGCACTACAATTAAGTCAAAAGTAAGAATGTTGGCATGGCTAAATTGTTGCAAAATGTATGGTGAAGCATAAACACACATACCCAATTCTTGTTTCATCCACAAAATGTTTTAGCCAGGACCTCGTGGCATAAAGCCAACCTCTTTTAAGAGCAACCATTCTCTGACCTTCATCATAGGATAGCTTACAACTTAGCAGTTAGTGCTTCTCTGAGGTGTGCTGAATGCCCACACAACTCTTCAGGATATTAGAAAAGCAATCAGAGTCTGCATAACAGCAGCCTTGAGGCAAAGTCTTCTCATGTCATAGAATCATAGAATGATGTCCTGGGTGCCGCCTCCATATGTTCGGAGTGGCCATCCACAGCAGGAGACCTTCCCAAAATAGTGAAGAGGAGGCTAGGACACTGTTTAGATCTTAGTGCCTGAATAATGTATAAGATTTTCAAGTATGCCTCAATGCCAGACTGAATTCCAGTTTCTGGGAATTGCAAATGATGAGAGAAACTACTTACTGGAGGTCCAGGAAGTCCAGGTTGGCCTTGTGGTCCTCGTGGCCCAGGCATTCCCTATAGAAAAGTTTTGGTTTTTTTTAAATAGCATTAATAGATCTGTGTTAAAAATTATATGGGCGCATTAGTCATGTTGGCCATCGTGCAAGACCTATACCACCCCTTTCCTCATAGGTCCTAAGAACCAGTGCAGAGCCCAGCTGGTTTTCTCCTTACTCCTTCAGCTACTTCAAGTATCAGCACTTATTAGACTGCACAGACTGAACCACCCACACTCAGCAGGCATTTATCCATAACTGGCTCTTTATTTTTCAGAGGTAGTAACTCAGCCGAAGGCTTGGGATTATCCTGGATATTCCAATAAAACACTGTGGGTTGGGGTTTGGTGCTGAAGAAAAGCAATTCTTGCAAAACCAGCATCCACAGGCATTTCTCCTGAGCCAGCACAGCTGTGAAGGGCTTTAAGGTATCATTTATATGATGTATGTCATCAAAGTGTAAATATATTTTGCTTATATATAGGAGTAACAGATTGAAGTAGCAGGTGTCTTGCCCCTATTTGAGTGCCCAGGTTCAGAGGCAAACTCACATAGAACTCAAATACAGTTTGACTTTCATATTAACACTTCCCTAGACTTCAAAAATTGTGTAGCTGTCCCCCAAATTTTTGCTTCTCATTCATGTTAGATTCAACACATTTGAAAATGACATTTGCTGTTTATTTTCTCCACTGTAAATAGGAAAACTTCTTTCCTGATGTCCTGAAAATGCTTCTTACCTATCTTAACTGAGAAGTACTATTATAAAGCAAAATCTAATCTAACAGGCAAGTGAACTATATACAAGTATCCTCGCAATGGAAGAATAAATATTGAATCTCTCTTACTTGCTCTCCTTTTAGGCCTTCAATATGTACCTGTAATAGAAATGCAAAGTCATAAAGGATAAGAAGAGGAAAGACAACACAGAAGGTGCCAGGGGTATGATGGCTCCCCATAGTGTATTTTCATCCCCACACCATTCCCCTGAGATGCACACTAACTGCTACTGCTCCTCAAATCCTTCTTCAGGCAGCTTTCTATTTAAACAGCTTGGACCGACACAAGGTTTGCTCACTCGGTTACTATGCAGCGATTTGTGTGGCTGCCTAAGCAGTAAGAACTGAAGATCTCACCAATATAAGTTAGTAAATTCTTATTTTAAATCATGAAGAACCATTGAATGCTGAAGGCATCATGTAAATACCAGGCTGACTTTGGATATGGTGCATGCTCAGGCTGTCCTCCACTCACTCTCTGGAACTTCAAGCTCATTTTCAAGTTTTATACATATCTTTCACAGCCTTTTGGGAACTAATCTCACATCACCAATCTCATATTTAAGCTGAGCAGTAAAAGGCTTTTACTCAGAGTTTTGGTTTTTTTTCAGAGCTCTCTCTTTCTCTCTCCTTTGCTTTCTACCACCACATTCTGGACAAGGAAATTACCTGCTGCCTTTCTCATGATTACCAGGGAGCTTCTCATTCTTGTCTTTAGCACCCAGTCTTTCTTTGGCACAGTGCTACAGTTAATGCTGCTGCTATCATCATCGCTTTAATGCTTTCTACCAGTAGTCCAAGGATGCTTTCTCCTAATTTTAATCCTAACATTTTTGGAAAGTAAAATGGATATTTCCAAACTGGTTGGTTACCAGCCTCTGTAGAACTCAGTTATAAACCTTTCCTCTTCAAACTTTGTGGTAAATCTTCTTTCTCCATTCACTTGGAGATGACCTCTTAATACAGGAAATACTAACCTCTGGACATCCTTACGTCTCTGCTAGTGATGCCTCTGGCATTACGGAAGGAATTACTGAAGGCAGAGGGATGTACAAAGTCATGTAAATCAATTCCCCTCTTTTACTTACTCTGCTTTCCTTTTTATCCTTACCTTTGCTCTCCTCATTTCAGCACATCAGGTCCTAATTGCCTTATATTCCAACAGGACTTCTTAAGATATAAGCCAAGGGAAGATAAATCCCCCCCATCAGAAATGACCTTTTTCTTCTCCAATCCCAATTCTCATGTCCAACCCATGACAAATGCACTCCATAATTCAACTTAACTCTGCACTTTCATTTGCTTTTTCACAGGCTCTATTTTCCAAAGTCCACTAGGCATCAACTCAACAACTGTCCTGGAAACCACGCAGTCCTGTCACACATATTGCTTTCCCTGATGCACCTCAGGCAACGCTTTCATTGCCTCTTCAAGTCCTGATCTTCACGTTTCAAAATATCCCAAAGTTGTGGCATTGCCTCTCATTGTTGGAACCCACCACTTGCCTTCTTCAAAGATCTTCACTGTCTTAAACTTCATGATTTTGGAAGAAAAACGCCATTAAATAATATCTTTCATTTAATAAATCCTCACCCCCCACAACTTCCACCTTCTCTTCTCATGCAATAATGCCTACAATGTTTGAGAAAGCTAAAAAACAAGAAATAAATTCTTACTAAAGAGCCAGGTAATCCTGGAGGTCCTGGTTCACCCTGCAGGGAAACATGAAAGAAAGGAGAAAACATAACACAGCACACAACATAGCACAATACATAACATAACACAAAAGAAAGCAAACCTCTGAGTGTATTTTCCAACTGCTGTTATACATTTTTATTTCCAATATCATCCTGTAATTAATAGACATGAACATGCAATCCCAATTAACTATGTTTTCTCTGCCCTGCAGATAAATACATGCAGGAACTTCTTGTGTTCTATTATTGTGATGTTATATATTGATTTTAGTGACTTAACATGACTGATGCACTGGATGCACCATAACATTAAATTCAAGCTTCAAAAGTCTTATAATAGGTCTGTACATACCAGACAAATAAACCTCATTGATGTTCACATCCCTGACAGATTGCAGGATGGATATTTAGGGACCAAAATGCTTTTGTTTGTTAACGACCAAAATATCTTTGCAAAAAGAAAAATCAGGTGAAAATAGCACCATTTTCCCCCAAGTCGTTTTATAGAGCAGAATCACACTAGTGTTTGCAGGATACTGAGCTGCTGCACCCTCTTTACATGATTTATTGCAATGCAGGCTATCAATTTGTTCCAGCCCATTTTATTCCAGCAGAGTCCATCATTTATAATGCTGTAACACTAAGCATCCATAAGGTATATTCTTTACATTAGGTACAAACTAATGCAAAAGTCATCATAGAGCTTCCTTTCATGCTCTATTTATTCATTACTCATGTAGGTCTCTGAATGACCTAGCATATCTTTCATGCTCTTTCCTTTTAAAGCAAGCTTAATTACTAGTTGTTATTTATTCTAAAGAGGGTCCATGCTGTGCCAGAAGATACACATCAGACTGTGAAGACCCACATCAGCTGCACTGAAAGTAATGGAGCAAGGAGCTCAACATCTTCTGAAAGTGCCAAATGCAGCCACTTTAGAGATCACAATGAAGTGTTACAAATCAAGACTGGACGGAGCTTTGAGCAACCTAGTCTACTGGAAGATGTCCCTTCCCATAGCAGGGGGGTCATAACTAGCTGAACATTAAGGTCTCTTTCAAACCCAGTGATTATATAATCATATGAGGCCATGAAGCAGTAATGCCTTTGCATTCATGCCAAAGAAATAGGTATGAAACACCAAAACCACACTGTCACCTCTAGCAGAGAGGGAAACATGAGGCTGTCCTGGAGACTCTAACAACACCATAAAATAATGAGGTCAGAATTGCTGCTGAGAGCTGTGAATAATTATTTTGCAGGTAAGAGAAGTGGGCTCATTTAATTTGCTCTTTCTGAGTCAACTCTACACTTCCTGGGTAAAAAAAATGGCATCTACACAAACTTGTTATCTTTTCCACTCACTTTTCTTAGGTGAGGAAGATTTCCTGAGCCAAACTACTCTCTACTTCTTTCTACTTCTACTATGAAAGCTAGAGCAAAGGAACTATGACCAGGCATAATTTGACATTCACTTATACCAATTTCACACTGAAGCAACATCAGAAATGTGATGTTAACATTTAAATGAATATAAGACTTCATATATAAATGAATATAAGCTTCACTTATGCACAAATGAGACAAATATAGGCCAACATCCCTGATGTTTGAAGTGATTCTGCCCCTCTACTCTGCTCTTGTGAGACCTCACTTGGAGTATTGTGTGCAGTTCTTTTGTCCTCAACATAAAAAGGACATGGAACTGTTGGAACAAGTCCAGAGGAGGGCACAAGGATGATCAGGGGACTGGAGCATCTCCCGTATGGAGATAGGCTGAGAAAGTTTGGGCTGTTCAGCCTGGAGAAGAGAAGGCTGCGTGGAGACTTCAGAGCAGCCTTCCAGTAACTGGAGGGCCTACAAGGATGCTGGAGAGGGACTCTTCATTAAGGACTGTAGTGACAGGACAAGGGGTAACGGGTTCAAACTGAAACAGGGGAATCTTAGATTGGATATAAGGAAGAAACTCTTTACTGTTAGGGTGTTGAGGCACTGGAATGGGTTGCCCAGGGAAGTTGTGAATGCTCCATCCCTGGCAGTGTACAAGGCCAGGTTGGACGAAGCCTTGGGTGAGATGGTTTAGTGTGAGGTGTCCCTGCCCATGGCAGGGGGGTTGGAATTGGATGATCTTAAGGTCCTTTCCAACCAAAACTATTCTATGATTCCATGATTCTATGATTTCTGGCACAGGGGGCAAGGAGCAATTAACAAAAGCGTGTCCAAAACCCTCTTCTGCTTTCCATCCCAACTCACCTTTTCTCCTTTGGTTCCACTGGCACCTGGAGGGCCGGGGCTTCCAGCAGGGCCCTAAACCAGGTAAAATTGATAGAATAATATTCACTTTACATAATGCAGGTTATCAGTTGCCATTCCCTTAGAATACAGGAGAAACACAAGGCTGCATGTTTGGCTGTCAGCAGCAAAGTTATGTCCCATTGCACTAGGGGAGGAGCTAATACAACACAGAAGGCTGTTTTGGCATTGCTGCATAGAGAGGAAGAGGAATAAGGCCAGAGATGCCCCAGCAATCCAATTTCAGCCAGCTCAGGACGATTGCAGTTCAGGGAGCACATCAGCATCAAACACAACATATTCAATAAAATTTAGGCATGAAGATTTTCTAACTGTTAGGTGTCTAGACACGAAAAAAGCAAAAAAAGCTTCAGAAGAACCCAATTTCTGCAGTAGGGTGCCACATGGAAAAATTGCTCCTTAGAAGTAATAAGCTATCAGCATCCACCTTCACATCCCTCTGCAATTTCTCACTTCATCTACATTTAGTGCAAGTAGAAACCAGCACTAAAAACAACATGATGGATATAGTGAACATAATTCATTGTGATTTCAGTGCATCCAGCACCAGAAAACATTTCCATGTTATAAAGACAGTGATAAACACTAACTAGGCAAATATGTTCCCATATAGAATAAACTGCAACTGAGGAACAAAGCAGAGAGAAAGCGATGATTAGCTGTCAAATCCCCTGTGGAGAAGCAGAACATTTAGTACAAAAATGTCTATCACAGAGAGGAAGATGAAGATTTAACAAAGATTAAGACTGCTAATGACACTATACCTTGCCACCTAAATACTAAAGAGGTATCTGATATGGAAACAAAAGTACTCCTCAACAGAATCATGTTGAAACTGTGTCTGCTAAAAGAACAAAAGACTCAGGCATCACATGGTTGTAAAGCACATTCAGATCAGACCTCAGCAGCTGCTTTGCAGGATCAACCACCTGAAGACAAACTATACAAACAAATCCTATACTGAGGACTCAACATGCAGTTTCTCCACCTCTTCAACTGCAAAAATGTGCCTCCAAACGATCCTTTCCAGAGAGAGAAACAGCGTAGGCAGCATGAATAGGGTGCAGAACCAGAAACCTGAAGGCTTCAGGCTCAAAAGCATCAATGATTAACTGCATGGCTTATGGCAAATCACTTTTTAGCCTCTGCTTCTTACTCTGTCCTTTGCTATTTGGACCAGAAGATTCTTGGAAGTAAAGGATGCCTCTCATTAAGAATTGTAACCTGAGTAATGAAAAGAGTCTTGCGGGATCTGCAGATAGTTTTAGACAAAGCATTATCTGCTTAATCAGCAGAAATGTATTGATCTTTTAAACCATTTCCTGGTTTCAAATTGTCTTAAAAATGTAAATACTTTCAAGCCTTTCTTATTGAAAACAAACCAAATAGATTAAATCCAGTTGTCTCCCTTTCATGTTGTGGGAAAGAAATAAGTTTATAAAAATCAGGCTTAAACAACTGAACTTTATACATTCTCCCTTATGTTTTTAATGAAAATTCAGTCAAACATCTAAACTATCACATCTGAAGGACTAGCATTTCCTTGAAGTGTATATTGCATTACAATTTAAAAGCAAACAAAAAACCTGTGCTAACAAAGATCCATAGAATAAAGAGTACAGGGTCCTGCCGTAGCTCAGCAGCCACCCAGGATAAACCCCAGTTTTAGCATCAACTTCCACTTATTCCAAAGAAAAGCCTCCAGTTGTTGAGCATTTGCCACATACCTGTTTTCCCTCCAGACCTGGCTTTCCAGGGAACCCATCTAGGCCTCGCTCTCCCTGGGAAAAGAAGACAAAGAACCTCTATGACTCAGATCAGTGCTGTGAAAGTCACCATTCTGCAAGAGACATCTGCATTATCCACTCCAGGAGTAAGGAATAAGGAGAGAAATTCAAGCCAGCTCAATAGAGAATATGACTGAAGTCCCCATATCTCTACTACGAAGATTTGTGGCAACCAGGTGTTGCGTGTTATAGCTTTCCGTGTCACCATCCTTCCCTTGTGTGCTGAGGTTGATTCATGTAAACTGGACAAAGGGCACCAGGAGAACACCAACTCTTACAAAAATACTGAATCCACAATCCATCAATAGCTCATTTTTACCCAGGTAAGAAAAACCTGTCATTTTTCACCTTTGCTTTCTGTAACCCTGGGGAACAACTAGTCTGTTCCTATACATCTCCAGAGCTGGACAGCCCACAAAGTGCACAGGAAATTTATTCCACCACGCTATTTTCAATACCTGAAGATATGTTTTTTTCCCCATATAACTAAACCTGACTTTTGCCTGTTACAGTTTCAGGCTAGTATGTCATTCCCTGACCTCCCACAGAGAACAAACTGTACCCTTCATCTTTACAAAGGCCTTTATGTATTTGAAGTCTTACAAAACTCTCCCTTCGAGCCTTTCCAGTCTAAACAACCTCAGTGCTTTCAGCTTTTCTTCATGGGCACATTTTTCAGTCCTCTGATCACATTTATTGCTTCCATTTGTGCACTGCCCACCTTTTCCACACCTTCTCAGTGTAGCTAGGTGCCTGGAACTGGACACATCTGAGGCTGACTTTGAGCAGAAAGATTATTTCATGTTTTATAGAGTATTCTTCTACTTAAATCCCAGGATAATGTTTACTCCAAACCCACTTCCTCAGGACAGCTCCTTAATAAGTTGTTCCCAATCTGCAGCAGTGCGCAATTCTCCCACAAGTATGAAGCATCCTGATGTTCCACATTCAAGCTTAATATATTCCGTATTTTAGAGTCCAGGACCTTAACAGAGACAATGACCAGATCAATAACATACTCCTGCTGAACTTCACTTCCCTCTTACTAATTGTGGCCTCTGTCTATTCCAGCCACTTCAGGTTAAAACCCTTTGAAATAGGGACTTTCTCTTACTCTGTAAAAGGCTTACCCCTCTGCTGGATGAAACACTGATTTTGCTTGTATCCTGCACACGCAGTTGAATATAGATTATCAAATACATACAGTACCACTGTTAACATAAATGTGGATGTAAAACAAATGGTATGAATATGAGCAGTGACAGCAGAGTATCAGCTTTACTTTTTGAAACGTTTCAGTCATCTTAATTCTGATCAGTATCCCACAGGATCCCTGTTAGACTTCTGTTACTATCTGCAAACCCACACTTACAGCTTTGGATTTAATTAGCTCCTTTTCAAAACTACATTGATCAGCAAATTAGAAATGTTTTTGCAAATCAATGTCTTTCTTTTTCCCCTTTAAAGTCAATCAGCATCGTAACATAAACGTTATTTTAAAGAATTATATTAGTGGGACCCATACGCTACAGAAAGCAGCTGAAAACCACTGTCAGACATCCTGATCTACTTGCTTTCGGAGTGATAGTTTCCACGTTAATGGTTTCGTTTGCACTGACTGAACCACAAGTATCCTGACTTTCAGTAAGCAACAGTCTGGTAGACTGCTGACAAAATGTGAAGTGCATTCATTCCCAGGAGGAATTTTAACATCAAACACTGCAGAAAGGAGTATTTCACACATGCTGTTTTAGCTGCCAAAACACAAGAGTGTCAATGTTCTTAGTGCTAGTAATGGGGGCAGGGAAAGGCAAATATGTTATTTATACGAATGTATACAATAAAGCTGTTTGAAAGCACTACAAATGACTCTGATTTCATTTTTTTCTTCAGAAAAAGCTGTCCTTATAAACATTTTTTATTATTTTCTCCATTCTTTAAAAAAAAGAAAAAAGCAAGCTATTTAGAGAAAGCTTGGGGGGGTGGGGTTTAGAGGGTTGGGTTTTCTTTTTTTGTTGATTTGTTAAAAAAATCAAACAGAATAAAAGTTTTATTCTTGAATTTTCATTTTAAGACCTCATTTCATTTTCCTGTGCTCTACAGATTTTTTTCTGGTTTTAATCAATAAGCAACCAGTGAAAATCCCAATTCCACAGAAACTTTAGTGCTGCTTTCTGACCTCTAACAGTTAGAAAGTGTGGTGATCTATTGGAAAAATGATTCCCCAAGAGTCCAAAGGTTCCTGGGAAAAAGTGATGAAGAGCAACCACACTGCACAGAGGGACATGGCAGCCCTGCCGCCCCCTCACCTGAGGTCTTCTCTAATACAAAACAAGGATTTACAAGATATTCAGATGTTTATGCAGCAAAAGTAATGCCCCATGTCATGCTGAACTGCTGTACGTGCCTAAATTAACATGCCAAGTATCACATAGATATATGGTTTATCTTGGCAGCCAAGAGTCCGTTGTATGCAAAGGGACAGGAGATATCACTCATATTGTGCAGTGGCTCCCCTAAAGTGCAGGTGTAACTAATACTACTGGATTTGGGAACCTATAAAGCCTCAATATTTATATCTGAGTTCCCAGGATATATTAGAATGCAGCAGCAAGATGTATTATAGGATATTTAACCTGGTTTAAATACTAGGGTGCAGATTTGATATACTAATACTCAGTGCATGGGCCAGTGCTCTCATCTGATATAATAAACACTCTTCTACTCACGCACAAAGAAACACAGGTTGTGTAGGTGTCAGTATTCATGTTACAGACTGAAGAGCAGACAAGGAAATATTTGGCCTGTCGAATTTACACCCACTGATTTCACAGTAGTACTGGCTGGTAGAAGTTAAAGCAATGGCAGCGAGTGCTCTGAGACCATCATTAAAGCTGGGAAAAAATCAAAGTACAATTGTTGTAGCAGAGATCTGGCGGCTCCAGGAAAAAGTAAATAAAGGGAGCTCTAATTGTGCATATCCTCTTAATGAAACAAACCCTAATTCATTTCTTCCCCACTTTAATTTTCCTCTAGCTTAGTCAGCTGCCTGCCCACACACAGTTCAAGCTTCCTCTCCCATCACAGTGATGTCAGAAAGATGGATTTTCTTCCGGGAGCCAAATATTCCAGCAGATTAGACAACCTCACCTCCGGAAAAGAAGTGGCTAGACACAACATACTGAGCCAGGCCTGCAAAGGGCCAAGGCAAAAGCATGAGGAAGATAAAGTGCGATCCAGCCTTTTGCTGTAGCTGCAGCAGAGAGGACTGAGAATGCAAAGCATGATCATGGCTACTTCATCTTTAATGGCAAAATGGACACAGGGAACTGACATCTTGGCACATGCTAAAGCAAAACACAGTATCTCACCCTAAGGGTCTATTGATCATTTTTCCCAGTAGGCAAAAGTTTGGTGTAAATCTCTGGGTTTCTTCTCCAAAATAGTGAGAAATGGGAATAAGGCCAGGCTAACAAGCTAATAACTCTTCTGCACAGACACATATAGCCAGACATAAAGACAGCTTGAACACAGGCAAAGCTACCAGACCAGCACTGTGATATTCCTGACTCAGAACCAGCTTAAGACATAAGCAAGATAAGACATTGCTCAGGACTGGAAGACACTCAGTGTTGGCAAGAAACATGCCTGTTTTGCCTGCATGAGTAAAGAGGCAAGATGGGTCCAACAGAGTTTGGTCATCCCCCACCTCCAGCTGCTTGCTGGACAGAGGTATAGCAAAACACATTTTTGATGGCATTGCTGGGAGCATTAAGCACTGCCTGGCAGGTCTGCAGCACCTGAGGTCTCTATGAACACAGTGATCCAACTGAAACAATAAAGACTTTGTGCTTGCCCAGCTCTTCTTTTAAATGCTTATTCCAGGTATAACAGGCTGTAGGTCTCTTGAACCATGGATGTGGCTCAAATCTCTCCCTGCATTCTGTAAAACAGCTATTCCCAGACAGAAAAGAGCAGAAAACTGGGAAGCAGCTCTAGCTGGATGAAGTCTTTAACATGAGAACTACCTCATACTTACTGCTACTGAGCTTATTGTGATGGTAAAAGACAGAAACACGGGAAGGATAATTGGAGCATCTGCAGTGATATGAGGATGTGCTGGATGCAGTCATGGTCATAAGCAGTCAGTGGTCATTCACAACTTTTAGGTGGTACACACTATGTGGACACCACACTATATTCCCCCAGTGGCATACCTTCACTCCTTCTCTCTCTCCTCCATCCCTGGCTGTACACTGACAAGAAGTCCCTAAATGTGTGCTCTATCCAGAAAGCCCTCCTGCACCCCCATGGGAAGTCATTCTCATACAGCAGCCAGAGGTGCAGTGCAGAGAGTAAACTTCATCATTCATCACCCTCCAAAGCTGCAGGCCTGGCAGCGCACCCCCCCAAATGGGCCAAGACCCAAAGCAGCCTGGTTTCTCCTAGCATGTATCAGGAATACCTTGTCTCCTCGTGCTCCCTTTTCTCCTCTTTCTCCTTGTAGACCCTAAGAAATAAAAGGAAAACGAGATTATAAAGGTCAATCCAAGTAGAGGCATAGTTATCTCCTCTAATCAGTCACCAAATCACTGTTCATGTCTGCACAATCTATTGAGGTGAACCTCAGGAGCATTTCCCATGCTGCCAGTCCTCAAAGTTGGCCCCAGGCATGGTCTAAGCAGACTTAGAACAGGGATGACCTGCAGGCCCAGGAACGTTCTGTAATATTATATTGCCTGCAGACACAGGACCCTCCTGCCAACACAGTGTGGAGGGACAGGGAGCACACCACAGCTGCAGATGGTCTGGAACACAATCAGTGCTCTGCATTTTTCATGTTGCTCGTAAACAATGAGGACTTTGGTAGAGGACAATGCTAATGGGAAAACCTGTTGTCTGAACAAGCAAGAATGCCCATTCCGGGTGGTTTTTGATGCAGCAGGAACCTGGCAAATGCTAGATAATCCCTGTCCTGGAGGCCCAAGCACATGTTTGCACTGTGAATCCAATACCAGTGTTCATCTGGACTGCAAAAGTCATCTCCTCTCAGGTACATCAGGGCCTTAGTTTGATACATGGGGCTTAGTTTGATAAAAGGTAGCGATACTAACACAGGCAAGGGACTCAGTGGGCAGGAACACATTTCACCTTCCCTTGGCACAGCAAACACCCTTAATTTTACCTTTATTGTAGCAACTGAATGACAAACTAATAGCTACAGGCAGACAAATATGCTCAGTCAGTAGTGGCCTCTCTAAAACAGTGAAATCTTAAAATCATTCTGATTGTAATAATACATTTGTATTTAATCTTACATTTAATTTATTCTATAGAAGAGGTTTATCTCCACAGTAATGAGAGCCACATGTCTAGGTTTATTTGCCCCCTAGGATGATTTAAATAAATAAAACATTCAGCTCTCAGGCCATGGTTGTCTGTGAGCAAACTCTGTACAGCCCTGTCCATCTCTAACAACCCAAACTGAGCCGGCAGTTTCCCACACTGCAAAGAAATTATCCCACTATTTCCTAAGAGTAAAAGGGAGGAGGTTTAAAAATATGAATCCTTTAATACATTAATAACTATGGGGCCCATGTGTAGACAGAGTAGATGATGATTGTCTTGTTCCTTGCCAGCAGCTCAAGCCAAATGTCAGTCGTATGGTAGAAAAGAATAGGACCCTTCAGTAATGGTGTACCACATGCATGCTTTGCTTCTCACACAAACAGGTGACCCAAGGAGCAGGAAGGAAATGTTACCATAACTTTGTCTATGTATCTCATTAATGAGAGACCTATCGTATTGGCAGATAATGCCACCCCCATATTCATTTCAGCATGTTCAAACCTAATACAAATTCAGCATTAGACCATACAGGGAAACAGCATGCAAAAAGACATGGGAAAATACAAAAGGGCTCAAGCTCTTTTAAATACATTTGACTCCTTTGTAATGAATTGTAAAGCAAGCTGTTGGCTGGTACAGGGCATGAGCACATCTGGTATGCCACTACAGGCACTGACGTGTATCACAGAATAGTCTGGGTTGTAAGGGACTTTTACAGGTCATCTACTCCAATCCCCTGCATTAAGCAGGGACATCTTCAACTAGATCAGGTTGTTTCAAGCTCTGTTAAACTTGACCTATGAACACTGCCAGGGATGAAGCTTCTCCCACCTCTCTGGGCAACCGGTTCCAGTATTTCGCCACCGACATAGTGAAAAATTTAGCCTTAGTATCTAATCTAAAAATCTACCCTCTGTCAGTTTAAAGCCATTATCCCTTGTCCTGTCAACACATGCCCTTGTAAAAGGTTATTTTCTAGCTGTCTTGTAGTCCCTTCAGGGGCTAGGAGCTGCTCTAAGGTCTCCCCTTAAGGAGCCTTCTCTTTCTCAGGCTGAACCAGCCCAGCTCAATCAGCCTGGCTCCAGAGCAGAGCTGCTCCAGCCCTCTCAGCATCTGTGTGGCCTCCTCCAGACCTGCTTTAACAGGCCCGTATCCTTCATATGCTGTTGCCCCAGAGCTGGATCAGGACTGAAGGTGGTGGTCTCACAAGAGTGCAGTAAAGGGACAAGATCCCCTCCCTCGATCTGCTGCTCACACTGCTGGGATACAGTCCGGACTGGTTGGTTTCTGGGCTGCCAGTGCACACTGACAGATCACGTTGAGCTTCTCATCAACCAACACCCCCAAGTCCTTCTCCTCATGGCTGCTCTCAATCTCTGCGTCCTCCAGCCCATATACATACCTTGGGTTGCCCTGACCCAGTCAGGTCCTTAAATCTCAGAAAATCCAATCAGCCTCTACAGCACCACCTTAAAGGCTGCCTCTGTAATTGCCAAGGTGAGACCACAACACAGAGATGTTAACTTGATAGAATTTGATTTATTTTGGTCTTGCTGACTGTTCATTCGAGGCAGGTTTTGAAATATGATTGGAAGCTTGCTGAGAGATAGGGTTTGGGATTTTTTTTAGCATTTTGATGATGTTTTCAAGCAGCATATAAATGGTGCATCAACACAGTGGAAGCATCACAAAACCACCGGCTGTTATCTCAGTAATCAAATCATTTCTACTGACATCTCTCTGCTGTCTACAGGTCTGTTATTTAAAAAAAAAAAAATCAGGAGAAAATGAAGACAATAAAATGTCTCTATTGGACATAGTACAGGTAAGTGGTCAGACATCAACTGTATTGTTTAATAATACTAAAGAAAAACACAGCTGGAAAGAATACACTGAAAAAGAAGAGAAAGTCTGCAGAGCATTAAAAATGGACCAGAAGGCATGACTTACCGGTGCACCCACATAGCCTTTAATTCCTGGAGGACCCTGCTTTCCCTCGGATCCCTGGCAAGGAATTGAGATACAGTAAAACACCAGAAACTGTTTCACATAAAAATAAAACCAGTTATTCAGAAATGGAAGTTGCATTTCTGGGCTCACAAGGGGCTGTTAAGGATTCTCCATTGTCTCAGCACCAAGACAGAGAGCAGGGTCTGACTTTCCAGCTACTTACCCAAAGTGATACTCCAATGTCTTCTTCTGTCCCCAGTGCTCAGACATTAGCAAGTTTTATCCTTCTGCAAAAGCCAAACTTCCCCATGCAAGCTCCTCTACAGGTAATTTCAAAGGCTTTGGCCATGTCAGTCATTGCCTGTCCATTGCATGTGGGGTGATTGAGCTCTATTTTGGCTCATGAACACTGATGTTGGAACAAAGCACAGGCACGCATTGCAGCACACACTGCAGCAAAGGCCATATCCAAGCATAAATGAATCACAGACTTCAAAATATTGTTTATTTTGAAGAATAAATGAAAAGAAAGAGATCTGAACTATGTTCTCTGATGTTTATTTTCAGAATAAGTGGGAGAAATGAAAGAGGATCAGGTACATTTCAGTAGCGCTTCAGCTGGCTGCACACTGACTTTCCCTGGAGAGATGGAGAAAGCTCTCATTGTGTGCTTTTATGTGTCTTACAGTGCCTGAAAATGGTCTGGATCCTCAGCTGAGCAGGCTCAGCCTTCAAAACCATCCTATAGAGATCGACTGGACCTGACAGAACAGAGTTTGCCAGCAAGAACAGGTTTGGCATCACCTATCACCTGTATGACTGATTCTTTTCTTACTTATTTCACTTCCCTTCTCACCCGGTTAACTTCTGTACTGGGTGTTTGAAGGGGATAAAGCTTCAAAACAGATCAAGACTTTATTTTTAAATCACTTCTGCATTTCATATTAATAGATCTATTCTTCTTAAAAAAAAGACAAAAAAGCAGACAAAAAAAAAAACCAAACAACCTACAATCAAACAAAAAGAACCCCCAAGATATGTTTGCAATGAATTATTAGCAGAACTGAGGCTTTTTTTCCAAATGCCAGTGCCCAGGACACTGGTCATGTCATATCCCTGTTTACACTCACCTTAGCCCAAATGATAATCTCATTTGGAGCAGTAGTTAAGAACAGACATTGGCTGGTCTGTGCTTGGCAAGTGTTCCACCACTGTTTTAAGGAATACATTGCCCATTGCCAAAACAGTCCCCCCTCCCTTGGCCAGGGAGGACTTGACTTGTTAAAGCAGATGAACCTGTCCCCTGAAGCCTGTCAATTCATCATCTCAGCTGTGAAGTGGCTGAACCTTTGTTAAGCAAACCACATGGTAAACTTAGTGTTTAAGGGGGATTCACAATTCACAAACCAGTTAACAAGAGCTGGGTTTAAGCACAGGCAAAACGGTTCTGGGGATCTTTACAACATCAGGCACCTGAGCACCTGCAAGGTCAGGAAGTGGTGGAAGACCTCTAACAGCAACAGACATGCTCTCCCTTTAGCCCGCAGAAAAATACTGTTATCAAAGAAGGTAAAACCTATAAAGAAATAAAGGCCTTCTTCAAGCTGTCCAAATCATCAAAACCCAACTCAGTACCATTACATAAATCATGGCTATAACACTCAGCAAAAGTTACAGAGAAACTGGGTTTGTCTGGATGAGAGGACTTGCTGATCCCACTCAAGGCCTTTGCTGAGATCATGTCTGGTAAACCAGAGAAGTGCGAGATACTCAACAGCTGAAGCAAACAAGAAGGGTATTTGTCAAAATGAAACTCTTACCTAATACTTCAGAATTCAAAGCCTTGATGTTTTTCCCCCTCTTTCTCTGTTTTTGCTATCAAGTGCAGATAACTGTCAGTTCAGATGGGGATGTTACAGCTCTGTCCGTGCCACAGCATTGACAGCCACAGAAAATCTCATTAACTGTTTACTAAAAATATGGGGGGGGGGAGGGGGGGAAGAAGGGAAAAACTAAATATTTGCTGTAGGATTTCACAGGCTAAAAGGCTTGGTCTCAAAAATCCAAGCTTTGTTTCACTACTGTAATATGATGAGGGACCTGAGCTATGGCCTTTTAAATCTGGATCCACTTACTCCAATTAAATTAACTTGCCAGGTCCTGCATATTTATGTGGGAGCATTCTTCACTGACCAGTGGATATTTCTTTCTATCTCAGTCCACAGTGTAATCTTCTATAACCAGAAGCTCCCACATTAACTAGCACAAGGCTACTGGGAGCTCTTTACTTCCACCTTTGTAGCCAGCAAGATCATACATTCTTCTTGGTAAGCAATGAAGTTTACCCACCAAATGGAAAAGAAAATAAAACAACAAACACACAAAACAACCCCAAAAACCAGTATTTTTTATGATGAAACACTGAACTAGGAACAATCTCCCCTGGAGACTTCACACAGCAGCAAAAGCGGTAGAACCAGAGATGACATACTAAGGCCATTTCACTCCTGTAACCTACATATAGAATCATAGCACCAACTAGGTTGGAAGAGACCTTAAGATCATCAAGTCCAACCATTACCACCACTAAACCATGTCACTGAGGGCCTCAACATGTACCCTAACGGGCTCATCATCCATTAGGGTACCCCTGTGGATTGAAGTCCTATTACCAGAAGCCTGCTCTACCCTTACCTGTCCTACTGGAAGCTTCACACAATCAATGAGATCTGTACAAGCTGTAAGGCACCTCCTTAAAAGAAAGTGCTGGCAATTCCCATTGAGGAAAAGACTGGAAATCCCTGAGTCAAGCAGATGAGCAGGGGGCTGAGTTTTATGGGGTGCATATACAAATACTGAATGTGCACTGTGCTTGCCTGGCTCAATGCACATAAAGATGTGCATTCTCCAACCAGAGAAACTGCAAGGTAGTGCTGCATGGAGCCTGGGGTACAGTCCAGAGACATTGTATTGACGTTGATTATAAAAAAAAGTCATCTGGCAAAAAAAAACCAATCATTACAACAATAATTGGAGAGGTAACCTCTGACTGCCCATCTCCACACCTCATTCCACACCCCAAGGTATTTGAGGTTTACACTGAAGAGTAAAGGTGTGTGGATTCATATTTTATATTTTAAAGCCCCATCAACAAAGTCAGGATGGCTTCTTAAAATAGCTCAGGCCAGAATCCAGCTCAAGGACACTGCATATAAGTAGTGCACCCGTTGAGGGAAATAAAAGTCACTGTGAAAGCACAAAATCATTTTGTAGTTGAGAGGCTGGGGTTGACCAAGCTCATCTCCTCACTGGGAGCACTCGGTACTGTATAGTCAGATGTCTACAGGTCCAGCCATGCCAGCACCTATCCTGCCCAACCCATAATGCTGATCTATTCAGTATCACCTCGTTGCTTGTCTGGACTGTATGCGCCTGATGATCCTATTGGAAAATATAGAGCATTGTGCAGGATCAAGCCCTTCTGGAGGTAGATACAGATGTCTCAGTTCAGCTTGGCTTGTGAAAGTTTTGCAAAACAAGGGTGAGGAACTTCATACCTCAAGGAGCATCTTATAGCTTACAGGTTTGTAATTCCACTACAGGAAACATGCAGGAAAGAGAGAAAATATGTACTTATTTACATGACAGGAGAGATGCAGGTGACAGGCACTTGTGGGTGATGAATTCCATTCATTTCATCCACTCCCAAATCCCACTGATGGGCAAAACGGTATCCCCAGTGTCTCCACTCAGCTCAGCTCATCCCTGCTTCACAGCTCTCATTTATCTGCTGCTGAACATGCTGCCATGCAGCTTCCACAACCAACCCCTTCATGTTGATGAAGGCAGTATGGGTCTCACAGAGAGCTGTGGGATGGCTACCAAGTATTGTCACTAATCCACAGGCACACAGTTCTGATACATACAAAAGCCTCTCCACAGCTGAGGAACCTAGAAGGACCTGTATAAATGAACTTCTTCATTGAGTACTCTCAAGCAGAGGAAATTGACTATCAGGACTGTATCTGGAAAGGTGTTCAGGTACTTAATTCCTATGTAAGGACAAAGGCAATCTCAGTGAAAGGTTTGAATGACCAGATATGGCTCCTCCAGAAAGATGCGTTTCTTAAAGGTCAGCATTTGTACAGGAGAAAAATGGGCGAAATAAACTTGGGCAATCAATCTGTTGTCAGACTGAGTCATAGGCTGACCTGACCTTGCTGTGAAAACACTTGTTAATGTAGTGCACCATCTTCTTTTTGTGCTGTAACAAGACTGAAACTAAATGAGGGGTAGTTACCCCTCAGTAACCAAGGAACAAGGAAAGGAAAACTAAGGCTTTGAAAGGAGATTAAAGAATTAATCATGAGAAGGGCTTCAAATTTAGGCACATTTCTGGCACCCATTGAAGTCTCACCAGATTTCCATTCAGAAGCACCTTATTTGAAGAAAACCTGGTGATCTTGAGCATTGACACAAGTCCTACTATCTACTGGTGCAGAAGTGAAGCCCCCAAAACAGGCAGAAACATCCAGACTAGGATCTCACTGTGATAATTTGTTTTCCCCCAGTCATAGAGTAGGGACAATTCTCACCTGCATCTTTGTGAGAGCTGGGAGTGCTTATTTGAGACATGAAGCAAGGCTCACGTGCCCCAAAACACATTCTCTTTACCTTCTCCAGTTGGGCTGTTGATTGAACAAAAGGTATTTCTTCTTTTTATATACCTTGCCTAATTGCTCATACCTTAGCAGACCCCTGAAGAAGCTGAGCAGTTTGACTTTTGATATTCACACTAGTGAATGGAGAAAGTCATTAACAAAAAGCAATCCACACATATAAAAAGTCAGTGAAAAAAAGAACAAAACAATGCCTGCCCATATAAAGAAGAAATGGAAAGCTTACTTTTGGACCTGCTGGCCCTGGCAGTCCAAATGCTCCTGGTTGTCCTGGTTCACCCTGCAAATAACAAACAGCAATACTTGTGGTAAATGCTAACCTTTTATACATAAAAGCTAGGATGGCTCAAAATAATCATTACATCCAGCCTCAGAAATGAAAGCTTTATCTAATAACTACAGTCCTGAGCATCATTATCCAGAGATCTGAAAGTCTGCAGTGTGTTTTCTTCACACATATCAAAGCAGAAAGAGTCAAACTGAAAACTGAATGAGCTATTCATCCGCTCTTCAAACACAATCACCTAAGTAGCAAGAAATTAGTTCCCTAAGCTGTGAACAGCTTGTACCAAATACAGTCTACAAACATAGATTCCTTGGGGATAACATCATTGATTTGGTTTGGAATGGTGACTTTACAGTGTAAAAAATGCATCCTATGAGAAAATCTACAAGTCCAGGAATGCTATTGTCCAAGCCCCCACCATGCCACATGTGATGTGGTGAAGTTGTGTAGGTTCTGAAACCTATAATGGAAAACAACCACACTTTATCCACAAATGTGGCAAAAAAGCAGTAGCAGGATGCAGACAACAAAAAAAAGAGCTTTTCTGCTGTGTATCACTGTTTTAGTGTGTGCCTGCCCTTCCAAAGGGTCAATTCCTCAAGTTCCTCCAGTTACCACCAAATGATTGCCACAAATGGACAGTGAATGAAATGATAAAAGTCCACCACTGGGATGAAGAGAATTCAAAGGGATGGTGGTCAAGCAGGAAAAAGAGGGAAAGCTCTAAAGTACACTTGTATCTGCTTGACATACTTGAATATGTGATTTAGATGCTGGAATATGACATTTAAATACTGGAAAATGTGTTTGTGTTTTTACATTTCATCTGTAATTCTCTTAAAGGCAGTATTTGGTACATTGCCTCCTTCTTTAAGCTAACACTGCACCTCTTCCTTTGCTATTAGCTTTTAGCAGTGCACATGAGGAGTTCGGGTGCTTGCTTCTGTGACCAAGACACCTATTTTTCTTACCCCTGTCCACTGTGGAAGTACAAGATGGTCCCCTGCAGCCCTGCCATCTCCACCAGCCAATGACTCTTTGCCAGACTTAAAACAAATGGCCATACTCTGGAGTTGGAGCTATTAACTAGCACAGCAGCAGCAGTGAGCCCCAAGCCACAGGCTGCCACGACTGCCCCCTTTTCCATCTTAATGAATGGTAACAGAGCTGCTCTGGGAGCAAATCAGGATGGCTAATCCATAAGACTCCTGCAAACGTGTGAGGGAGAGTGCTGGGGCTATTAACCTCCTGCCATTTGTTTCTGCTGCTCCTAAAATGACCATACAAATCCCCAAGACATGTTTTACTCAATACAGATTGATTTCCACTCCTTCCTCGCACTGAAAGGCAGGGATTACATGGGGAGGAACAAAAAGGCTTACGGCTTCTCCTTTTGCTCCATCCTTCCCAGGGAGGCCAGGTGGGCCCAGGAACCCCTGTAATAACAACAGAATCACCATCAGCACAATATTAACACCCATTGCAAGTGCAAGGACATGAGTAACACATCAACACATGAATAAGGAATGAGGAAAATCATTTCAATGCAAACATTTATTTATAGTCTCTGTAGGGGCTGTTGCTGACCTTACATACTATTTGACAGAGCAAGCTCAGTGCAGGAAAACTTGTTTTTCCTTCTCCCCCACCCCAAATAAGATGATGACACAGTATCTGCTAAGGCTATCTCAATCCAAAAGTTATTTATTTCACTGAAGAAACATTAATGTTTCTGTATGTGGAGGCATTAGCACTGAGCTTCTGTTCTGTTCCACTCTTCTCTTTTAGAATTTTACAAGGTTTAGACAAAGTTCCTGACCTTGTTAACACAAAACAAGAAAACACAGAGGTAAAAAAAAGACTTAGAAAAGGGCCCATTTCCATAAGCCTTTCACAGTAGCTTTATAAACTCAAGCTTTTCATGGTATAATGAGAATAAAGAGTTGGACTTACTTTTTCTCCTTTATCCCCTTTCAGTCCAGGAAAGCCGGGGGACCCTTCTTCACCCTACACCACCAATGGAAATAATACCTCATATGAAATGCCACACCATTCTCTGGTATGTTTGTGTATTTTGGATAGCACAGTTATAGGATAGCTCTGTTGAGAGTTGAGGCCAACTTCTCCTCCTTGCTGTAACAACGCTGTTCTCGATCACCTGTAACTTGCTCATACTCAAACAGCTTCACTTTCAGTTCTCAGCTCCAGTGTCTTCCTCTGGCTCATCCCTCCTCCCCACCTTTTTGTAAGCATCATCCAGAACCAGTCTTTTACCAAGAGCAGGATTTGAGACCTATCCTTGTTAAATAAAATCATTTGAAGCATAGAAACTTTTCACTGAGAAACTCTCTTGCTGCGTCATTACAAAGAATGAGGACTAGAAATTTGGCACAGCCAACATACTGACACAGCAAATGTCCAATGGCATGGGAATTTCCTGAAAAACCCAAATGTGGGAATTCTTTCCCCTTTACCTGATGAAATTACACCAAAATATAACCTTCGAATCCACTCAACCCAGACCTTATCAATAGGGCTGTATTTTACAAGAGATGTTGCCATGAGTCCTGTAAAGGACTGTTACCAGTCAGTGTCTCTTCTACCTGAAAGAGCAGAAATCCATTTGTGGGATTCAAAGCCACTAGCACTGCTGGCAAATGGCATGCCACAAAGCATACTGAAGTGCCTGAGAGGTGTTTCCCCATCTACTTTTGTAAAAACTCAATAACATAGAAGAAACCTTTTGAAAGAGCATTAACAGTTGATGCATACCTGTATTTACTTATACAGGTTAATTATAGTTGTCTGTATATACTTATGGATGACTACTTACATACTACAGTCTACCTCATGTAACGTGAGCTGATAAATTCAGGCCAAATTCTGCCACATTCAGTCTTATTTGTGACATATTTTTCCCACATAAGTAGTCCAGCAGATTTCGATGGATGGATTCCTAGGGCAAGGTTCCAATGTCAGAGTGAAAAGAAATCTGGCCTTATTTATTTACAGGTATATTTGGTATATTTATATTTTAATAAAAGATACAAGTATCTGTGCTGTATATGCAAATTAAAGTCACTGGATACTTTTACAACTAAGTTTCTTGCTTACTACACCTTCATGAAGGTCAGATCTGCTGTATTTGAATGGCTTCTTAGTAGGGTAGAAAGCCCATCAAAAAGCAAATGCCAGTTTTAAGGAAATCATTTGCTTTAAGAGGCTGATACATCTTGAAGGAAGTGCTGTTCCATGGCAAAGTGGGCAGCATAGGTAGAACTAAAAATTGTGTCTTTTCCATGCAAAGTAAAGGAATTTGGTTAACTTTTTCCTTTTATTCTCCATGAAGTGCCGACTCCTTGGCACAGCTGCACAAATTAAACATAGCAGTCAGTAAGTTTGATGCACAGTGTTCATAGGACCTCATATTGTTTCTAGTCCAACCTCCCTCTCAAAACTCCATCAACACTGAAGTCAGACCAAGTTGTGCAGGGTTTATCCAATTTGGAGTAGAAAATCTCTCAAAATAAGGTTACTCTTCTTCCCAGATGTTACTTACCTCCTAAGACAATAGCACTCTGGGAAGAGAAAAATGTTTTTCTGTTGTATTCATTATTTATTGACTAAAGCAGCATAATTTTGTCCTTTTGACTTTTAACAGATCTCAAGCAGCTACTTATAAAGATGGGGAGCCCAGAGCAGATCTGTTGGCCCTCACAACCAAGAGGCTACCTGGGTATTTGAAGGAAGGCACTTTGACTCTCCCTTTTGGCGAACATAAATGCCACAGACAGCTAGTCAGTCTTAACTGCCACCCTTGGACCAGGATCACCAAGCATGGAAGAAAAGCTTCAGGGATTCACCATGCTCAGGGAATATATGATCCAGTGAGCACTCCAAAGAGCTCAATAAAGGCTTTTTCTTCACTTGTATCTATTGCCACTTCTTCTTTCTTGTTGCATAAACTGAAGCATCACTTGCCGCACATCAGCCTGCAAGGCACGGAGCTGACCCTTTACTGGAAATGAAGCTAGAGAGTTTTGCCAGCTTGCAGGGGAAATCTTTGAGTATACATCAGCTTTACCTGTTCCTCCCCAAGGAGGAAACTGCACAGAAGCAACCTAGACCATAGAGACAGTATTAATGTCCTATGGGGAACCACCATTGAACTCCATCAGGCTACAGAGTGGAAAGGGCTGCTACTTTTGTCCCTTCTGCTGAATCCCCATTATACCCAGACAGCTGTTTTCTATCCCTCACTAAGCAGATAAGACCTTTCAGGCTAAGGATTGGTTCAGCAGATGTTTGAAACTTAATAAATGCATGAAAAGAGATTGTGTTGCCTATGTTAGAACACACTCACAAAGTAAACTGAGTAACCTACAGGAGCGAGCAGTGGAAGAGAGCAGGAAGCAGAAAAGCACCGGTGCTTCTGTGCTTGCAGAGCGCCAAAGTATCTGTGACATGCAGGGATGGGAAAGCAACCAAGAGCTTGCACCCTTAATTCACAGGCAGCTGCCACAGCCCCACTGACAATGCAGCTAACTGAAATGGAGTCATGCTGGCAGAGCAATCCACATTACTAAACAAATATCTTCTTCTTTTTCACTAACCAACTTCATGAACTGCATTTGCAGAAAAATCACATTTTCTTTTCACTTGTCCACCAGATATTTTAATCAGGTAAAATCCCAAGCTTTGTACTCAGTGTGTTGCTAAGGCCTAGGGAAGCATAGCCAAAAGGTACCTGTTCCCTTCCCATAGCCCTGCCAGTTAGGTCACTTGGGTTAGCAGAAGAGCTTGCCTCTCTTCTTCCAACACTTGTGGATCGAGGGGTCTGCTGGTGCATACATCCGGGAAACAGTTGCAAGCAAAAGCTGCAGTTAGAAAATGACAAAAGTGGCTGAAGAATAAATCACTGGGGCCCGAAATAACATTGTTCAAGAGGAGTTACCAAAGAATCATGAACGGTTTGGGTTGGAACAGACCTTAAAGATCATTCAGTTCCAGCCCCCTGACATGGGCAGGGACACCTTCCACTAGAGCAGGTTGCTCCAAGCGCTGTCCAGCCTGGCCTTGAACACTGCCAGCAATGGGGCAGCCACAGCTTCTTTGGGCAACCTGTGCCAGCGCCTCAGCACCCTCACAGTAAAGAATTTCTTCCTTATACCTAATCTAAACCTACCCTTTTTCAGTTAAAGCCGTTACCCCTTGTCTTGTCACTACTTGCTCTTATAAAAAGTTCTTGTTGGGAAGATTACAGCTTCAGCAATCGGGCTCAAAAAGCAGGCAACAGATTTTCCCAAGTACTTTTCCTTTGCAGGCTCATGAGCAGCTTGTCTTTTCCTCATCCACTGGAAAGCCAGCCACTTACGTTTAGTTTCATCCTCTGGGCTGCACAACCAGCTGCCTTTAATCAAACATTTCTACCAAAGTTAGCTGGAGATTAATTCACCATTGCCAAAATACCTGTCAAACTGCCATCTGGTCTAAAGCAACCAACAATCTTGCAATATAGCTGTGGAGTGTAGTCATATGGAAGCAGATGCTCCTGAGCAAGAGAGGGCAGGGAGGTACTGCAAGCAACAAAGTCATATACTGACACAGACTGTTGGCATACAGAGGTTATATAGTGCACAGGTAACTATATATTTCTACAAATGCCACTTTTCACTTTTCAGTAGTTATTCTACCATTATTCACTCGAATTACATCAATGTCCCATTTGTGCCCCGATTGGGTCACTCTGCTGGACGTTGCATGAATAAATATTAAGTGACAGTCACTATGTTCCAAAGCTCAGTGTATAATTGCAAGCAATGTGTAAATATAATAAAGCAATAGCAGAAAGCCCAGGCCAATGAAATAGCTGCCAAGAAGACACAGTGTGAAAATGTTCTGCGCTGGACGATCCAGGCACCACGCTAGGAAAGCAGGTAGGCTTTGGCAGCCATGGGGAAAGATAAACCCATCACATTCCTTGCATCAAGGCCAAACCTGGTTGTGCTACTGAGAGGGATAAAAATAATCTGATATCCCACCAGGCTGGCTGCACTCCCAGCTTCAACCCTATGGGAATCTGGTGCTGACAGGTAAACCTACCTGTTTAGGCCATGCATTTCTACTGCCACTTATCTACTTTATGGATGTCTGAACTTCAAAAGTTGTCCATTTCTGGAGAAACACCTAGACCAGAACAGGAAGATGAGAAGGACCAGGGAAATGGGAAGAAGCAGCAAAACCAGAAGAGACTACTGGTAAGGAACGGAAAAGAGTATAGCTTCCAAGGCAGCGTACCTTGGAGGTAGCTCACATTTTCTGGAGTAGTTTTGCATTTTAGATGGGTGACCTACTGATTCCTTGGTCAGTGATTTTGTGGAGAAAAACTCACATGTGTAGGTAGCGGTATCTGTGAGAAAGTGCACTAACAAATATGGCGGCTTGGCTTAGGAAGATGCCAAAAAACTGAATACTGAGAATGTAGCACCAGACAAATCACTCTGAAAACTCCCTCTTTCACTCCTCAAAGAGTTGGTATAAATTCTGCAAGCAAAAGGCTTTCTGAGCCATATGAAAAAAAAAACTTAAAGAAGAATTCAGTAAAAATGATAGAGTTTTGAATTAGCTGTCTAAAGGAAGCGTTCAGAGCCACACAACAGATACAAAGCAAGGCCCAAGCACTTCTTCCTTGGGGGCCTTAAAGCAGGGTTTACATAGGTACATGGTTTGTCCAGACCCAATGGACAAAAGGAAACGCCACATTATGAGAAAATTCAGAGCACAAGCAGCTCAGTTGCTGCAGACAGGATACTGGGGTGACAAAGAATGAAGATACTCCCCTTGGTTTGAAGTATATCACCTATTAAAAACAGAGAGATGAGATGGGAAGTATGGAAACACCCACATAGGTTCCTTTATTGGTTTGCATTGGCAGAGTTATCCATTCCTACATTTGAACAAGGATGTCTTCCTGATATACCAGCAACACATGAATTTTACCACATCAT